GAAAAATATGTTCAAATTGGTGCATGCTTTCATGCTGAAGTTTTCAGGTCAATCATAACCACGGTGGTCACAATTCAAGAAATATGTCATCCATGACTGGCAAAACAAGCAAACAGATAATGTGGTCAATACAACAATGGACCAACAACTGCTTGTAAACAACCCCAATCAGAGGAATGCAGCAGGGCTAGCCTCAATCTCAGTGTCATGCACCAGGATACTTGTCATTAGTTAGAATGCAAACCATGACTACCACGTGAACAGGATATTTGAGCAGCCTCAACTGTCCAAAATAGGGCATCCTTTTGACCTCTTTGTGACAGTATGCATAACATTTACATTTTAAAGGTAGACAACAATATATATCAGGACTGATATAATTGTTTATGCAACACTTTCTCACAGCTGCCCCAAAATGTTATGCATGCCTCACTACTGGCAATCAGACTTTGTGGAAAAAGTTGCTGTGTTGACAGTGAGTTAATTTCTGATGTAATGACAGATACATGTGTGCACAAGAATGACAACAGCTGAGACAAGTTGCACCAATGTCCTCAGGCAGTGGCATGGGAACATCCAAAAGATTAGCACAACTAAACATCTGTCATTCCATTCCTCTCATGTGTTTCCAAAATAAATAAAATGTGGGGGCTCATCTGCTGTACTCCAACCCCTATGGCTATGCAAATGCCCTTGGGTGATGTAAAACAACTAAAAATAGGACAACAAACCTGGAATACCACATCAAAAATGTGTATATTTCAAAGTTCTAATAGCCTCATTCCTTGTGGGATAACTAGGCAAATGGAGAGATAATGTTTTGATATTTTCCCTACATGCCTTTATTGAAATGGATGCTGGTGTGAAAATATGAATGCACCTTTTTCTCCATTCTCCTGGTTATTCCATGAGAAATACAGCTATAAGTACCATGCTATTCATATGCATAATGTTCCTTGAAAATGCATGTAACAGCACACAGAATTGCAATGGCTTCAAAATGTTGCAACTAACAAGTTTAGCATGTTTAGCAAAGGTCGCATCCACAGCCTTCAGCATATTCTTCATCTATGCACCTAGGAAGTAACAATATTAATTGCAGCCAGGCAGTCAACTCAAGAGCAGATCCAGGAGGCTAACTGGGGTGGCTTGTCAAGCAGATGGCTTGTCAAGGCCCCACAGGATGGCTTGTCAAGCAAAAATCAAACATTTCTGGATTCAGCAATCCAAGGAACCATCAATAAGGTCATTTTGGTCAGGGTGTACTTTCCTACCTCATGTTACAGAAGAGCATTGTACATCAATCGTTGTTTTTAAGGCAGAACATATCATATCAATCGTAAAACAGGTCATCTATGCTCTTACCTTGGAACTTAACTAATTATGATACCGAACATCCGACCGCCGCAAACGTACAGCAACCGCGACACCGGCGCTATTACTGCGCGCGGTCACAACATTACTGCGCATCAAGCAGCGTCAAGAACCATCAAAATGTACAGGGCCAAGGTAACAAGAACCCGTGAAATTTGATCCTCGCCGCCAACACCCTTTGGGCCTTTGGGGTCCACCCTTGCCCCAGGCTGTGGATGCAAATGAAAGCTGGAAGCTTTCAGGGGTAGATTTGACTTTCATACACAATTGCTAGTCTCAGCGCAGCACCTTGCTGAAAGAGATCAAGCCACAGCCTTTCAAAGGAATTTGAGTGGTGGGTGAAATCATATGATGCCTCTCAAATATGAACTTACATGACCTACCCAAAATTGTAATTCCTCGTCAGATTCAGGCTTCTTTTTTCTTCCGTTCTGCCGAAATGAAAAAGGGATTAGATGGAAAAGGATGCTGCAAACCGGCAACGATACTTCACATGGTCATAACTGAACTGGTACAGCTGGGGTGCACATGGAAATAGCTACCTGGACCATGAGAATGTTTCTATAACAGCACCAGCTCCTAAGTCACTCAACGCACGATTGTGTTACTGCCACCCGCTCCACTCCCCTCCCCTCCAGAGAAGGGAAGTTTCAGCCTACGGTTTAAGTCAGGTTTGAGACGGCCGCCAAAGTGTTGTCCGCATTGATCAAGGTGCATTAATAGTTGCGCTGGAGCTAAACGACTGCTAACATATTCAATTTGTTCGCCGATCACCGTTGCCTGTAACTGTGTGCGAATGCCATCGATATTGAGCATTTATTTAATGGACTTTTACGTCCTAGCCCCGGCGAATCAGCCTGATGAATGTTGAATATGCCCAAAGAAACGAGTAGAATCAGTGGACAATTTTGTCGTTAAGTTTCTTAACTGGTTTTGAAGTAGCCAACGCTGATCAATAGTTGTTGATTTATATATTCGTGTGTAATGACAGCATTACACAACGTAAGCGCAAAAGGGGAGAACCAGACACTACTAAAACCATATCTTATTGAGTCTAGGTTACGAAATTGCATGATAAACTGGTATGACATCAGAAAAGCATGCATGGACCCAACATGTGCAACCATAAAAGGAAGTTGCTTCGTTGTTATAGAATCGGCGACAAAGCAACATTCTGGCATAGGTGGATCCGCATGCCTGTAAGGCTGGTAACAAGGAGAGGTTCAGCGAGAGTAGACATTAATGTCGGCTTTCATGCAGCAATGCCTTGCAAGGGAAATATGGACCTACATCGTGCATGAATATACATCGTAGGCTCATCCATTTTTCCAGAGGGGCACAGGTCGAGACATTTGATCAGAATGTGACCAAGTTAAACTGCCGCTCCACAGTTGGTAACCGCGATCTCCTTGCCCCCCCCCCCCCCGACGTCTATCGTTCCTGGACTTGCCAGACATGGCTGAAGTGTTGGACAGTCATCCGATACATTGCGGACATTTCAGCTGGAATATCAGGTACCGTGCACTCTAAATGTGAGGTTGCCACATTCATCATAATGTAGAGGCAACAGTTTTCAGTACTGTGGCGCAGACTTGGACAGCTATTTGCCAATGCTGTCCGGGTGAATTCAAGTACCTGAAGAGTATGGCCCGAAGCGTTCATAACACGGGTGTTGTCATTGGCGCTGTAAGATTTCTGTATATTTTTTAACCTTCCGCTTTTAAAGTGTTATAAGTTTTAATCATCAACGCTCTCGTCTCGTCCAGGATCCCAACCGTACATCTTTCAGGTTTGTTGGCTGCTGTTGTTAATTTACGTGTCCAGGCAGCGGCGGCCGGCCGATTTTCAGATGCAGATGTGCGAGCAGATTTTCTGGGGGCCTCAGATGTACTCGGCCCCCTCTGACCGCGGTTAGCCCCACGTACAGCAAAATACGTAGCGTGGAAGGAAGCCCTGAAAACTAAAAATATTTGGAGCAATATGTTTGTGCACATGCACATGGCCAGTCCTGACAGGGGGGGAGGGGAGGGGAGTACAGGACTTGGAAAAAGGCCCTACCTATCACCTCGGCCTCACCCTTTAAAGAGCTGTTTACTGATGGGTGTACACAGGGGCGCAGCCAGAGCCTTGGCAGGGTGGAGGCAGGGTTGACAGAGCCCCTGAAAGTGATAGGGCCCTCCAAAAGTCCGGATATCACCCATTAGCCAATGAAGACATGTTTTTCATCAATTTTTATTTTTACCTTCTATGGCTGGGACGGAAACCAGAAGTTATCGCGAGATCAAAACTGTGTGAATTTTATAATGCAAAACAATACATCATGCGTTAAACGACTGAATGAAATATATTGGCAACTGTGCCACGCCATAAACTGGATACGTTTATTTTGGGTCGTTGATTAACATTTAAAGACATACTCAACCGCCGGTAAAACTCCGGACAGACAGACAGTCCTGGAACCCATCGGTTGCAAAATATTTTGACGCCCTGTTTGATGAACGTGATCAGCTTTGCGAGAAAATGCTTCGGTGGGTGAATACATTTGCTGACCGAATGTTTACGAATTGGCTGTTACAAAAAGTCAAAAACGGCATAAGCGACTGACCATCACGCGCCCAAAACACGGACCAACAGATAATGTTGGTATGATCGTATCATTGTAGCTGTGCCAGAAAACTTCCCAAGAGGTGACGTACCCTCGAGTGCTCTTCTGCATCTATGCAGTTTCCAGGTAATGTATTTATTGTTCATATTAACAACAGTGCATGCATTCCTACTAGTGTAGTAAGTCAAGCTGTTTCAGGGGTGCTTGGGCAATCAAACGGTAAATAGGAGTTCGGGATGACACCACATCCATTAATGATCCTTTTCATATGTGCAGTGCTGAACATCCCCGCAAACAGATCGGAACCTGCTACGTCGGGCGGAGCTGATGTGCATTAAATGACGACCGGCTTAAACCGCATGCACGATGACGAGCACATTCATGCAAGCCTACGTTTCCCGAAACTTGCACAGGGCTTTTGCTGAAGGGCTTTTCACTATAGACGCCAGAGAATAAAACACATCGCGACCCACAAAGTAGCTGTATAATCAAAGATAGCTCACACACAGTGCTAGCACAAGCAGTTGCGGAATGCTATCTCAAATCACAGACGAGTCATTAGCGTAATAAATAATCGCATGATAGCACCCACCAAAAACGGCTGACACGACACAGCATCGTCACACGCAGCCGGCTGCTTGGCATCTAAAATGTCCGGCGTCTCGTAATCACGTTCTAGTTAACCTCCCCACTGGCTTCACTGGCATGAACTGGTCGGAGCAGGAAAGACGGACCATCCGCGACCTAGCGACCGAGGCGACGTCAAAAGCCCGTCCATTGCAACAGACCTCACCCACCGGCTACCCGGGTAAACCATACATTTTTACCGGACCAGTTCACCTCAACCGCTACGCCTTCCACGCCCAGGTCCAGCCCTCAAAGTGGCATCAAATTATCGTGCATCCAGCCCCAGCAGGCTTCACCATCAAGGAAAGCAGGGGGCGTGATTCCAAACGAGAGCTGCGCGCGGCTCGACGGCGATTAGAACGACTGCACGTGCCATGCGGTTGCGTGGCCGACTAGCCGTAGAGCAGGGCGTGGGTCTGCACGAACAGATGGGTCAAATGCGAGTGGGAGGGGCGCGGCTCGCCACGGGCCACCAATGGATAGCGCGCGCTGCCCAGACTGACTGTATCGCACACTGCCCATGCCGCGAGCGACGCAAATTAAAGCAAGGTGGGTCGCGGCCACGGAACCCGTTCACTTCTTCTTGACTTTGGGCGACGACGTCGACTGGAAGACGGAGGAGGCCTGCATCAGGTTCTCGATGTACTGGCCGAGCACCTGGTTCTCGGAGCGAAGCTTCAGGTTCTCCTCCTTCACGCTGTCCACGCGCTGCGATAGGTCTGTAATACAGTCATCACGTCACTCACGATGGGATGATGGTAGTCAACAGCAGAAACGACAGTGTTCAAGTTGATCAACATTTCCCAGGGGGTCCACAGTGTGGACCATGCGTGGATTCCACACATACTGGTCGCCGGTAGAAATACACCATAACTGCAGTAAAATGGTGCACAACACAAGAAGAAATTATGTACATTTCCTACCTTTATGGGCAGGTAGGGACAGAGCAGCACTGAGACAATCGCTGTGATTTAATGACATTGAAGGAAACAATGTTCAAATAATTTGTAATGGTAAGGGTCAGATAAAATGAGAATGGTTGTAATTTTAACCAAAAAACTTTATCTAAAAAGACCGTCAAACTTGGAAATAGCTACACCAACGACAGGCCATTCTCCTGAACACCAGATCTCTACCACTCACCATCCAGGGTGTTCTGCAGCTCCAGCACCTGTGATATCAGGCGGGCCTTCTCCTCCTGCTCGTCAGGACTCAGATCCGGGTCGAAGCCTGTCGATGCGTGAGAGGCAAAGCGATAAATTGAGGTGACAATCTGCGACGAAGCAAACCGCGGCCATGACTCAGATAAAAGCGGAAACTTGTTCGGACTACCGTCTGAACAATTCTTTGTGCTGCTGGAGAATTAACTGGCCGATACGTGGTGTACAAACTAACAAAGCGGACGACTTATTCCATCCACACGTCACTTAACCGCCAAATCGAGAAAGGTAGGTACCCTGTGCAAGCCATAGAAGTGGTGCATTTTGCGACATGTAATCCAGGGTGTAATAACACATCGCAAAACAGGCCTTATAGCAAGTTGGGTACATTGAACAAGCCGAAGAGGCGGTGCATATTACGACATGTGAGCGAAAGTTTCATAACCCATCGTGGAACAGGTCTTACAGTTACACATTTTCACAACAAAATAGTCGCTTGCACCGCAAGAACTTCCATTTGGACAATCAATATCAGTCTACTGTGGCTTTGCACGCGGGCTTTACTTAAACACGGGTGTGGGGACCGCTGATCACGAACACGTAACCATACTATCACTTGGGCTGTCCAACGGGTAACGTCATTTCAGTGAATATGAGAGCTGCGGGTGATAGTGACATGAAGGCGAGGTTGCTGATGACATTAAACTAACTGCCCGAGACAAGATTTCATTAAGGGCGGGTCGCTGACATAGAGCCAATAGGAGGTATAACAGGTCCGGGCGCAGTCACCAGAAGTCGAAAAAAAATTGGACCGGGTGTAAAACCGACTGAGCTGCTGCCAACAACAGACGTTTATTTCATTGCTGGTTGCAAATCACCAAATATAGCAAAATCACCGCTAGAAAAGTGGTGCAGGGCTCAGAATACCGCATTTCCCATCGATACTGCCGATCCACAATGTGCAGCGTATAGCTTGGTATGGACGGATGTAAAAACTGTGCAAAAACTGTTCTACACAACAAAATTTCACCTTTTAGTAAATATGTTTAAAACATAGTTTGATTGCATCATATGTTTGTTTAACATTAGATGGGCTATCAAAGTGGCTGTGCAGAATTCCTCTCCTGGCAGTTCTGGCACCCTGAATCTGGCACCAACTGACGTCATAAAGATGTTCCATGACACAATCAAATGATGACACATTGAGCTTACTAAACAATGAAATGTTGTGTTCTACAGCAGTTTTATGCACTTAAAAGCGAACCAATAGTTAAAGTGAGTTAATTTTATCATCTCCGATGCTTGTGTGGCTGGTAACCGAATGCTCCTTCAGAGGGAGGGGCGGGGGGGGGGGACAAGTGACAATTTATGTGGGCAAGCTGCCCTGCAGTAGCGACATCTCCCGGCTGAAAAACGGGGTTATTTGAAGGGAGGTGCTAAAGGTGGGGGCAACACACCCTCCAGAGCATTTGTCAGCTGTCCAGATTACCAAATTAGTTGTGCTGGCAACAGATGGCATGTTACAGGTTGTGAAAACTGGCAATGTTATTTCATCATCAGCAAGGGCTGCAGCGGGACTGACTAATGCTCACAAGTGACATTACCACATGACTGTCCACACAATTATACTGACTGTGAGGGCTGGCAGTGCCATTAGCCATGGCCGATGTCAGTGACTCGCAGCTGCGTCTGTGACTGCCGCTGTCAGGGCTGGGTGGTTCCTCAGGCAGCACGGCCTGCGGGTCTGCATCCGCCAAAGGTATGCTGAGGTCGTCTGAGCCTACCACTGACATGGCTGAGCTCTGAAAGTACAATGTCTCATCACATATCTTTGAAATACTTCAAAATTTGCATCGTACCTCACATACAGCTTGACTATTTCTGTGGTATCAAACCATTTACACACTTTTTAAAGACTAATACATTTGCAACTAGTGATCACAGCTCATGCAGTTGCTACCAATAAGCACCCAACTGTTCACAAGTTATGCTGCATAACTTGGATGTCATCTAACAGCCTTCCCAAAAGGCAGGATTTTTTTAAAATCTAGTGTGAGCAAATTGCACCTCTCTCCTTGGTCAGCCAGCAAAATGCATAATTTCCAAACTGCAGAAAAGCCCTAAATGTGAATCAAAGCGAGACACTGATGACCTGACACCACATGGCTGAGATCACACAATTTGATGAGAGGGAATGTACAATGACAGGAGTGAAGAAGTATAGATCAATGTGCACAGTTGGTGATATGCAATTTGAGAGCACTTTGAAATTCATTTTGGAAGTAGGCTGAGAAAAAGGGGGGCATCAAACTTGCACAAGGATGTAGTCCACTTTATTTAACCCACATCTACTTCAAATATTCATTTTGATCACATATTTGCCATTCATGTGCTAGGTATTAAATAAAAACCAGTGAGTTATCTTAAAGAACACCTGCATCATTACATACATTGACCCAGCAACTGACATACATGATTATATCCATTGAGCCAACCAGCTTCTAGCAGTGTGATATGTGGGCTACAATACAAATTATATGTGGTGAGTACTGTGATGTACCTGTCTGAGATCATTTCAGATAGCACACACATGAACAAAAGGGCTTTTAAGAGTCCCAAGACCACAACCCAGGACAGAACTATTGGAAATGGGGCTAAAAAAATGTTTTGCAGTGGGAGTGCTGCTTTATATGCATGGCAACAAAACTTTGGCTGTGAACATGCATAAATATCTGTAACCATATAATAACATGAACCTAGAAATTGGACTGTTGCAAAGAATTTACCTCACTTTGTCATGACCACAATTTGGCTCTGCTGGTAGGATTGGAATCTCATGCAACAAAGCCTGAGTCATAGCATCAATAAAAAGGATTCAAAGTATGAAATTTACTTTTATTCCCTGGTGGCAAAGAACAGTATATTTAGCTATGTGGCCTACTTGGGAATGACAAAATTAATATGCATCAGCTTAACCAGCATCTTTTGCTGACTGAATGTGAAACTTATCAGTCATTATAAACCTGCCTAAGTGTTAGCATGGCACTACCATAATATATGATATATTCTAGCTGTAAGCCTGCAGTATGCAAATTTTTAGGGGGCATTTCCATATCTCATGTCATCTGATTAATTGTAATATTATCAATTAATCTACCTGATTTAACACAAGGTGACAAACAGTACCATACCCTTTGTCTTTAAAAAAGGTCAGTAATAAATGTACTGAACAAAACTGTCACAACCAGACCATGGCAGCACATGAAAAATAATGTAGACATTAACCAATTTAGATCTACTGAGTACCAGCAAGCTGGCTGAAATACATCTTTTATGCATTCTTTAAATTGAATAGAGCATGAGCAAATTTGTGTATAAACAGTTGAGAAAAATTGCATAGAACAGTTGGCTTTGAAGTCTACACTGGACAAACCTCGATAAGCAATGCTACGGCTTCCCAAAGGGTGGTGCTTCTGTTATCACCCTCCAGCTACGACACGCAAATTCTAATTTCAGCTCTACAAAAAGACTGTCTACGCGAACCGTACCATGCCGACGCCCAAAACGCCCGGAGAAGTGGGCGATCTTGGCTAATTTTTGTTTTAGTATTAATTGCAGACCTTTTTCAGATATGAGACGTTAAAATCGCAATCCTAAACTCAATTAACAGTTTTTTTCTTCAAATTTATAGCATGCAGGTCACCTCAAGAACAGAGAATCAAAGGTAGATAGCCGTACTTACTTTTTCCCGCTAGGTTCCAGGCATTCGTCAATTTTATCATCAATATGTGACAAATATAACGCAGGTAGTATAACTTCCGTCTGAACTGCGATGACCGTGTTTGGTGCTAACTCACCGCATTTAGCATTTATCAACAGCAATGGTGGTGGGTTTCCCGAGGCGTTGGGGTGGACGCTGGAATTAGTGGTATATGACAGTATATGGACCGACTGATGATAAAAGAGTATGATTTTCCGAAACTGTCCTTGGAGTAACGCAACACCCAGTTTCCAAGCAAATTGTCATCGGAACATAGTTTTGGGGGGCATGGAAGTGGGCGGCGGTTACTTAGAGAATATCCCCCCCCCCCCGCTTTGGATCTGCTGTCCGCCACTGCATCCGACTTCTTATTTCTTGCATTAACATCATTCGATGGCATCGAAAATTATATACTGAACGTGTTTGCCTCCCATAATCCTAAGGCATACCACGATGTGGAGCTCAGTCTGCGAAAAACTCAGCTGCTGATGCCAGGTGACACCCATGAAGCTTACCCATACCTTTGCGGAGCCAAGTGCTTGTGTGCACCAATGTTAGGTTTGGTTGAGGTTTGCAGAACTTTCAGCTTGTGTTGGTGTGTTGGTGTGTTGGTGTGGTCTTCCACTAAAATTATGGTCACAACACCATGCTTCCCTGAAACATTGGCTGTCCTTGTGCTGCAATTGGCAATGACCATGCACGAAACTTTGATTGTTCAGATTTATAGTGTATATGCTCTGAATTGGTTGTGATGTAGCTGCTACATATGACATGTTCAGTGTAATGTGCATTGTTTGTGATAGGGTATGAAAGTAGCTCTTCCAGTCTGCTGTCATATAGCTGTCATCTCTTGAACTTCAGAGTAAACCATCTTTTTTCAGATGATCCTGTACTCTTATTTCCGAAGCTCTTGCTCATGGAGAGTGAGATTGGGTATGCTTTTTTTAAAAATCAAGACAACTTTAATGACCATGCCATTAGGGTCATGCAACACACTCAGCTGCTCAGGTTATATGTTGTCTATGTCTGACCATGGAAGGAAGGGCAGGCATAGTGTGGAAGCAAACCTCTTTGTTTGGGTTTTCTAGATGCACTGTCATTAACACATGCATGCTAATCTCTACACTGAGGGATTACTTACATGAAATGGGCATTGCGATGTCACAGCATTTACTTTCTGTCTGTTACACAATAGGCCTGCTTTGTATTACATAGTATTGCATGCTTTTGGGTAGCCAGCAACTATATATTGTCACATGATTGATAGATACAAGTAGCAATAAATAGGGGAGTAACTGCTGCTATTTTTCAGTGTTGGCTCTGAAGGATATCCAGTATGAATATCAACCAGTTAATCTACTTTCTGGAGATCAGTTGGTAAGAAGGATTTTTTATGTTGGGGTTTATATGATTTGTTAGTCATGTTAAGCAGACAAATAGTTGTCTTCTGTAGATGAAGTATGGATGCATAGGAAAACAGCTGAACTATCATTCCTGTCCATTATGTGCTGTGCTCACATTATGTTTAGAGCACAGTTGCTGTACTTGCCCACATGATCTCTGGCCTGCCCCTGTTCTTAGGATGTTCATCAAATAAGCATTGTTAGGACCTCTGTGCTTAGAGGGCAAACATATTGGTTGGAGAGCAAAAAGTATGTCAGGCCAGAAGAACTACTGACTGCTTTTCCATGCATATCACGAAGTCCCCTGGATTCAATAGGCTTCATTGTGAGGTTGGAGAGAGGGGTTACATCTCTGCCAACTAGCCCATGATGGTGGCTATGGTTCATGACAACCACACCATCCCATTTGCTTTGTGCCCAGTGTGGCACATTCTGTTGGACCTGTGAGCATATTATGGTTGTAGTGATATGAGGATGACTACCTCACTTATCAGTGACCTCCAACTGTATGCAACTTTCACTGGCCACTGCAACAGTTTGTTCTTCTTAACAGGCAGATGAATATGGAAGTGTCAATCCCATGAACCAGGTGCCCTCCTTGGAAGTGGATGGCAAAGTTATGACTCAGTCAGTAAGTCAAATGAGCTGAATACTAATTTATATAAGCCCTGAATGGATAAGTTTAACATATGCATAGTCTTCTGATCTGTATTTGATGGAGGCTGACACAACACTGTCACAGTAGATGATATAAGGATGTTTTCCCTATAGGATGTTGTTCCTATCCTTCTGATAGGGACTTATCTAGAGGTATGATCATTTTCACTAGTGCGAATAAATTTGCATTCTCACACTTCTCTGCAAGGAATTGTAATTGTTCAGGATTTTCAAGTATGAAATGGTAGGTTAAGTGCCCAGAAAGGTGTTTATGAAAACTTGATTATGCAATTAACTATTCAGTACATGTGTTATTTCTCAGGTGACATCCCATTCTTGAACATGCCCATTATGTATGTTTGTCCCCCATTATTTATCCCCTGTACCTACAGATGAGTATAATGGAGTTCCTTGAGGAAACATACCCCAAGCCGAGTCTGCTGCCTGATGACCCATTCCAGCGAGCCAAGGTAGTATGCAGACTGGCAGCAAGTGCTGCAAGCAAATCTCATGGGCTGTGTTAAGGACCGAGACAGCAGACATGGGTGGACAGTGATCACTCAAAAACTGTAGAGCAGTTACCTCATGTTATATACGTGGCATATTATACGCGGTGTGGCGCTGTTCGGCAAAGCTGGTGGGAAACTGCTGTGATACACACGGTGATTTCTGACCAATGTCTTCAGCGATAATTCATTTTGGAACACTGCTTTCGTTTTCGTTTTCGTCTGGTGTTTTTTGCGTGCCACTGACAGCCGAAACCTCAGACTGGCTAGATACCGGCCTGTGGGCCACCTGCCCCGCTCCGCATGTGCCGTGTCTGGCCCACCCCGTGACCCCCTCCCCCTCTCCAGGTGCGGGAGATCTGCGAGCTGATCGGCTCGGGGATCCAGCCTGTGCAGAACCTGGCCGTGCTGAAGCGCGTGGCGGCGCTGGCCGGCGACGAGGCGCGGCGCCGCTGGGGCCGCGAGGCGATCGAGCGCGGCTTCGGCGCCCTGGAGCCGATACTGGCTGCCTCGGCCGGCACCTGCTGCGTGGGCGACACGGCCACGCTGGCCGACTGCTGCCTAGTGCCACAGGTCTTCAATGCCAGCAGGTGGGTCTCGGCCGGCGGCGCCCGTTGGCTTGCGCGCTCGCAGGGCCGGGCCGGGCCGTGCTGAGCGATAGGTGGAGGCGGCGTGCCGGAGCGTACTTTGGAAGTGCGCGTGGTCACGCACTCAATGTTGCGTGCGGACTGCCTGTTTGGTATCTCGTCACGAAGATTGGTGCAAAGTCACTATGGTCAAATGGCCGTATTCTGGTCAGTGGACGCTGCATGATAGTGGTGCAGCTGTTTCGCGCCTGTCTCAGTCATTCCTAGTGCGTAGAATATCCCGATTAGGACATGGTTTGTCCTGGCTTTAGCAATTACCGTATCTGTGTCATGCGTGACTTGCCCTGTAAGGCACTCGCTTGTCGCCAGGGCTGGCGGCCCTCCGGCGTACAGATGTACGTACGGGGCCTGAAATTTGATGGTGGTGTCGGCAGAACACCTGTGGCCGGGGAAGGGGCGTATCAGTGTCATCCTCTTCCTGTCACGTGATCTGTTTTTGTTTGCCGGGATCGCGAAGCTTGAGCATGCCTTTACATAGATTTACTGTATAAATTTGTTCTGGTATTTCCAACTTAATTTATATAATGAAGCGTTGCATTATGGGTGAGTTGCACTGTTTTATTTGCGATTGTAGAACACCTGCTGCCGTTTTGTTTTCGTTTTTATCCACAACTTTGGTGTTATCAATGGACTTGGCTTGAAATTGGTGTAGAACTCGACTTTCGGGTGCTGATATGTTTGAGTCGGGGCGTTTTTCATTCGTTCTTTTCGGGCACACGTTTGTGGCTTTTTATTTTGCTGCGAACTTAATCTTGCCGAGGAGCAACTGCGGCTGCTACACTGCTGTACATATGTGTGTAACCCTCTGAGTGCGTCACCAGCTGTTGACCATGTCCCAGTTTAGGTGGACACGCCCTAGTGCACGATTGCTTGGATTTGTTTTCCGTGTTTATCAAATAAGCCTGACCACCTGGCTGCACCGTGTTAGCAACGTTGTCACCCACAGCTGGGACATGGAGAAGAAAAACATCACGCATGCCGCAGTTGTGCCCAACGCTGTGTCGCGCAGGTTCCAGGTGGACATGTCCCAGTTTCCGACCATCAGTCGGGTGCACGGTCACCTGGAGACGCTGGAGCCGTTCCAGGCGGCCCACTTCTCCCGTCAGCCGGACTGTCCGCCTGAGCTCCGCTGAAGCGGCCTGCAGCAGGCGGCCCACTGGACCCGGCCCAGTCGTGCCCAAGTGTCGCGGGGGGGGGGGGGGAGCGGCGGCCCCGGGATCGGCAGGGTGTCGAACCCCCCCAGGACGCGCGCTGGGTACATGGGTACGGTGATTGCATTCCGTCCACAGTAAGAGTGCCAAAACTAGTGTACGCGCGGGCAGAAACGAAGCATTTCAGTACAATTTGCCAGCTGCAGTGATTTGTGCCATATCCGCCTGTTTGGAGGGGTCGACATATTTTTTTAGTGAATCCGCATTTGCCAGTTTTGTGTCGTCCTTGTGCAGGCCTTGGCGTGAATGCCAACGCGATGTTTTCCGGTCGTTGTTCGCATCAGGCATTTGTGCATGTATGTGTGGAACAGTCATTACTGTCGGGTTGAGATTCCAAACCTCCTCCAACCAAGCCTAGGGAGTGAGTAACGTGCAATAGCGGAAGAGAGCGATCAGGTATGCGGCCTACGAGCAGATTAGTTTTGGATAGGAACACAACCGAAGAGATTTGATACTTATGCAACCTGCGTACCGCGGCAATAAACTAACGTGTGGCGGCGGTCAGCTGGCGTTATGTTTTCGTGATGCTTCCCATAGCGGAACGAGACCAGACTCAAGACATGATACCGAAAACCGAAACAGCCTCGTGGCTGCGGTAGTGCCCATGGCGTTAATAGTGAACACTGGCGTGGCACGGCACGCGCAGCCCTATTACGCTCGCCACATATACTGGCCCCTAGTTGTTTTCCGCAGAAGGGTTCGGCCGCATCAAAAATTGGTTTTCAACAAGATCTGGCGTTGACAAGACGTAAAATCGGAGCATTGTCCACAGAAGTGTGCCAGTACACGACAACACTACTAAATTTGACTGCCAGCTTCACTGTTCGTTCACTGCCCCCGGCCAGCTCGCGAGCAGCTGCCGTGAACAGCTGGCAACTACCGGTGGGACAACCGAGGTCCCCTGTCATTTGACGGGACTGTCCGTGTACACGCTGTCGATTGACACGACTGTCGGTGTACATGCTGGGGATTGACGGAACTCAAGTACATGGTGCGGATTGACGGAACTGTCCGTGTACATGCTGCTGATTGACTGAACTCTCGGAGTACATGCTGTTCACTGACGGGACCGCCTAAGCGCACACTTTCGACTGATGGGCTGTCAGAGTACACGCTGTCCACTTAGTGGCCTGTTGGAGTATACACCGTCCAATGACGGGACTGGCAGGGTACACGTTGCCCACTGACGGGACCATCGAGGTCTGCACTGTCCGCCAACTCGCGGCGAGTCCGCGACCCCCGCCTGATCGGTTGAGTGACCCGAGGCGAGCGACCTAGACGAGTGACCCGATAGGAGTCGTTGCGCGTGGCCCACACGCGACTATGGTCTATCAGGGCACACGGAGGGGAAGGGGGGGGGGGGGGACGGCAATGCGGCTACAGGCGCCTTTCAAGGTCTCCCGCGTGTCTACAGCCTGTCCGCGCTATCTTGGCGTCCGCGAGTGGCGATGGCACCGCTCATGGCTGCTGCGGCTCAAGCGTCGTCGAGTGATCGAGATGTCCGGCCATGGACTTGGCGCGATGCGAGCGTGGGGTCACCGTGCGCCCACGCGGTCTACGTCCCCACAGGCGGAAGCTCACATACTAGTGTATTTCTTATAACATATTCTGCTCAGTCATGATCGCATGTCTTTACATCTGCATTGGAACACGTGACATTGCCAGCACCGTACACTTTGCATGAAGTGTCGCTTTCCACCGCATGCAAATGTGACACTAGCTTAATGTTGAGCACGTGGGAGAGGTGAAACGGTAAGATTAACTGATCAAAGCCCTCAGATTACACGTAAAGGCATCAATGCCGGGAGACCAAGATTCGCAGATATCTCAGCTAGCGCAGGGTATATATAAATGCAAGAATAAAGAAGGCAGGTAACATAAAAAAGAAATGAGGGTTACGTTCTTGCGTCATCAAACCCGTTTCGTATAAAAATACCGTGGTGCCTACCACGCCCACACGAGTGCCCTTTAAACATGCATCCATGGCCACTGCGCGATGTCGCAGCTACCACGCCGGAGTGTATTGATCTCTCATACCACATCTGGCGGCGGGCGCTTCACAATATTTCCCTGAGGAAACACGTCGCCCTCTATTTGGTAACAGAGAAAGCGCTGCGTGCCACCCCAGTGGCGTCCTTCATCAACGGTGAGTGATCTGGCAATACGTTCTGTCCGACCTCCACTGCTTGCTGAAACCTGCTGCTCTTCAACGCCACCGGACCCTGCCGGTACACATTCCCGCCAGCGTCCCCTGCTGCTGTTGCTGCTGCTCAGCTCTAACGCTTCGGCAGCTTCTCAGCCCTGATCAGCTCTGCTGCTGCTCACTCCTCCTCCTGCTGCTGCTGCTGCTGCCGAAACAGCGCGCTGAAGGCGGAGCCGGGGTCGGTCAGCAGGTCGGACGGCGTCCCCATCTCCACCAGCTCTCCGTCAGCCATCACCAGCACCTGGTCACACCACCGCACAGCCGACACCCGGTGTCCAATGCTGATCACCGTCTTCGTCCGGAAGCTGTCCTGCACCGTCGCCTGCCGGTCACGGACGCTAGTCAGTGCTGGTCAGGCCGTGCTCAGGGTGTCAGTCAGGCGGTCAGGGCGGGTTCAAGATGTGTCAGTCGGGCGTTCAGGACGAATACGAGGTCGGTCCGTCGGGCGGTCGGGACAGCTTCAGAGCCGGTTGGTCGGGCGATCAGGACGGGTTTAAGGTCGGTCGGCTAGCGATCAGGACGGGTTCAACGTCGGTCAGTCGGGCGGTCAGGACGGGTTCAAGGTCGGTCGGCTGGCGGTCAGGACGTGTTCGGGGTTGGTCAGTCGGGCGGTTAGGACCCGTTCAGGATCGGTCAGTCGGGCGGTCAGGACCGGTTCAGGATCTGCCAGTCGGGCGGTTAGGACGGGTTCACGGTCGGTCAGTCGGGCGGTCAGGACCGGTTCAGGATCGGCCAGTCGGGCGGTTAGGACGGATTTAAGGTCGGTCAGTCGGGCGGTCAGGACTGGTTCACGGTCGGTCAGTCGGTTGGCGATCAGAACGGGTTCAAGGTCGGTCGGCTGACGGACGTGCGACAGGTGCGCTATAGCGGTGAGTGCTGTCCGCGAGGAGGACGGGCCGGCCGTCATCCACTTGGGTCACCCAATCCCGTTGATGATCGCCACCAATCACGTTCACGTGTGCTTCACAACGACCACATTACACGAATGGCAAAGGAAGACGGGAGCGCCTGATAAGCGAATACGTGGGACAGGACAAAGATAATGAGACTGAGCTTTTGGGCTGCTGGCGAGGTAAAAGCTTTGTGCATACAAGCTAATACCCAAAACAAAATCAGGAAGCCATGAAAGGTTATCAAGGTTAGGTTTCAATAACGCTCCCTTCAATTTGCCAACAGCAGATCTGCTTCGCAACTTTGTTCATGCACATTTAAGAACGTCTTTGTTCCTCTGCTGACACAGGGCGCGACTTCAGTGCAGTTGCCCGGACCCTCCTGCGCCGACGTAACAGCGGCTCGCCGAAGCACCCCACCACCTCCGTCAGCTGTACACCGGCCGCGGCCCGAGAGGCGCTCGCTCGCGACGAACCTGTATCAGCCGGTCCGTGTCCGGGTCCAGGCTGGCCGTGGCCTCGTCCAGGCAGACCACCTGCGACTGACGCAGCAGGGCGCGCGCTAGACACAGCAGCTGACGCTGCCCCTGCGACAGCTGGCGGCCCTGCTCGCTCAGCTGCATGTCCAGCGAGTCGATCACGGGCCTGTGGGGCAGCACACGCCGAGCCGGTCAGACGGCGACCGGACCAGACCATGACCGGTCCGACCCGAGCTGACATCACGGGGGAATGCGGCCCGCCCCGAGCTGACATCACGGGTGAATACGGCCCGCCCCGAGCTGACATCACGGGGGAATGCGGCCCGCCCCGAGCTGACATCATGGGTGAATACGGCCCGACCCGAACTGACACCCGGCGAAGGGGCGGGCCGTGCTGAGGCGACACCTAGTCGGGGACCTCACCTCAGGCAACCCTCTGTGAGACTGAGAGGGCTGGGCTGCCCAGATGCAGCGCCCTGACACGAAGGTCACGAAGGAAAAGCACAAAGGAAAAGCAACACACCGAGGGAGGAGGCTGACATGAGGTGACACCTGTGAGGGGAATATCTGACCTGAGGTGATACCTGTGTGGGGGAGGGTCTTCCCTAAGGTGACGCCTCTGTAGGTGAGAGTCTGACCTGAGGTGGCTCCTGTGTGGGGGGTGGGTCTGACCTGAGGTGACATCTGTGTGGGGAGGGTCTGCAATTGGGCGACACCCGTGGGGGAGGGACTGGCCTGAGGTGACACCTGTGTGGGTGACGGTCTGACCTGAGGTGGCACTCTGTGAGCGCGGCCCAGAGCACCGTGTCCGAACAGAGGCCGCTGGGGTCCAGGTTCTGCCGCACGCTACCGCTGTACAGGAACGGCTGCTGCGGGATCACCGAGAGACCTTGCCTGCGGCGCCGAGCAACGTCACGTGGTCAGGTCAGAGCCGCCAGCTGACGGGCCCGACACGTCATATCGGCCCGGTTCAGCGGGCATAACACAATGGATGGCAGTAATAGCAAGGCAGCGAGCCCCAGGTGGGAGGATAACATACCTTCTTTTGAACACCCTATGTATCATGAAAATCAACTTAACAGCGATCTGCATACACAAGCACCAGAGAGGGAGGTTTCTGTCCAAATATACGGCTCCAAAGCTGAGCTCACGAGAGATCTCAAGCAACACACCAGCGGGCAGACTCTGACCAGAAATCAGCTTGGCTGGCCCAGAGAGTCTGCCACAGTCAGCTTGAGGTTGGCAGACTAACGGGTGTGACGGTTACCTGAGCCGCTGCAGGCTGACGTGTGTGATGTTCAGGTCGTCCAACAAGATGGCGCCGTCGCAGAGCGGGTGCATCCTAAACAGGGCGGCCAGCAGCGAGGACTTGCCGGAGCCGGTTCGACCCACCACGCCCAGACTTTGGCCCGGCTCGACCGTGAACGAGACGTGGCAGAGCGCCGGCCGCAGCGACCCCCTGGCGGACACGCAGACCAGCTGAGGGGGGGGGGGGGAGAAGGGGGAGAGAACGGGCCACGGACTGGATAATATAAACAGCGAGTGCGAATAATCGGCGGGCATGGAATACGTAGCGCGTTACGGGGGTACCGGGGTATGAACAAAGTCACGGATGGACCGGGGTAGGATCGAGTCATGGAGGAGCCGATGCATGGACCGAATCACAGAGGGACTGGGGTATGGGCCGAGTCACGGACGGACAGGGTATGCACCGAGTCACGTAGAGACCGGGGTATGGACCGAGTTGTGGAGGGATCTGGGTGTGGACCGAGTCATGGAGGGAGTGGCACCCGGAACACGTGTGTGTGTGGGGGGGGGGGGGGGGGCACCCGGAGCAGCACGACATGGAGGGAGAGTGGGATCCCGGTGGTTTACCTCGCGCAGCCGCGCCTTCTACAGGAGGAACATCCACAGGATCACGGAGAGAGGGTTATGACTAACTGGCGCAAAGACCGCCGCGCGCTGGATGACCGGGTCACCAGCCCATGATGCAAACAAATATAACCAAGGGGCTTGAAAGCCGGTTGTGTCACAGGGTCGTCGTTGTCGTCGTCGTCTGATTGTCGTCGTAAAATGTCGTCGTGTCGTGTCGTACTGTCGTGCCGTGTCGTAAAATGTCGTCGACACGCCTAATTACAACAAGAAACATCAGGGACGTCCAAACCTTGCTTTTCCATGCCATCAACGACAGTGACGAAGACGATGTTTTTCAAACTGAATGTGAGAAAGCAGACCAATAAGCACGTCAGCTACACACCAAACCATCCCGCAATGTGACCCCACACCACCACGGAGGTAGCCGCCCTCACACCTAGTAGCCGCCCACACACCAGGCCCGTCGCCCCACACCACCACGGAGGTAGTCGCCCTCACACCTAGAAGCCGCCCACACACCAGGCCCGTCGCCCCACACCACCACGGAGGTAGCCGCCCTCACACCTAGAGGCCGCCCATACACCACGCCCGTCGGTCACAATGTGCCCCCACACCACCACGGAGGTAGCCACCCTCACACCAGGCCCGTCGGCACATTCGTCCCCGCCACTCTCCCCAGGTTGGCGCCCGATGCTCAAGGCCGTCGCCGCCAGCGATGGTCCGGCGCTCACCTGTAGCGCAGTGTGACGTCGACGAATGTGATGCGACCGCGCTCCGGCCAGTCGGCCGGCGGCGTGTTCAGCGCCGCTGCCGCCGCTGCCACATCCTCCTCGCCCCCGGCCGTGATGTAGTGGTGCACGCGCTCCATGCTCACCATCTCCTTCTCTGATGGCCGCGGGCGAGGCGATGGGAGGGGGAGGGGGCGATGACGGATGGGACGGGCGAACGTGCGAAAGACGGTCTATAAGCGGACAAGCTTGAACCGATTCCGATCGACTGAGACCGAATCTCCCTTGTGTCCCGTCTTTTTCTAAGGGCGATCTTCTCGTTAGACGCCGGGTTTTATCGATCGTCTGATTGAAAAGCGTGACAATACGCCTGGTGATATGCTGCTCGACTGCCGATCACTCATGCCTAGCTAGCGATAGGACGCCATCCGTGGGAACTGACGCTTACACGCTCGAACAAGACGGGCGTAGTGTCATCACGGCTAAGTTATTCCAGACAGCTTCGATGTATGGGTGCGGCGTCAACAGACCGGCCTACAGTCAGCTGTTCATCGGTGCTCACCGGTCTCAGTGAAGGAGCCCACCAGTCCGCTGAGGAAGCCGGTCACACTGAGAGCGCAGGAGATGGCCAAACCCACCAGACCTGTGACGGGGACGGGACTCAGAGGGGACTGCGGAAGCCGGTCACACTGAGAGCGCAGGAGATGGCCAGACCCACCAGACCTGTGAAGGGGCTCGGAGGGGGCAGCGGAAGCCGGTCACACTGAGAGCGCAGGAGGTGGCCAGACCCACCAGACCTGTGACGGGGCTCGGAGGGGGCTGCGGGAGCCGGTCACACTGAGAGCGCAGGAGGTGGCCAGACCCACCAGACCTGTGACGGGGCTCGGAGGGGGCTGCGGGAGCCGGTCACACTGAGAGCGCAGGAGGTGGCCAGACCCACCAGACCTGTGACGGGGCTCGGAGGGGGCTGCGGGAGCCGGTCACACTGAGAGCGCAGGAGGTGGCCAGACCCACCAGACCTGTGAAGGGGCTCGGAGGGGGCTGCGGGAGCCGGTCACACTGAGAGCGCAGGAGATGGCCAGACCCACCAGACCTGTGAAGGGGCTCGGAGGGGGCTGCGGGAGCCGGTCACACTGGGAGCGCAGGAGATGGCCAGACCCACCAGACCTGTGAAGGGGCTCGGAGGGGGCTGCGGGAGCCGGTCACACTGAGAGCGCAGGAGGTGGCCAGACCCACCAGACCTGTGACGGGGCTCGGAGGGGGCTGCGGGAGCCGGTCACACTGAGAGCGCAGGAGGTGGCCAGACCCACCAGACCTGTGAAGGGGCTCGGAGGGGGCTGCGGGAGCCGGTCACACTGGGAGCGCAGGAGATGGCCAGACCCACCAGACCTGTGAAGGGGCTCGGAGGGGGCTGCGGGAGCCGGTCACACTGAGAGCGCAGGAGGTGGCCAGACCCACCAGACCTGTGACGGGGCTCGGAGGGGGGCTGAGAATTGGAGTCTGAGGAGCCTACAATTACTGCACGCAGGACCAGACTGGGACACACAGCGAATGGGATTCGGAAGCAGCGTCCAGGACAACGGTTTTTTATATTTGTTTTTAGGGAAACGCGATCTATGTCATCACGCCTCTTTTTTGGAACGCCAGTGACTGGATTGGCCATATATTTAGTCTTCACGGGCCATGGCGTAACCGGAATTCGCACACGCCCGTCCCGCGTGGAATTCCGTCGTGGCTGAGCAAGAACTTGTGTTTTGTTTCGTCCGTGATGAAAGGCAGAGGACCAGAGGAGGATACCAGCAGTACTCCGTTCATATTTCCATCAAAGCCGCAAGCCGATAATCCTCCTTACCGACACTATTCATTCCCACGCCACATGCTCAATCGTCAGTCTGCCTGACCCGGCGGACGCCTCTCACCTGCGTGCACCTGCACGCCCACGTGGTGCTTGAACACGGCCAGCAGCGCCACGCCCGTCACCATGACAACGCCAATCATCTGCAGCCGGAAATTGAGCCAGGCCACCGAGGCCTGTGTGGCGAAGCGCGCCCTCTGGTTCTGCTCCAGCCGATCCGACATCTCCAGGATCATCCTGAGCAAGAGCGGCGCTGCTTTACTGATGGGGCGGTGGTTGGCAAGCGTGATACAAGCCTGATAGCGGCCGCTGGTAATCATTCGTAAGTGGTAAGGTGGCCAGGATATGCCGGATCCCGCTTCGAACGGGGAGCCCTGGATCAGCAGCCGTTGGTGGCCAGGGCACAGGCCGCCACTGCCGTCCTCAGAGAGTACAGCCAGGCCAAAGAGCTTAACACACATGTGCGCGAGCTCAGTACACGGGAACGTGAGCCAGTGAGCACCCGTGCTGTGTGCCGCACCAATTCAAGACTCCACCGGCGGCGAAAAAAAAACTGCTCGGCCTGTCTTGATCAACTTTCAGAGGTTATGATACACGCACGCAAGTGGGTCATCCAGACAGCCCAGGTTCACAAAAAGCTCAGTTCAAATTCACCATCTTCAATGCGTCTTTTCAACATCATGAAGGCGCCTGACAAAGAACACAATGGGGTCAAAAACTGGGAATCCGACATTTCGATAGGAGTCGGATACTGTCATCTGACCACCTGACCACCCGACCACACAACCACCCCACTACTCGACCACCCAACCACTCGACCACCCGATCACCCAACCACCCGACCACCCAGCCACCTGACCACACGACCACCCGATCACCCAACTACTCGACCACCCAACCACTCCACCGTCCGAACACCGGACAACCGCGCTCTGGCAGCAGCCGCACCTGTCGCGTCCTCGCAGCGCTCGCACTGTGGCCAGGCCCGACAGCGTCTCCACAAAGTGCACGTACACGGGCGACAGCGACAGCGTGGAGAGCCGCTTCAGCTCCCGGGACGTGTACCTGACGACGACATACCAAATACGCGCTGCATTTGTACCGATCCACAAATTTTTGTCATCCACCAAGATGGTGAACGTCATCGTATGACAAGCGTGAATCTTTAAACGCAACATCTGTGAATAAGTCAGGAGTTATGGAATGCAAACGAAGTCCCACACTGCAACAACAATTAGGCGACGTGCACTCAGGAACACAATATCAGAACCGTAACTATCGTGCGTTATCCACGACAGATTCCCCATGATGAACTCCCTCTGATAATCGCTAAGCAAACTACAAAAGACAACACAGAAGTGATGCCGAAGTTACCGTGAAAAATGAGAAAAGTTCAAATGCCATATGCTTGAAACAACCAAACTTGAAATCCAAACCAGGTCCGATAATAAATGAGCACTTGCCTGTAGAAGTTTTGAATGTAATAGTACACGACACCCAACGGCAGCAAAAGCAGGCCGATCCATGGCAGACTTATCACAGTGACGACCGTAAACCCTGGAGGAAAAAGACAATCTAATCTTGAAACATCCGAAAAATGTTGAATGCGAGTTGCCAACACTAATACACTTTTGGAGAGCTACAGCAACATCCCGACCCTTCATTCACAAACGATAGCTTAGAAATGACAACCTTGTTGACATTTCTCATTCGCTTATGTCTTTCAAGATATATAAAGCTAATTAAGAAATTATAAATGCTTAGGGACATAACAAAATGCTTGCCTAAATACAAATTCACTCGAGGAGCTTTATACGCCATCATTTCAGTCAGCGGTGGAAAAATCCTGTTGTCGCCCACACTTCGGGCGACAGGAATCGTTAAGTTATGTACAATCCTTCCAACCTAAAAACGAGTTGGCACTACATTGGGCGTTTGACCGTCTAACGGTAAGGTTCAATTAACTGTCGAGAATAGGTTCCATTGACACGTCACATCCTTGACGATTCGAGCCCTGGTTACCTGCATCACGTACAACAATGACTTAAAAGATCCCAAGTCTTTGACAGAAAAGCAGAACGACGGTGCCGAAACCAACGGTCATCAGGCGGCTGCGCATGATCAAAACCATACTCCCGCTCGGCATACCGGTCAGGCCAGCCATCTGGGCCAGCAGGATGTTCAGGATGAACGGCAGCGAGCTGTCTATGGTGAACAGGTCCGACGAAAACCGGTTCACGATACGGCCCACAGGGTTGAACGCGAAGAACGACAGGTCGGCCTGCAACACACAGCAGTAACCGCCAACTCAGCCGTATCCGCCGGGCGTATGCCGAAGAAGGAGCTTAAATAATACGGGGAACGCTCACAGCAGCTAACCAAAAAAGTCTGACCCCATTCGTGATCTAGGAAAGCACGTCAAAATGCAAACAATCTGCAATCTAAGTGTTTCGCTGCATCCGGGAAAGGTAAACGTAAGCTGGTGGATCACTGACGACAAATGACCGTCGTCTGCCAGTACGCAGATGTTTGTTATCTGGGATTTCATGGCAGCTGCCAGAACTCAGTGGCCATTTTAGGTGATTGCGAACTGGAGCATCAGTCGGCATTTCTGACCATCGAGGTTTACAATGATCGAAACGACTTGTCGCCTTCCATAATGGACAAATTACAAATTAAAGTTGCATGCTGTCAAGACGCTTTGCACTGAGAACACTGAAGGTCATGTTTGGCCTAACGGTCTCCTGAAGAGACTTTCAGTATCATCTTTTCATTGCATATCGTCGTTTGTTTCACGCTTGTTAACCGATTCCTCGTGATATTCTGCAGGTCAATTATTGTAATCGTTAGTACATATTCATGATTCTTATTATTCAATATAAAAAGTCCTTACACTATTACCGCTTGGTGATCATTCGCTCACACCACTTTTAACACGAATAACGACGCTCACGATAGAGGCAGCCACAATCACAGCCACCACTCTGCATCAGCATCAGCGCCCCGCAAACACGTGACATCCCGCCAACGTACCTGGAGCACGGCCTGCAGCAGGTGGTCGTGCACGACGCGCGCGGCGCGCACGCCGCCGTACGCAAACAGGAACGACCTGAGCAGGGCCAGCGAGGCGTTGAGCGCCGCGATGCCGCCGTACACCTGGAAGAAGCGGCGCTGGTGGCCGGCCGGCGCCGCCACCGGGCCCGCCTGCAGCCGCACGCCCAGCAGCGGCACCGTCAGCGTCACGTTACCCGGCGCCGACGAGCCCGTCACGAAGTAGCCTAGCCACAGGTCGGTGGCGTTACTGCTGGCCTGCGGGAGATCCCGGAGCGTCAGAGCGGACGGGCGACGGCTGGCGGCGAAGTTGCGGACTGCGGAGCCTGTGTGCGTGTCTCGGGGGAGGGGGAGTCAGTGGGGCGGGACGCCGTTGGCGGTCCTCATGCCTACAACACTCGGCGGCAACCGAGAGAGAAACACGCGCCCGTCTAGAAGCCTTCTCACTCACACGCCTCACGTCAAATGCTCATGGGCTTGAAAGACTCACTCGCATCACAAGACAAACGCCACGCCAAGCTAAGGATTATGTCTTCAGGCTGGCAGTCGCCACCAGCGTTGCCACAAGCCCTGCCCGGGCGTCGGCCAGCGGCAGCGCGCCGGCCGGCCGCCGCCCCGTGCGCCAGCCGCACCTGCATGCAGATCACTGAGGCGAGGATGAGTGGCGCCAGACAGCGTCCGACGGCGCGGTAGTAGGCGGTGTACACGGGCCAGCGCACGGCGCCCAGCACTCGCTCCTCGGCCAGCACCGTGTCCAGCGCCTCCGACTCGGCCGGCGAGTCGGGGGGCGACGCCGAGTCGTCTGAGCCGGCCACCATCGGGTCTGTCGGCGAGTCGGGCGCCTCGGCCAGCAGCTCCGCTGGAGGGCCTGTCAATCGGGGACGGGGTTTAAGGTCCGTTACGCTGTACAGCCTGGCGACTGAGGGATCAGCACGGATCACCTTCGGACTCAGGACGCCACCGCAGGGAGACGGCGCAGCGTGGGTCTCTCCGAATGTCGATCCACCCAAACAGCTCTTCCTGCCGTACTGCCCCCGTTTCTCTCCATATGTCGATCCACCCAAACAGCTCTTCCTGCCATACTGCCCCTGTTGAGCCAGCTTGGACTCTATGGTACTATCATCTACCAATGTTATTTAAGTGCCTGTGATACAGCAAGACAATTATGCCACCGGGCTGATCCAGCCAGTGACCCACCCTGCATGCTGACCCAGCCAGTGACCCACCCTGCATGCTGACCCAGCCAGTGACCCAACCTGCATGCTGACCCAGCCAATGACCCATCCTGCATGCTGACCCAGCCAGTGACCCACCCTGCATGCTGACCCAGCCGCGCTCCATGACCACCAGCCAGTCGGCGTGGCGCAGCAGGCTGGCCTGGTGGCAGCAGAGCAGCACGCTGGCGCCGCGCAGCAGGCGGCGCACGCACGCGTTCATCACGTGCCGTGCCACGCGCGGGTCCAGCGACGAGAAGATATCGTCCAGGATGTACACGCGCAGGTCCTGGCGGATGGGCGGGGGTCGTCGCGGTCACGCAGTGGTCGCACTGGTGACCTCTCGGGGCGGGGGTCGCACTGGTGACCTCTCGGGGCGGGGGTCGCACTGGTCACCTCTCGGGGCGGGGGTCGCACTGGTCACCTCTCGGGGCAGGGGTCGCACTGGTCACTTCTCGGGGCGGGGGTCGCACTGGTCACCTCTCGGGGCAGGGGTCGCACTGGTCACCCTCTCGGGGCGGGGGTCGCACTGGTCACCTCTCGGGGCGGGGGTCGCACAGGTCACCTCTCGGGGCGGGGGTCGCACTGGTCACCTCTCGGGGCGGGGGTCGCACTGGTGACCTCTCGGGGCGGGAGTCGCACTGGTGACCTCTCGGGGCGGGGGTCGCACTGGTCACCTCTCGGGGTCGCACTGGTCACCTCTCGGGGCGGGGTCGCACTGGTCACTCTCGGGGCGGGGGTCGCACTGGTACCTCTCGGGGCGGGGGTCGCACTGGTCACCTCTCGGGGCGGGGTCGCACTGGTCACTTCTCGGGGCGGGGGTCGCACTGGTCACCTCTCGGGGCGGGGGTCGCACTGGTCACCTCTCGGGGCGGGGGTCGCACTGGTCCCTCTCGGGGCGGGGGTCGCACTGGTCACCTCTCGGGGCGGGGGTCGCACTGGTCACCTCTCGGGGCGGGGGTCGCACTGGTACCTCTCGGGGCGGGGGTCGCACTGGTGACCTCTCGGGCGGGGGTCGCACTGGTCACCTCTCGGGCGGGGGTCGCACTGGTGACCTCTCGGGGCGGGGGTCGCACTGGTGACCTCTCGGGGCGGGGTCGCACTGGTCACCTCTCGGGGCGGGGGTCGCACTGGTGACCTCTCGGGGCGGGGGTCGCACAGGTCACCTCTCGGGGCGGGGGTCGCACAGGTCACCTCTCGGGGCGGGGTCAGCTGATGCAAGTCTCGCCACGACTTGAATGGATGCGAGCGAGACTCCCTCTACAAAGCACAGGGCCTAGGCCCAGATACTGCAACGGGACATTTTCGCAGGCCAGAGGCGACTCGGCCAGTGCTCTCACTATCACCTTCGCTAAATGCCTAGACGGCTGTAAACAATATTATCGCGTGCATAAGCCAAGAGAGCAACACGCGTTTCAACGGTGGCGAACCACCACACTGGAGAGGTCAGGCTGGCACCGCATCCCCAGCCTGGTGCCGCATCCCCACCTCGGTGCCGCATCCCCAGCCTGGTGCCGCATCCCCATCTCGGTGCCGCATCCCCAGCCCGGTGCCGCATCCCCAGCCCGGTGCCGCATCCCCAGCCTGGCACCGCATCCCCACCTCGGTGCCGCATCCCCAGCCCGGTGCCGCATCCCCACCCCGGTGCCGCATCCCCAGCCTGGTGCCGCATCCCCACCTCGGTGCCGCATCCCCACCCCGGTGTTGCATCCCCAGCCCGGTGCCACATCTCCAGCCTGGTGCCGCGTCCCCACCTCGGTGCCGCATTCCCACCCCGGTGCCGCATCCCCACCTCGGTGCCGCATCCCCACCTCGGTGTCGCATCCCCAGCCCGGTGCCACATCTCCAGCCTGGCGCCACATCTCCAGCCTGGTGCCGCGTCCGCACCTCGGTGCCGCATCCCCAGCCTGGTGCCGCATCCCCAGCCTGGTGCCGCATCCCCACCTCGGTGCCGCATCCCCAGCCTGGTGCCGCACCCCCAGCTCGGTGCCGCATCCCCAGCCCGGCGCCGCGTCCCCAGTCCGGTGCCACGTCCCTGGTCCGGTACCGCGTCCCCAGCCCGGTGCCGCGTCCCCAGCCCGGTGCCGCGTCCCCAGCCCGGTGCCGCGTCCCCAGTCCGGTGCCACGTCCCCAGCCCGGTGCCGCATCCCCAGCCCGGTGCCGCGTCCCCAGCCCGGTGCCGCGTCCCCAGTCCGGTGCCACGTCCCTGGTTCGGTGCCGCGTCCCCAGTCCGGTCCCACGTCCCCAGTCCGGTGCCGCATCCCCAGCCCGGTGCCGCGTCCCCAGTCCGGTGCCGCGTCCCCAGTCCGGTGCCACGTCCCTGGTCCGGTGCCACGTCCCCAGTCCGGTGCCACGTCCCCAGTCCGGTGCCACGTCCCCAGTCCGGTGCCACGTCCCCAGTCCGGTGCCACGTCCCCAGCCCGGTGCCGCGTCCCCAGCCCGGTGCCGCGTCCCCAGTCCGGTGCCACGTCCCCAGTCCGGTGCCACGTCCCCAGTCCGGTGCCACGTTCCCAGTCCGGTGCCACATCCCCAGCCCGGTGCCGCATCCCCAGTCCGGTGCCACATCCCCAGCCCGGTGCCACATCCCCAGTCCGGTGCCACGTCCCCAGCCCGGTGCCGCGTCCCCAGTCCGGTGCCACGTCCCCAGTCCGGTGCCACGTCCCTGGTCCGGTGCCACGTCCCCAGCCCGGTGCCACGTCCCCAGTCCGGTGCCACGTCCCCAGTCCGGTGCCGCGTCCCCAGCCCGGTGCCGCGTCCCCAGCCCGGTGCCACTTCCACAGTCTGGTGCCGCGTCCCCAGTCCGGTGGCGCATCCCCAGTCCGGTGCCGCATCCCCAGCCCGGTGCCGCGTCCCCAGCCCGGTGCCGCGTCCCCAGTCCGGTGCCACGTCCCCAGCCCGGTGCCGCATCCCCAGCCCGGTGCCGCGTCCCCAGCCCGGTGCCGCGTCCCCAGTCCGGTGCCACATCCCCAGCCCGGTGCCGCATCCCCAGTCCGGTGCCACGTCCCCAGCCCGGTGCCGCATCCCCAGCCCGGTGCCGCGTCCCCAGCCCGGTGCCGCATCCCTGGTTCGGTGCCGCATCCCCAGCCCGGTGCCGCATCCCCAGCCCGGTGCCACGTCCCCAGCCCGGTGCCGCGTCCCCAGCCCGGTGCCGCGTCCCCAGCCCGGTGCCGCGTCCCCAGTCCGTCACGCTCACCTGGTACACGGCGCGCGCCAGCGCCACGCGCACGCGCTGCCCGCCGCTGAGACTGGCGCCGTTCTGCGTCACCTGGGTCAGGTCGCCCGCGGGCAGCGAGTCCAGGTCAGCGGTGAGGGCGCAGGCGGCTATCACGGACCTGGGCGATCAAACGAACAGAATATCTCGGTGACATGGCACGCGTGGCGATCTGGGGATACCTCGAGCAGAACAGGCGGGACCGAGTATAAGCAGATCAAAGAAAATAATATAAGTAGCATTATGCGGTTAAAAAGATTATATAAGCTAGGGCGCTAGCACGCAAAATCGCTTCTTGCAGATATAGCGAACAGAATGTCTGCTATCGCCCTTATTTTACTGACCTGAGTACACTGAAACGCCACCTAGCATCTTGCAACATCGCGTAGAGGGGCATACCAGATATTGGCCATCGCCGTTATGTAACAACCTCTAACGATGCCGGACGCCTTTAGAATAGACGCATCAACCGCACTCAGTTACCTGGCAATGCTTTATGTACAGGTTATCAGCGCATTTACCTGTACTTCTCCACGTTGTAGGCAGAGCCGAACAGTATGTTGTCGCGCACGGTGCCTTGCTGCAGCCACGGATCCTGGGACACCAGTCCCACCCCTGCCGGCCGTGACGTCATCGGTCAGGCCGCGCCCAACCCACGGACAACACCGAAGGGAGCAGGACGTCACAACCGAGCCGTGCTCGTCTGTCACACAGGAGGGTCACCTCAGGAGCCCCCAGTCGGCAAACGCGCCAGTGTTGGGCGGCTCGACCCAGCACGCGTTGCAGGCCCAGCCAGCGGCACCAGCGCGGCGTACCTCTGTGTCTGTCGGCGAGGTGGACGAGGCCGTCCTCCTTGATCAGCTCCCCGAGCACGGCGTACACCAGACTCGACTTGCCGCAGCCGACAGGCCCCATCAGGCCCACCACCTGACCCTGCCGATGAGGGAAGGGGTAGCCGTGAGCACCGCAGCTTTCACATCAAACACGCACATCCCAAAACCCGTTTAATGTACACGCATCCTCCACGACAATGCCCGAAAACACATGGTACGCATGTGCCTCCCTTGTACATGCTAGGAGCAGTATGCAAGTCACTGCCGGTACAATAAACGATGCACTACGCGTCCCTTCGAAATGTACTGCAGGACGCGAGGCGCTCCAGTTCCATAGCCATCGATGCCGTCGCCGCGACCATCCCAGAGCGCCGGACATCCGCGCCGATCACCCCAGAGCGCCAGACATCCGCGCCGACCGCTCCGGAGCGCCGGACATCCGCACCGACCGCTCTGGAGCGCCAGACATCCGCGCCGACCGCTCCAGAGCGCCGGACATCCACACCGACCGCTCCGGAGCGCCGGACATCCGCGCCGATCACCCCAGAGCGCCAGACATCCGCGCCGACCGCTCCGGAGCGCCGGACATCCGCACCGACCGCTCCGGAGCGCCGGACATCCGCGCCGATCACCCCAGAGCGCCAGACATCCGCGCCGACCGCTCCGGAGCGCCGGACATCCGCACCGACCGCTCCGGAGCGCCGGACATCCGCGCCGACCGTTCCGGAGCGCCGGACATCCGCACCGACCGCTCCGGAGCGCCGGACATCCGCACCGACCGCTCCGGAGCGCCGGACATCCGCGCCGACCGCCAGGTCCATACGCGGGGTCGCCGCCGGCCAGGTGCTCTCTGCGCCCGCTCGGCAGGACAGGGGTGGCCGGCGCGCGCCGCTCACCCACCCGACGGACGTTGACGCTGACGTCCCAGAGCTTGATCTGCGAGCGCTGGTTTCCGCCGTACACCAAGTCCGACATGGAGGCGTCCAGGCTGGAGGACGCGGGCGACTCGGCCTCGGACGACCCCGGCGGCGGCGGTGGTGGCGCGCCCCAGTGAAAGAAGCCCTGCCGCGCGCGCGCGGGGAGTGGTGAAGCGGCGGTGGCAGACAGGCCGACTTTGGCGGGAGCTCCAGGAGGAAAGCTCCGACAGGTCAAAAGCTGGGTGCGGTCTTGACAACCGAGCCGCAGAGGGCATCGGCTGAGTGTAATAACTCAGGGCACCAGCCCACAGGCGGCGGTCAGACTTCAGCGGATGACGCGAGAAGCACATTTGTAGAAGAGCTTCCCACCCGGCCAGCAACTGATGACATGACAATATACCTATAACAAACAGCAAACCACCTTGATGGCGGCAATTTGGAACCGCGTATGATTCACCAGAGCAGACAATTTGGAACTACGAGTGATTCACCAGCGCAATGACACATTCAGAGGCGGTCGACTGCCACGTGTGGCGCGTGACCACATGCCTGCCACAGGGTACCTGCCGGATGGAGATGTCACAGTCGGCCGCGTCCGCCGGCAACTCGTCCGGTGGACAGTAGTACTGGTCTGGGTCCAGGTCCGGCAGCTGTGGACCGACGGGGACACACGCACGACCGTCAGAGGTCAGACGCACTGTGCCTCGGACGTCACTGAGGGACAACCAGGTGCTCGGATAGCGCGCTGGCTGACTCAGGTATCGGTCCGCATCGGCCGGACAGCCGGGTAATCTGAAGCGCGCGGACCGCCCGACCAATCAGCAGACTGAGAGCCGACGAACCCGCCACCGAGTCGACTACGTGTGTGAACATGCACCCCGCCCACGATACGACAGGCACCGCTCCAACAGGGCGGGCGCCGGTATCTGGGAGGCGGGTACGGTGCCGGGCGGCGCCGGGAGCAAGCCCCACTGACCGCCAGGAGCCGCTGCACGCGTCGGATGGAAACCAGCGAGTCCACCAGCCCGTTCAGCGCCCACGGGTAGGCGTTGATCGGACTCTTCAGCATGTTCAACAGCGCGATCGTGGTGAACACCTGGCAGAAGAGCCGGAACATGTTCGCGTCAGGGGGGGGGGGGAGGAGGGTCGACACACAGTCACCAGAGACAATGCCCGCACGTTGGTGCGGAGCCATCCGACGGGTCGCGGAGTTCAATCTGTACACTGAGATCCTACGTCACGCATAATGCTACGAGCCTCGTTTCGCGGGTTGGCTGCAGATGCTACTGCGGGACACCCGTATGTCAAGGAGGCAAAACCAGCGTCCCTAGCCCAGTCACAAGGTCGTGCTTTTAAAGGGCACCCTAGCCGGACCCACCGTGGCGGCCGTCAGCTGGTTCCCCAGGAGCACGTAGGTGCCAAAGGTCAGCAGGCACATAAGCACGGGCGTGGTGGCCCAGAAGAAGACGCACCAGGCGTCTAGATATTTCTGCTTCTTCAGGTAGCGCACCTCCTCGGCACGGCGCACTGCATCAGCAGAGAGCGGTGTCAGAGTGAGCCCGCGGCGCCGTGCGACCGTCAGCGTGAGCCCGCGGCGCCGTGCGACCGTCAGCGTGAGCCCGCGGCGCCGTGCGACCGTCAGCGTGAGCCAGCGGCGCCGTGCGACCGTCAGCGTGAGCCAGCGGCGCCGTGCGACCGTCAGCGTGAGCCAGCGGCGCCGTGCGACCGTCAGCGCGAGCCAGCGGTGCCGTGCGACCGTCAGCGTGAGCCAGCGGCGATGGGCGACCGTCAGCGTGAGCCCGCGGCGCCGTGCGACCGTCAGCGCGAGCCAGCGGTGCCGGGCGACCGTCAGCATAAGCCAGCGGCGCCGTGCGACCGTCAGCGTGAGCCCGCGGCGCCGTGCGACCGTCAGCGCGAGCCAGCGGTGCCGGGCGACCGTCAGCGTGAGCCAGCGGCGATGGGCGACCGTCAGCCTAAAAAGCTTGCGGCGAGCAATATAACCCACACTGACAGCGCTGGCGGTCGCTGTATAATGACGAAAGTTTGCGGCGCATTTTGACCTTAACACCGAGCTGTGAGGGGCTGACCATTTACATGAAGCGCGGTCGCACGTCCTTACCTCCGATGACGCCGGCGAAGAAGCTCTCCCAGCCGCTGAACTTGACGGTGCGGATGCCCTGGAGGACCTCGGAGGTCAGCTTCACCCGGTCGTCCTTATGCTCCAGCATGCCGGCGCTGTACTCACCTGTAGCACACGGGCGCCGGGATACGGGCTGGCAGCGCCGGGATGCAGGCTGGCGGCGCCAAGATACAGGCTAGCGGCGCCGGGATACAGGCTGGCGGTGCCGGGATACAGGCTAGAGGTGCCGGGATACAGGCTGGCGGCGCCAGGATACAGGCTAGCGGCGCCGGGATACAGGCTAGCGATGCCGGGATACAGGACTAGCGGCGCCGGGATACAGGCTGGTAGCGTCGGGATACAGGCTAGCGGGCCGGGATACAGGCTAACGGCGCCGGGATACAGGCTAGCGGCGCCGGGATACAGGCTGGCAGCGCCGGGATACAGGCTAGCGGTGCCGGGATGCAGGCTAACGGCTAAGGGATACAGGCTGGAGGTGCCGGGATACAGGCTGGCGGCGCCGGGATACAGGCAAGCGGTGCCGGGATACAGGCTGGAGGTGCCGGGATACAGGCCAGGATACAGGCTAGCGGCGCCGGGATACAGGATAGCGACGCCGGGATACAGGCTAGCGGCGCCGGGATACAGGCTGGCAGCGCCGGGATACAGGCTAGCGGTGCCGGGATACAGGCTAACGGCGCCGGGATACAAGCTGGAGGTGCCGGGATACAGGCTGGCGGCGCCGGGATACAGGCAAGCGGTGCCGAGATACAGGCTGGAGGTACCGGGATACAGGCTGGCGACGTCGGGATACAGGCTAACGGCGCCGAGATACAGGCTGGAGGTGCCGGGATACAGGCTAGCGGCGCCAGCATACAGGCTAGCGGTGCGGGGATACAGGCTGGAGGTGCCAGAACACGGACTGGCGGTGCCGGGATACAGGTTGGCGGCGCCGGGATACAGGCTGGCAGCGCCGGGATACAGGCTGGAGGTGCCGGAACACGGACTGGTGGCGCCGGGATGCAGGTTGGCGGTGCCGGGATACAGGCTAGCGGCGCCGAGATACAGGCTGGAGGTGCCGGGATACAGGCTGGCAGTGCCGGGATACAGGCTGGCGGTGCCGGGATACAGGCTGGAGGTGCCGGGATACAGGCTGGCGGTGCCGGGATACAGGCTGGCAGCGCCGGGATACAGGCTGGAGGTGCCGGAACACGGAATGGTGGCGCCGGGATGCAGGTTGGCGGTGCCGGGACACAGGCTAGCGGCGCCGAGATACAGGCTGGAGGTGCCGAAACACGGACTGGTGGCGCCGGGATGCAGGTTGGCGGTGCCGGGATACAGGCTAGCGGCGCCGAGATACAGGCTGGAGGTGCCGAAACACGGACTGGCGGCGCCGAGCCGTCAACGTTATCTATAACCGGTTAGGACCGAAATCCATTTGCACTTTAGCCGGACAGGTACCAAGATTTATCAAGCTTTGGTCACGCAACAAGACAACACGACAAAGGTCGCAAATTTCTGCTGGTACTTCTACCGGTCGTACTGCGTAATCGGTTGTGACTGAAAACGATACATCGCTGTTCGAGACGTAGGCGCAATGGTGGCCGAGAAAAAGAACCTAGCAACAGGAATCTGTCGGCACATTTGACCTCTCCAAGTCCGACATATCAAAACACACTTCTCAGTTTCATCGGCACTTTCGCGTTTCAGCATAAAGGCAGAACAGGTCCTAGCAGAGAGTCGCGCCACATTGTAAGACTCTTCCCACCCAGTGACAATGACTGTACCCGTCGGCAGCACGGCAAGCTCCGAAGGCAGCGGACCGAGGTACACCAGTCTAACGGAACCACGCCCAGGACCGACAAAGCCAGGCCCCGGAACGACCGCGCTAGGCCCAGGACCGACCGAGCTAGGCCCAGGACCGACCGAGCTAGGCCCGGGGCCGACCGAGCTAGGCCCAGGGCCGACCGAACTAGGCCCAGGGCCGACCCAGCCAGGCCCAGGACCGACAGAGCCAGGCCCCGGCACGACCGAGCTAGGCCCAGGACCGACCGAGCTAGGCCCAGGACCGACCGAGCTAGGTCCGGGGCCGACCGAGCTAGGCCCAGGGCCGACCCAGCCAGGCCCAGGACCGACAGAACCAGGCCCCGGAACGACCGAGCCAGGCCCCGGAACGACCGAGCCAGGCCCCGGAACGACCGAGCCAGGCCCCGGAACGACCGAGCCAGGCCCGAGGCCGACCGAGCTAGGCCCAGGGCCGGCCCAGCCAGGCCCAGGGCCGACCGAGCTAGGCCCAGGGCCGACCGAGCTAGGCCAGGGGCCGACCCAGCCAGGCCCGGGGCCGACCGGGTCAGGCCCAGGACCGACTGAGCCAGGCCCAGGACAGACTGAGCCGGACTCAGGACCGACCAAGCCAGGTCATCACCGGGCCCATCACGCCTACCCGTTTTGTTGGCGATCCACTTGTTGAGGGGCACCAGCGCCACGGCGAACGCCAGGCCCGAAAGAAAGGAGACGCCAATTTGCCAGTAGAGCAGGTACAGGGTGACGCAGAACTGCAACAGGCGCGGTGTGACGTGACGTGACGCTCGGCATGATGCGCCGGCGGGCGGCTGGGCCGCAGCGCAGTGGTAGAACCCACAAGCTGACACTGTGTGGGCGTCGCCCACATCACCTTCCTCACAACTGACGGCACTGCGCAAACTATATTGGTACACAACACCGGTTCAAAACAGACGTCGGCACCTATGGCAGGCGGCCTGCTCACAATGCTCACAACCTTCCGTACAAATGGCCGGTCTCATTGCCTTCGTGGCATTGAGATACCAGCTGATCGCATGCAGGTCGAGAAGGAAACCATCCGGCTTTTACCTGAAACGGGAGGCTCCAGAACGCGTGGAAACTGCTGCAGAGGTTGACGACACGGTCCGTGTCCACGCTCATGTATGTCATCACCTCTCCCGAACTGGAAACGGGAGCGGCGCGTGAAAACGTGCCCGGCCAGAGAGCCGAAAAAACGCGGACACGACAACACATGTCCACCAGAGAACAGGCTAAAAAGCAGCACGAGACAAAGCCTCGGTGTACTTAATATTCGACATAAACTGCAAACGCGAACTACACAACAAGGCGGAAAATTCGTCGTCATTTTTGTCATTGGGGCTTTACGACGCATTCAGCTGCTGAGGCTAAGGCGTCGACCGCCCGTCATCCTGGCAAGAAGGGCAGGAAGGGAGAATGCGCCAAATTAAAGCGATGTAGATGAAAGGCAGTGTTTTCTTCTAATAAACAAAAGCAAAGCTTCCACTTCACCCACCACCAACCGGCACCCATCGACGCCAGCTACGCACCTCATCTTGGCCAGCTGGGCGAGCGGCACGTCCAGGGTCTTCCTGTAGATGGTGGCGATGAAGGCGGCGCGCACCTTGAGGCCCACCTTGGCCAACCGGTAGTCGTACTGCGTGGTGCAGAGTACCCCTGCGGCGCGGAGCACGTATCAGCCCCGCGACACGCACGCCACCAGCACCACCGCAGCCGCCGTCACCGCCACCAGCACCGGCAGAACGAGAGGTGCATACAACGCGCGTCGGCGCAGACTGCAGCGCCTTCAAGAGCACCTCACGATCCCGAGGGAAAGGAGCGCGCGTCTGAAACAATGCACGCCATGACCGGCGGTGGGGAAGGGGGGGGGGGGGCGCCGCAGACAACGCACGGCCAGCGAAGGCCGGCGGTGGGGCGAGGCGCGCCGCTGAGACACTGCACGCGATGGCCGGTGGTGGGGAAGGGGGGGGGGGGGCGCCGCAGACAACGCACGGCCAGCGAAGGCCGGCGGTGGGGCGAGGCGCGCCGCTGAGACAATGCACGCGATGGCCGGCGGCGGGACGGGACGCGCCGCTGCCCGCTGAGACAGGCGTCCGTCGCCCATCAAAGGCGGCGTTGACGCACGGGTGATGGCGGTAGCGGGGGGGGGGAGGGGGGGGGAGGGGGGGGGGAATATCGCCTCGCTCACCGATGACGTTGGCGGCGCAGATCATGGCGGCGTAGCTGTAACCCCTGGACATGGGCTGGTGCTCGTCCTCGATGAACGCAATGATGGCGTTAAGAAGCAGTGGGCCGGCGAATGTGGAGAGGTCGGCCACGAACTTCAGCACTCCCAGCAGCAGGTACTCAACGCCGAAACAACGCATGAGCACGCCCAGCAGAGACACCTGGCGGCACGAGCGGTCAGCATACAGACAGGTGCGCATGTGGAACCACCGAGTCAAGGCGAAATACGCTGAAATAGGACAGAGAGCCAGCGGATGTCGTCGGTGTCGGGTTTCAGGCCGTGTCGACTGTCAATGGTCCTACAGCGCCCATTACTATCGTATTAGGCAGTGGAGTCGCGATTCGAACAGGTCGTTGATATACTAAAAACAATCAACCTAAAACACCCACCCGCGTTTCATGTACGGCAGGACAGGCAATCAACACGTGGTGCACAGTTAGTACCCCATAGCATCATGGGCAGCTGGGGCTGTCATCAACAAATAGCAATTGACGGCGGGTGGCATAAGTGAGAGACGGCTGCCACAGCCCGATGCGAGGTTAGGCGATCTCCAACTTGCTGCTGCTCGAATGCCAGCGGTACCGCCATAGCTTCTCCAAAAAGGACCAAAAGATTGGGTACGTGTCCTTAGCAGGCACTGGTGCGACGGGTGCGCGCGCCCCCTGCGGAGCACGTTTGGCTTCTGCGTCGGCGAGACGATTATCGGAGATTCCCACGTGACTTGAAATCCAACACGATACGACCGTTTCTCCCGCCCGCTCCAATGAGGTAAGACGCGGCGAAAGAATATCTTGAACAAGCAGGCTAGAAAGACACGAGCCACAGACAGCCAAAACTGCCCAATGAGTCAGAGTATCAAATGTAAAAAGCTTGCACCCGCCATCTGTGTAAGTTATTGTTTTTTCCGTAAAAGGAAGTTCCAGGAATGTATGTTCAAATCCGACCGATAGTGCATTTCGCTTTCGCATGTTTGTCAACAATACGTCAGCTCCCGGAAGACCAAGCTTTAGAGGTTGTGGAGCCCGCGGGAAGCCAATAACGTACGCACACGAGATGGCAGCGGAAAAGGTGGAGATAGCAGCAAGGATTCAATACTGGTTTTCATCATTGTCAAATCCTGTTACATTATAAGACGGAGCGCTGGTCTGGGACTCATAACAAATACATTGTAGCAGCGCAATTGGGAATTCGTCTCAACTTTCGATATTAAAAATCACTTTTGACCTTGAGCATTTATGAGGCCTGCCCATTCGTACCACATATTTCACGGGCTGCATTTCATGCTGCGAGACTGGTTGCTTGTGGCAGGCTGGTTGTGGCAGGCTGGTTGTGGCTGGCTGGTTGTGGCAGGCTGGTTGTGGCTGGCCGGTTGCTACACCATTGTAAGCTGCTGATATCTGAGATGCTCGCCCGAGTTATGAACTCCGTTCTCTGAGAACCCTAGCAAACATCACTTCTGGATATGACCTGACCAGTCTCGTCCCAGTGTTACCAAACCCTCCGAGATGAGAAGGGGTGGGAGAGGGAGCGTTTCTTGCCTTCTTTGTTCTTTCCTGCATTCTGCATGGTAACGCTATAGTTTAACGCTAAGCTTGGCCACAGTTTGGATCTGCAGCTTCCGCCTGGTCGACTTCCTCTCCCTGCGATATTTCAAAATGTATTCAGCATGATGAGATCTTCTGTGAGATTAGTTGCTAAATTCACTTACCGCTAAGCCTATGCAGCTCCCATCCCACATACACCTCTGGCCCTTGCAGCCCCATCCCAGACACCTCTGGCCTGTGCAGTCCCATCCCACCGCCATCTCTGGCCTATGCAGCCCCATGCCACAGACATCTTTGGCATATGCAGCCCCATCCCACAGACATCTTTGGCATATGCAGCCCCATCCCACAGACATCTCTGGCCTGTGCATCCCCACCCCACATACATCTTTGGCATATGCAGCCCCATCCAAGACACCTCTGGTCTATGCAGTTCCATCCCACAGGCTCCTCTGGCAGCCCCATCCCACGGACACCTCTGGCCTCTTGGACGTCGCTGATGTCTCCCTTGTCTGGCCTCGGTTCGCTGACTCCGGCTGGCTATCCCCCATCACCCACCTGGATGTATCTTGTCACGTTCCCTGCCTATGTGTGCAAGCGTTGCAACAGTAAGGTAACACCATTGCTGTAATGCGCTGCCATGCTTCTCTCCAAGCCACGCTACATTTGCTGCACATTTTGACCAGCGTTCATCGATGACGAGCGCCTCACTGAGCTGGCTACTGCGTCTTGAGCGCCTGGCGTTCACAGTTGTCGCAGTGAGTGCAGCTGTTCACAGCTGTCAGTGACCAACCTCACCCACTCGCCACAGGGCAACAAGGACCCACAGCTTAGCTTTCCAACCGATGAGCCAAAGGTGAGCGGGGGAGGAGGGGAGGGAGCGGGTGGTGGTGCTCTGTGGGTGCCAAAGTGGTGGTGGTTATGTTACAGTGGTTGTAACATTCGACGATCGCTGTCATTTAAGGGTCACACAAGGTTTAAAGCGGCAAAGCCCCCTGCTCCCAAGAAGTGACGACCGTGCTTCTAAATCAAGCGATATGCACAGTTCTCATGGATTTTATCATCGCATGACACGCATGCTTCCTAATTCCACGTAACAAATACTGCCTGTAATGCCATATGAGGTGTAAAGCATGCAATGCTCGGCACCGTGCGCGCGACTCGGCGTGATGCGTGCGCCCCCGTTTGACCGTATGTACAGCATCTCTGCCGCACGCATCACATCGGCTGCCGAGCCCAGGTGACCCAGACCGCACCTGCGAGGTCGGCGGCGGCGCCTCCAGCAGTGTGTCGGCGTCGACGCGCGCCTGGAGCGCGGCCGCCCGCCGTCGCAGGCACGCCGTGAACTTGGCGTCCACGCGGTCGGTGCTGAGCGCGCGCGGCAGCTGGTGCAGGTCGGCGATGGTGTGCAGCTGCCGGCGGCGGCCGCGTCGCATCAGCGGCTGCGTCCACCAGAAGGTCAGCAGCGAGAAGCAGGAGGCGCCGTGCTCGGCGGCGCCCAACTGCCGCCCGGCCGGCGAGGACGGTCGCACCAGCAGCGGTTCGCGCTCAACCTCGATCGCACCGGCCGGCCCACCCGGCAGCAGCGTCAGCAGCCGCGCCAGGCCCACGGCAAGGTACGTCGCGTCGCAGCAGAGCTGCGCCAGCGGCAACGCGCCACCCACGCGTCGGTACGCCAGCACGCTGCCGGCCAGGTGGACGGCGCCCAGCGCCAGTAGCAGCGCGGCAGGCGCCAGCAGCGCCGGCGGACCGCGCGTGCCGCACAGCAGCCGGGAGCGTGCCGCGCCCGAGACCAGCGCAGCCACCATCCAGGCGGCGGCCAGCAGAAGCGGCGAGAGCGCGGCGGCCGCCCACCAGCGCTCGGTCAGCGCTGCGAACGCCGCGAGCCGCACCAGTGAGATGGCTGCCAGCAGCAGCGACAGCCAGAGCCGGGCGGTGAGGAGGCGGTGCGCCGCCGGCGGCCGCTCCACGCCATCCGGCAGCCGCAGCGCACGGTCCAGACAGAGCGCAGCCGCCACCAGGTACAGCGCGCACACGGGCACGTCGACGGCCAGCGCCTGGCAGCAGGGCGAGAGGAAGGCGCCGGCGTCGTCCAGCGGCTGGAAGGCCGGCGTGCCGCACAGACGCCGCCAGGTCGGCGAGGCGTCGTCCGCCGCCGCGTCGCCACTAAACTCAGAAGACATGCTCGCGCTGGCAGTGTATTTGTCTATTAAACACTTCTCATCCGCGGCAAGCGCCGCCAGAGAAGCCGGCCGTCGAGCAGCGAGCAGCACAGCCCGGCACCAGCGTTAGCACTCGCGCACCTCAGTCCCAGCGCTTCTGGTAGCGCAGCAGCATGCGCTGGCTGGCAACGCGCACGATGGTCGGCGTGATGAGGCTGGTACGCGACAGTTGCGCCACGAAGCGCACCTCGCGCAGCAGTGCGACACGGTAGGCACGCACACAGATGCTGAGGAGGAGGCGCTGCTGGGCCGACATGGACACCTTATTGGCGCGCCCATCAGTCCGCCGCATGGCGACAAGGCTCTGGCCTGTGAACATGGAGCTGGTGTCACCATGATGTATTTGGCTCACCAGTGGCAGGCTGACCTGGGAGGGTGAGCACACCATGTAAACACTCCCTGAATGAAGTATTACACAAAGATGTTGAAGAGACAGGGCTTCTCAGAAAGATGCTTAATATATAAAGACTAGAAAGAAAAATAGACACTAATTGTTCTTATTTGGCCTTAGAGGCATAGCAACAGCTGTGGTCCTTTTGCACATGGACACTTGGCATATGACACATGGTGCAACCAGAGCGGAGATGAGAATGAAACACATTACAAGTGCATTGCAATTACAAGTACAGGGCACACACAACAGCATTATTGCATTGTTGATACATGTGATGTTTCAACTACATGTCAACTTTGCATGCATGTTTTGCACTCCAGAGTCACAAAGTGATGACAGGTGCTTGCCTACCACATAGTCAATAGTTACCACATCTCACTTATTTTCACAGAACTTACAAATGTTCTGAAATAAAGCTTGTCCCTGTATGTTACCTCATTATGCATGTTGATTTACCATGATATTACATCAACCCACATCAAAATACAGCTCCTGACACAACAAAATATGACCAGCCTGGTTGCATAGAAGCAAGCATAGAGTTTTCCAGATGTTTTCAGCAAGTGATGGATGGCATTGCTATCTCACAAAGGATTTATTATTGTTCAGGATCTTTTCAAGTAGTCATCCTTCTAAGAAGACCAAAAATCCAAACTGTGAGCATCCTTTATGCAGCACACAGCAAACACAATCAGCCAGCATGAACATAATTGCTTCAATTCAAATAATATAATCAACAGGATGTATTTAGTACCAACTCAAGAAGAAATGAAACCATCATTATAAATGTCATAGTTTTGGGTATTAATACTCACAATGTTAGACTGATAGATAGCTTGTCATTTTCACAAAACATTATTTAATAGCATTAAGATTTTGGCAAGAAACTGGTGATCTGACCAATACATACAGACTGAATATGAACACCAGCATGAACTGCTGAAAGAAGACTACACATAATTTTCACAGAGCTTAAGATTATTATCAAACAATGCATGTTTTTATGGGGAAACCCATCATGTATGTAAATTTAACCATATCTAACTAGATCAAAATGAAGCTCCTGACACAGCAAAATGTGACCAGCCTGGTTCCATTGAAGGTAGTGTGTAGCTTTCCATATATTTTCAGCAAGGGATGGGTGGTGCTCCCATCTCACAATGAACCTATAATGAGACACCCAGGCAGGTGTTCCTGGTTTATTTACTTCCTTGGTATGGCAATTATCATTCAGCTCAAGTGCCTCTTTGTTATATGCACCCAGTTAACAACACAACAAATAGCAAAAGCACCAGCTTCAATGTAGCATAATAAATCAAACATATATCAAAATGAACAAACCACACAAGTCAAGTAAATATGCATATATATATATATATATATATATATATATATGGATATATAAATTTTAGTCCCGGTGTGCAAGAGTGCAAAGGTAAAAACTTGTGCCTGCTGTTGCAGACTTACCATGACGAAACAACGAATGATACACCATGTTGCTGCCATTGCCATATAGAATGGAGAATGGTGAAAAGATGAAACAGTAACTGATTACATAGCACAAGAGCACTCCTCCTTACCAAGGTATGCAATTTTCAATTAATGCAATATCTCGTGCTCTTTTTATCAAACTTGCCCTGGGTGCTTCCAAACATCAATGAATATGGCAGGTATCTGGGGAATCTAGCAAGTTACCTAGCCAACCTACATAGCTAAACGCATATTGCGTTGCATATGCCCGTGGGGCGTGGAGGCACGCAGAGCTGAGACCACATTAAGTACTCACCCCACTCAATAAGTAAGATAGAAGCACAGAAAATCCATTAACACACCAGAACCTCGTAGAAAATCAAACAGATGGACACGGACTGCAGCAATGCAGACGAAGCATATCGCGCAACCAAGCCCGTGCGTTTAAGCAGTTGCGGGACATTCGGAATTGCCTGGGACAGTCAACAAAAAGGAAAGACGCTACGAAATTCCCAATAGCCATGGACTACCATCTTCGCGGTTCCTCTAGCCATGCCAGCCATGCCGCCTACATGCAGCTGACTGACATCGGTATCGACCGATGATCTCGGGTTTTATCTGGTTGCAGTTGCAGCCACATCCACATTTGGGTAATGCTCGACACAAAAACTCACATTGAAAGCGCGTATTGTGGCCTTCCTAGCAATTTTTATCTCCCCACAATGCCGGACAAATATGTATCGTAAGCATTTCGTACAGAACTCCTTACAGAACAAACGACCAACGCCCTCACCCAGGGACATAATAGCATGAAAATGAATACATCAGTGCTTGAAGGACTACGTAGTCGGCATCGCCCACCGCAGTCCATTTCGCAGACAGCCGGACGAATATTGGCATCCCGATGACGCCACACCGTGTTCTTTGGCCATTCTGGGTTTACGACAGATAGCTGGAACCAAAAAACATCTGCGGCTGAGGCATTAGTTGTACAGTAAGTCCTCCACCACACATCATAGGCCTGTGCACTGAGATAAGCCATATCCCATATCCCATAAGTCAAGCCATATCCCAAATGCAGTTGCGATCATGGGGGGGGGGGGGGGGGGGTTGATCGCTGGCGTGAATGGCAGACCGCTGACGACTCGGAGCAAATTCCACTGTATGAAAAGCACATTTCCATTGTTTACTTTATTGACGATTGTCCCTTCACCGCCAAAACAGACACCTGCCGCCAAATAAAAATATGGGGCGGCCATCTCCATGCCCAAGCTAAAATCGACACAGCATAACGGTGTGCCAGACGCCGGGCGATGCTACAGGAAAAATATGCCGCAGTCCGTTTCCCAACACACGCCATGTGGGATCGCACATCCGGACCGCTCACCGCTCACCCCATCAACGGTCCCGAGTATGGCGTCGCAACCGGAAAAACAAAAATAGACAATTTCAGCACTGAAGCTCGCCTCCGCGAAGGCGGCTTCCAAGCAGAGAAGAATGTACGCGGGGAGGACGGCAGACAAGCAGCTGGCAGCGGGCCGAGTTATGGACAGCTACTTCATCAGAGCGGAGACGACGGCCCGGGCGTTCAGGTTGCGCAGGTCCGTGTACGTCTGGCCGCAGCCCACGAACACGATCGGCTGGCCCGTGACGTACGTCATCGAGATGGCCGCACCCACCTGAAACCAGCACGCTGACGTCAGAGCCTGTCAGACCACAACGGTTCTCACTTGCCTTGCTAACTGCTGTGGGCCAAAACACGTACCGTTCTCAACCGATGGCTTGGACACCGCGTAACCGAAAACGGTAGCAAACGACCAGTGCGGCCCAGCACATTTGCGTGGTAGTCGTCATTACATCAGACAGGCGCCACGTGCGTCGTGTGATGGGCGAGGCGAAAGAAGATGTGACATCAGTTGCTATTGTATAGATGTATTTATCGTGTCTGTATATGGTACGCATGCATGTATCGTATGTGTAGGCACACGTGTATGTGTGATGCCATGTAATGTGTACCATATGCTAATCTAATGAAAACAATCATGCAGATGATGTTATATGCCTACCTCGTGACGACAGACACCATCAGCAGTCGATGCGATTGATTTCAATCAATGGTTTTGCAGGTCCACACATCATGGGAGTTCACATCAACAGGAAGACGCACATCAAGCAGGCGTGGGCCCACTGATTCGCGCCACTACTGAATTCAAACAAAAGTGGCGAACTAAGGGTCCCATCAGAGTTGGCAATTTTGATTGACGAAATCGATTAGCTTGCAATCACTCACGGTCTATAAAATGATATAATTATCGCAAAAGCGAACATTTCGCCTGCCTGTTTGCCACATTCTGTTGTCATATGGCCTTGGTCACAACAAACGGGACGTGTTTTTTTAAACGCAACTGCTGTCAGTTTCGGCCAGAGCACCTTTGATTCGAGTTCAGTTAAGGGACGGTGACATTAGCTGTATTAAAAATGATTACTGGCGGAAATTCCTGGCGTCTGGCGAATCCCTTCCCGACACGGTACGCAGACGCAACGACCCAAACATTTCCAGTATGATCGTCCATCTTCCCCTCTTTTAATAAGTCGTATCTAGTCTTCCGTCGCTACAACGCCTGGTCGACGAGGAGGTGGACCTAATTCCGGCACGAGTCCCCCAGATTTGTCGTAATTCAAAAACTGTACTTGGTTGAATTGGGGACGCTGAATCGCGGTGATATAGCATTGTCGCAGGAGAGGAACATCCGATGCAGCCGGCATGTAAAAGCAATGTAATTTATAGGGCGTGACTATTTAACATTTGTGATTTCTGTTGCTGAAGCCCGCATGAGCCTGTGTCATCAGCGGCTGCTTAGTAATAGCGTCTAGGCAATGTGCGGACTGGCTGGACCGCTCAAGTTCAGTATTTGTATCGTAGTTCAAGCAAGACCCACTCGGCCCAATGTCTCCAAATACCTCGTTACGAAACATGTAGGTTTACGACGATGAGTTGAGACGGTAAGGCAATGAGCTGAGACGGTTAGTCACATTGAGGTTAGCAAACTATCCAGCGCCACACGAGCGACCCCGAGTTTTCGATGGAAGCAGACATTATTCCCCATGTCACCGCTATCACCTTTTTTCCAAACCGTTCGACAAAAAGGAACCGTATCGCACCAACACCCCTAATCCCACTTCGCACTAATAAGCCCCTGCCACGCGCACGCCGCCAAGACCCGACACGAGGGCCCGGGACCCTGTTCGCCAGGTGGACACCCCATCACAGCCCGCCTCCGCGCGCGTGCCACCGTCCGCCGCCCGTCCCACCTTGTCGTCGATGGTGTCGAACTTGGTCAGCACAATGCCGTCGATGGTGTGCGGTCGGTCGGATGCTGAGTGGTCGGCCAGCGCCTGGTTGAACTTGACCAGCTGGTCGACGGCCTCATTGCCGACCAGCGCCTCGCCCACGAACAGCACCAAGTCGGGTTCGTTGACCTTGATCAGCTGAAGCGAAGGTGAGCCGTGAGACAGTCGACTGGGCAGACCGATGGCACACCGTGCCGGGCGGTGACCGGCTGCGGGCGGCGGTTCAAGTGAAGGCGAGCCGTGAGACAGGCGACTGGACAGGTCGACGGCACGTCGTGCCAGGCGGTGACCGGCTGCGGGCGGAGGTTCAAGTGAGCAGCACACGGCCAGCACCTATGTGACATGCTCCACCGTAGGAACTGAGGGCACGGGCATCCATGGGCACCAGGAAAACTATCTGGCGTTTTCATCACAACAGAGTGGTCCAATGCGTGAGTAAGTAGTCCATGGTAGGCACAGATGGCCCTGCAAAACACACAGGAACGACACCGAATACACAGTTTTAACGTTCTTCATCCCTCAGCCCGCTCCACCTTGCAGCATACCTCCAAGCACGTTAGAGGCCAGCACATTCTACAATGTCGTGCACGCTTCTTCGTAAAGCCAACAGTGTACACTCAACCTCCCCCCCCCCCCCCCACACCCCCGTGCACCACCACAGGTACTCTGCACTCTGCGACGTTACGTGAGCGGTGTTCCCCCCCCCCCCCCCCCCCCCCCCACCCCCCCCCCCACCCCCCCCCCCCACCCCCCCCCCCCCCCCCCCCCCACCCCCACCCCCCCCCCCCCCCCCACCCCCCCCCCACCCCCCCCACACCCCTGCCCCACACCCCCCCCCCCCCCCCCCTCCACTGGCGCCGGCGGGCCCATCGCCAGACCTTGCCGAGGGCGCGCATGAGCGGCTCGTTGTCCTGCATGCGGCCGGCCGTGTCGATCAGCACCACGTCCACCCTGGTCTCGCGCGCGAACCCGATGGCGTCGTTGGCGATGCCGGCCGGGTCCTTGCCTGTCGGGGTGGACGCGTCAGTGGCGGACACGGCGCAGTGTGCACGCGGCACGGGCTGTGACGTGGCGTGGCCTGGGAGGACGCTGTCGGTAAAAACCAAGATTAAAAGCTGCAATGGTCACAATATGGTGGTTAAAATGGTCTTTTGGAACATAGAATAATCATACAGAAGAGTGTCAGGGAAAAGCGGCGGCCAGTCCCGTCCGCACGGCAGCCGTCTGCCTTAAGCCGGCACAAGACAGCGTCTGAGCAAAATGCTCTATACCAACCATCTTTTGCATTGACTACTCGCCCCATCAGTTACTGCTCTCATCCCTTCCCTAGGTCGCACTCCTCGCCCTCCCATCACCGCTGCACATCCCCCTTCCTCCTCCCACTCCTCCTCCATCCGGCGCCACACCAGCCACAAACATCCCTCCTCCATCACTGACCGTATCCCTTCTCGTACAGCTGCACCATCTGGCGGCCGGCGTGTTTCTCGGGCGGATGGAGAGCGTTCAGATGACGCGTGTGCGTGCGCAGCTGCTCCACGGCGCCGGCGCGGAACGTGTCGCAAGCCGCGATCAGCACGCTGAAGCCGTTCTCGATCAGCCAGAAGCAGATCTGCGGCGCGGAGGTACGCGCCGGTCACGACAGTCGCTCGGGGGCCCTCCGATCGCACCGACCGGGGCAGCAGGTCGGACGTGAGCGTGGTGAGAATGACGAGCACTCATGCCGTTGAGGTGTTGGCGAGAAGACGGAGGGGGGGGGGATTTCCGCCAACGACAGCCCAGTTGGCGCAGTGTCTGGGGTATCGTAATCCACCTCGCCGAACGCACAGTCTCCTGCCAGAGCCTCCGCTGGCACTGCCTCGGACCTCCTACACATATACACTACTAAGCTCCACCAGGCCCCCGCGCAGACGAGCGAATTCTGATCAACGGGCCACAGCCTTCGTTACACGCCGTAACCAGCGCTCAGCAGCGCCCCACCTTAGCCAGGTTGGTGCTCTTGCCGACGCCGTTGACGCCGCAGAAGGCCACGACGTACGGGTTGCCGGTCTGGCGCGCCGACATAACGTCGCGCAGGATGTCGATGCGTCGCTTTGGCGAGAGGATTTGCACCAGCGAGTCCACCAGCGTCTGTCGCACTGTCTTGGCCAGTCCCTCGAACGTGCCAAGTACCTGGACCGCGTGAGAGACGGCAGGTCCTGGTTAGGAGGTCCGAAGGTAGTCGCCATGGTAGGCTGCATGGTCAGCCATGTCACATCACGAGTTTGACCCCATCTGACCCCACCCAGCGGCCGCCGGCAACCCAGCCGCGGCGGCGGGCGCACCTTGCCCTGCAGTTTGTTGGCCACCGACTCGCACAGCTTGGCCGCGATGTCGGCCGCCACATTCTTGCCCACCAGGTGGTCTCGCAGCTGGTCCAGCACCGGCGTGACATTCTCGCGGGTGATCGTCTTGTTGCCCACCAGGTTCCTGCAGGAAAGAGGAGAACCTTGGGCTCCAGCGCTGTCAAGCGGGTGTTCAGGCCGTGCCAAATGGTGGGAAATCAGGTGCAAAAAGCCGGTAGGAGAGGCCAATGCCAGTGGGTTACCTGTCCTCGCGTGTGGGCATTGGTCAGTGCCAGGCGCCATCAGAGCATGACGTATGTAGGGCCCGCCAGTAATTAGGCCAAACTGGTGTTCTGAACAGGGGTAGGGACGAGCCATGCAAGTGGAGAATCAAACCCATAGAACGGCACGATCGCCACTGCCGTCAGGGGGACCCGGCTAAGCGACAGGGGCTTGGATGCCCAGACCAGCCCGAGTGCCGTCTGTGAGTGTCGTGAGTGAGATGTGAATACAACGTCGCCAAGCGAAGGTATACAACATGGATGCCTTATTGCTTGGCATGTGAAATGCTTGTTCTTGCCTTCGAACGCATCGCGTTCGTATTCAACTCAGAAACCGATAGACAGACAACACGATTCCGCATGGGGGCGCAAGCAGCAGAAACATCCCATCTCGCCAGACGCTTCAGTCGAGCTATCAGTACCGCCGGGAGACCCATCACAAGCAAAGGCCCGGAGCAGTGACGAAACGGAGGCGCGCCCGGGGGGTACTGCACAGGCCGCGCGGGGTCGGATCAGCAGGCTGCCTGCTCGTGACAGTGCGGGCCGGCAGCCAACACGCCACGGCTGTCGCAGCACGGGCACAGCTCAAATGAGCGCCCCTACAGACGCGACCATACGGCCTTGGGAGCGTCGAATGAAGGGACGACCGGCGTAGGAAACGGCGCGGCTGGCTGATGGTGATGATTTAGGCGCTCCAGCTGTTCAGGGATAGCGTAATTTTCGGTGACATGAACAATACATTACGTTTAGCCCAGCACACGAAAACGTGCATTATTCGTTATAAATCTGTCAAGAAAACTGTGGAAGCCCACACGTACATGCTGCATACATGATGCATGCAAGCTTGTTTTCGCTTATCCAAGGATTAGATACAATGCATCGTAACTATCACAGTTCCAACAGCATCAGGCTATACACAAGATGCACCAAAATAACCGTCATATTCACGAAGTGAAGAGTCACTCACTTGAAGACGGAGAACATGCCACCGGCCTTCTTCTGCTGCGACTGCGCGTCCGCAGCCGGCTCGTCGTCGTCGCTCTCGTCCGGCTCCATGTCCTGGATGTTTCCGGCCATGGCGCCCACCATCTGTAGCACGGCCACCACCTCACTTCCCCGCCTTTCATGGGCGCCAGGTGTCAACCGTCGCGTAGCCACTCCATTGGACACTGGAAGTCCACGTGGACGTGCAGGCGCCCCGAAGCCACAGCATCGACTAGGAACGGAGCCTGGGCCACCGACGTGGCAGCCCGCATATGTCGGGTGTCCCACTCGGACACGCCTCCGCAACGGCGCAAGACCCGAGCCCGGCGCGGCGGGTCGACGGAGAGGTGCATCCACCAACGGTCCCCACCAGCGCATGGGGCAAAAGGTGGCGCCCACCATAGCTTTCTTTTCAGAGCGTCTCTAGCGAACAGTGGCGCACATCCGTCGGCCGAGGCATATAGCGGCGCGTCCCAAAAGCCAAAAGGTGCAAACAGGCCGGAGCGACAAATGCCCCGGGGACGTAGGCAGCCAGGTGACGCCAAGGCCGCCGGCGCCACATCAGTCAGCATACAGGACGACGTACGCACAGCTTGGATCGAAACGTGCAAGCGAACGCGTAGAAACTTCCAAGTGATGCGACTTTAAGAGACTGCAATCCTCTCCGGGTGACAGCATAAACAAACCTGCCCACTCGTTTTCACCTGCCCACCTAACTAGTTTGGTTTCTACGCACGTCGCGAGCCGTACTCACGCTGGCGTCGGGCACGAATTCGGGCCGGCGCGGCACGTCGTCGCCGGCCGCCTCTGAGAAGTCCAGGCTGGCCGCGTCCTTGCTGCCGCCGGACAGCGCCCACGTGCGCGCGGCCTTACCTTTCTTGCCAGCCTGCGGCGACTTGGGTCTGCGTGCAAGAACCGCCGACGCGTGACTGGGATGTGGTGTGTGCGAAGGAGGCTGGGAGCGGCGGAAAAAGGTGTAACGAGCACGTCTTGAGCGGTCTAGCGCATATCGATTCAATGGAAGATGAGTGCAAAGTCGGTAACTCTTCCGGCTTCATGATTCGCTAGTGTTGAAAAAATCCTTTTGAAATCGGGATGGTCTGCCAATTGCCAGAAAACAATCCTCAAACAGGACAAAACGGGCACGACCAGTTATAAAACGATAGGCAAACGCACGGAAGTAATCACAATCCACATTTAAAGCCTGCCATCGACTGCAGGTCAGATTCCCCAACCCAAAAATTGTCCCATAACGGAGAACCCGCCTGTCCCGAGACGCACGTCTTCGCCTCCTTCTTCTTGCCGCTAGACATCCTCATCATCATCTTGCGCCGGTTGGCCATGATTTGATCCTCCTCCGACGCGCCAGGCGCGGCCTGCGGCTCCGGCACGGGCGTCGGCTCCTGCTCCGGCTCTGGAGGAGCGTCACCATCGCGTTACGAGCGTACCTGACGGCGAGGTCCGATCAAAACGCACTGCCCGCTTCGGTGAGCAGGCAACATCTGCTGTACCCTCGTAACGCACGGCGATGGCCAGGTCAATGTATGGAGAAGGTGTCAATATAGTTAAACCCCCGCTCACGCAACAGACAGCAGGAGGGCCAGCGCTCTGAAGACCAGCGGCCGCCGCCATCTCACCATGATCACGTCCGTTCCCGTCACCGGCGCCCCCAGCATTACCTGCACCTCCCTTTTTCTTCCTCTCCTTCCCTGTAATACACCAAACCACCTAAGTAACCACTCATAGCCAGCTCATCCCAACAGGCAGCAAAATTGTTAGATCCATGGTCCGCCCAGCTGGTGCCATCACCAGCAGTATTGCATGGAAGCACCGGCCACCAGCACCAGTCACCGCACTCAATCCGTCACCAACTCGAGGCCACAGCACCACCCACCAGGCACCAGCCCAGCATAAGCTTAACACCTGCAATGGCATGCTGATAGGATTGATGAAATACTGACTTCAACAGGCGACAGCCTCAGTTTGATAGAGGGGTGTTGCTGAGTCAGGATGAAGCAGGGAGGAAGGAAAGAGGGGCTGATAAACCAAAGGTGGCAAGTGGGCAGACAACCAATGATGGGTGTGTGGGAGAAATAGCAGCACTGCAACACATATGGTGTGATGCCTGCTACATTGCAATAAATGGACACACACTTGTGACATTGGCTGGGGCAGAAGTAACAGGGATGTATGCTAAGGCTATGTTGAGGATGGGGAGGCAGTGATGGTGAAGGGACATCAGAGGGCAATAGTCCTTGGCCACCACCACACCTGGCTGCTTGTTTTCCTTGTTGTTGCCTCCCTTCTTCTCAATCATTGACCCCACTGTCTTCTGTGACTTGAGCGACTGCTCAAAGGAGCGCATAGCACGTGGTGCAGCTGTCTTCTGCTGGCCCCAGGACTCAGCCACTGCCTGAAGCTGGCTGAAGCGTGAGTCAAACAGGAACTTCTGCAGATGAAAAAGGACAGGTGTCAAAACAAGGGCTTTAGTTTATTGGGAATAGCAACCACATTCCAATATGCAAATACATGATAGCAGTCAGCAAATTTTTAGGATGCACATGATTGGGTTGGGCAGTGATCAGAAGAGTGAACTAACATATACAAACTGGGTGCAAAATGAGCTCTGTCATTAGTGTGCCCTCAAGCCCATATCATAATCAGCAATGAGAACACACATGCATGGGACAGAAAAAAGTGAAAGCATTTACACATATGGCATGGTGGCAGACAGTGAAAATTGACAATCATTATCAAGCCCACTTCACTAACTGAAAGAAAGTCATGTGCTTCATTCAGAAAATATCCTCAAGAGAACTTAACATGCATAACATTGCTTGATACACATTTCAGTGCATACCAGTCCTATCAGTGGCATGCTATGATAGAAATGACATGAATTACCAATGAAGCCTGTGCAACAAATCAAGCTATTCCAGAAAACCTGGCTCACCTGAAAGTATTTCTTTTCCATGAGAACATTCTCAAACTTGTCACGAAACTCACGATGCACGTCATCCAGTAGTTTGTCAACATATGAAAGCTGTAATATCTTCTGAAAGCCAACAACAAACACTAGGTCGAACTCATTGTCCAACCTATGCTTCAGAGTCCAGCTCTGGTGGACAAATGATGACAGACCCGTCCTCTCCTGCCAGATACAAAATGTGATGGGTTAGAAGACTGGCACATGACTCTATGGTCAGTAACTTCAATTGAAGCAATTCAGAATTTCAATACCATACACAAATATGTCCACAATGAAGTTGGCCAAAGTATAACTTAATGAAATACCCTAAGACACACAGCTTAGTTCTATATCACTACCAGCCTGCAAGCTATCAAAGGTCTAGACAAATATGGCTAGGACAGAGTTGGGCCAGAAATAAAGCTCAGGTTTTTTTTAAACTTTGAGACATTGTCTCCTGGGATGGGATCACTCATGGTATCTTGGCCCCAAGGTAGCCAAAGCTGCTGTAGGGTGATCATTCCAGTGGAGCATTGTGTTTTGAGGGTTGCTTAGGTTAGCAGAAGCTGCCCCAAATTGACTGACAGCTGTCCAAAATGAGGCAGCTCTGCTGCCCCATTTGGGAACAGTCAGGACTCAAGCTACCTCAAACCATTATTTAATTTTTTCCATGCTTTGCAGACTGAGCCTGTCAGTCCTCTAGCCTGCTATCAGGTTAGTCTACCCTATTAAGGACCTGAGGATGTTATGATGATACACAGCCATATATGACTGGCAGGCCCTGAAATACTTAGCATTGACAAGCCCTGAGCACAGTCTTGCACTTCACTGACTAACTCACACCACTACAATATCAATATAGATGCAGTGCAGAGCTTATATGGTGCAGCTGTGGTGAGGTTTATTCTGGATAGTGAAATGGTTAGTCTCAATATATGTATTGTAACAGAGTGAATGCAAAGCCCAGTGTCACTAAACACCCAACCCACTCTTGTCAGGGTGGGTAGGTTTGAACCCCTTTGGTGCTTTTTGCTCCTGACCAGGATGGGCTGTGACCAGGGCAGAGCTTATTCAAAGTCAGATGAGGTCAGAAGGTAGGGCTCATGGTGCCAAGCATTACTGCACATTAAAATTTTACCACAAACTTCTCCCACTGAACTGAAATTTCACTAACAGATAGAAGGGCCAGGGCTCCAGACAGCAAAGCATAAAGGTTATGCAGAAATGTCTGGTATACAGCCACATCTCCCAAGTGCCAGTGACATCTCCAGCATAGCACCAACTGGTAACAATACCACTGCATATATATCATCAATTTAAGCATTGAGTTTGCTGAAGGGTTACCATCATTCTCAGCTCACAGAAATACATTCATAAGAAACTATGTACTTGCAAGGGTTATTCCAGGCAAGCATACCTTTCAAAAAAAATTCAAAAAAAACTTAAAAGCATGATGCAATTTGACCTGGCCAAATCCTGGTGTACTGGAGAGCAAAAGGTTCAGTGCATTAACATACTGCACATGTTCTGTGCAGTGGATACATTTTTTGCAAACTGGTCTGGGTTGGTGCAAAAGTCAAACTAGTGTGACTTTTGATCCACAGATGTATTCAATCAAAATGCTAACGCCGATTTCGTGACTAAAATATAAATCATGACATAGTGTGAACAATGACACCAATGATGACAATTGTCTAAGCAGTCATTCCGACTGGTCTACACTGTCTACAGCGTACATTGTTAGACACCATAGAATATGTAGCTTGTATTCTCCAGACATTCGATCTAACAAACATTAACATGCTATTATCTATACAAAGAACGCAAGATGATTGCTGACTAGCTCATCAACATTACCTACCTGCAAAAGCACACTCTTCACCAGAGCATTCACGGATGGCCCAAAAAGCTCAGTGGTGCCTTGAAAGCACCAGAGGACTATGCCTCCTTTCGTAAAGATGACAAAGAAATCTAGCATGTTTGAAAACTGCCCTCCCCTAACCACGTTTCAGCCCACTCTCCCCCGCTCTGCCCAATGACCAAACCAAATCAAAGAACGGCGTCACGCAGCCAGCTGTTTTCCACAACCACGTTCTTACGTGTTTTCTTTTTCATTTACGCACCTAGAGTAATCCTTTACCTTTACGCTAGCTGCCAAATACGATCGTCTCGTGCTTGTCCGCCACATTTGTAGCAGGCGTACCGTCTGTCTTTCTACTTGTAATCCGTCTGTGTACTTTGATATTGACGACATTGAGCACAGCCGATGAGTTCGCATTGATTTGTGGCTCGACTCATGAGTTCAATGCTAGATTTTCCACGAATGGAATTCACAAAGCGGCAGAAAATAAAAACTTACAGCATGAGTACGTGAATGTTGCAGTAAGGTGTTGGCGTCCAGCATGTGTTGTGATGGTACCGTGTGAAGGTAACGCAAAATATGCATAGTCGAGTGCATTTACGTACAAATTTGTGATCTTCCGGTTACTCGTGTGCCTACCTATTGTCGCTAGGTGTCAAACACATAAGGGGTATATGTGATGTCTTGCATCATTTTTATGTGTAGATGTAGGTTTTCTTCTTCCATATTTAGGATCGTGGAATGATTCAGTAAGGTGTAAGGAAAATAAGATCTAGGAAAGTGTAATAAAAATTAAAAGCTTAAGTCATACCTTAAGTCAGTTATAAGGGAAGTTAGAATATCACAGAGAGGGGAAAGGAAGACTGCTGTGTGAGCAGGGTCATAGCTGCCTACCTCAGCATGCCCAGCCAGAATTGTTGTAAAGTTGGGTGATCTTCATACAAATGACACTGGATGGATAAGTTGATTCTCACAGATTGTGTTTGATGCCATAATTGCTCACTTACCATTCAGTTTCTTCTAAATAAATGCCTTTTATAATGCCAGTATTGTGCTTGCAACCTATACATACTTATATAACATGTGTAACCAGAGCCATATGTAATATATGTTTGATGGGTCTGATCTGCTTAAGTAATCATGGCTGAAATCATGATCAAGTTGAATATTATAATAATCATGACTGTAAGTCTGAGACCCTGTGTTGTGCTGCACAATATCTAGTTGCATATTGATAGTGAGCTTCTGATTTCTGGAAAATTGGTGGTACAAGACAGTTCCTAACTTTGTGCTCAAGTGCATCAAATGTATGCAAACATCTAACAGAGTGTTTGTATTCTGGGTGATACACAAATCCCTTAAATATAGTTCAGTCAGGAAAGCCAGATGCGGGTTTTTGAGCACTTGGTGAGGTGGCTGGCTGCTTGTAATGAGCTTAGTTCTAGGTCATTTTAGTCCCCTATGATATACAAAAATTAGGTGAGCTAGGGATACCAATTTCACAGGTTAGTGAGGCCTGAATGTTAAATCAACAATCCTAAGTTTCTTGTGAACTCAGGGTTGCATAAGATTAGATTAAGGGCAGTGTTGAGGTTTCACCAGACCTCCTCACTGAAACAGGTTAAATGATGATCCCTTTCCAAAGCAAGATGCTGCCTGGGGTCATATCAGGTAAGTTACTATCTGACCTTAAATGTTCCAAGTGATCTAGAATGCTTTGAGATTGTTTCAATATTTTGGTTTGAAACTTGTAGTATGAATTATATTAAGCAGCGTCCTAAAAAGCAAATAGTTGACCCAGGTCATTTGAGGTGAGTGATCTCTCCTCACCCTCATGAAGTTACACAAATAATTCTCTTTGCTGCTCCCTTGTGATCATGGAGCACAGAGTGAGCATAACAAATTAACATAGCAATTTAGGTTTCTAGTGAAAATTTGGTTGGTTTTGATCTTGATCTGACTTTTGTATGTAAATCAAGGTCAGCGGAATTAGTTTTAACCCTCATTGCAATTGTATAATTACAAAGGAAAGCACCTCAAAGTCCTCTCATATCTACTGCTATACAACATTTCATGTTACCACACCACACCATTTGGAGGTTATTCCGGAGAAACTTTTGGGGTCAAATTGACCCAGCATCTAAGCACATATGAAGGCAGGTATCCCATGCCTTGTAGATCTAGTGAATGTAGGCCAAGTGGTTCCTTTGAAAGTGAATTAGTTTTTTGTCACAGCACCTGTTTAAATATGTTACTTTGTGGTCATTTTAACATCAGTACCTATGTTTCAGGTCTGCTCAGGTGCTCAGCTACCTGCTAAAGTGAAATAAATACAATTAGTTTATCAAAATATAGAGCAGATATGCCAAACAGAAAGAAGTTCAATGCTCGGTTTCCACCAGTGAGTATTCTCGTATAGTTAGAGGCCCTTCATGCTGTTTGTTGTTTTTTGTAGACTTTGCTCTTTTCTAAGTAGTGCTTGGGTTTCTCCATTGGTAAACAGTTGTATTCTGTCAGACATACAATATGTATGATCTCTTGCCTTCTGCTGTCATTAAGTGCATTTGTGAGAATGTTATTCACATAGATATGATGGTAGTAAGAGCCTCATTCCTCCGAAAGAAGAAGGAGAATGGATGTATAGATGTGTTGCTACTTTGGTAACTTGCCTTCATCAAAACAATAGCAGAAGTCTGCTATCATCTGTTATTGAGGCTTTCTGCACTTGTTTTCGGTAAAAGCATGCCGCGGAAATACCAACAGATCTATATCTCCATTCCCCTGGAGTTTTTTTGCCAAGGAATGCGGCTGTTACTACTGTCTCAATTATGTGACTTGTGTGTTTGTCTATCATGCCAAGTGCATTGCTTGAATTTCAGGCAAGGATCAAGAAGATCATGAGGACAGACAAAGAAGTTGGAAAAGTTGCGGCACCTGTCCCTGCAGTCATCTATATCCTTTTGCGTGTGACAGTGGCTTGTCAGTTAACATGAATCTCTAGTCGTCATCAGAATTAAAATTATATGGTCTTTATTTTTTTGACATAAGTGGGATGTCCTCACTAATGTGTAGCCCATTGTAGACTGAAAACAAATTAGGCAGTGGAAGTCTAGTTCAATCATGGAATGCTATTTTTATTTCCAAAGGAGAGTGACATTATCTGAGAATCTGTCCTGACCTATAACAACCTCAGTATTTTACCATTTAGCATACAATTCCCATTTACAGCCAGATAAATTGTGCAGCATTGTTTTTGGGGCATCCAGAAGGATTCATTTCACATCACCTTAAGCATGATCACAAGTGCAACACCTACTGGGATACACACATACCCTATCAGAAACCATAGGTACTGGGCTCAATTCCCCATTGTCCCCTCCCTTCCTGCTACAATAAGAAGCAGATGATGTGAATGTCTCTATGGCTACATGTGTCCTTAAGTCACAATGATGGCAGCAATGTTGCCATGCATGGCATGACCCACCACCATAATCACACAATGCAAATCCAACAGACAATTTGTTGTGGAAGACTGTAACATACCATGGACTATCAGCACATGGTCATCTTCTTTCAACTCATCACTCTTGGGCGGTTGCTGACTAGCCATCAAACAAGGGTTACATCAATGCAGTGTGTGGGACGTGGACAGACATGATTGTGTCAGATATTATCAATATCAAAAGTCCGGAACGTCTGACGCTCCATCGCCGGACCTGGAGGGTGGCAAACTGTGGGGATGCACACACTGGTCCAGCAGGGCTGCAGCCTGCAGCACCCAGTGCAGAATGTGGATAATTTGTTGCACAGGGCAGAATAGCAGAGTTCCATTTCCTCAGCTCCCACCATGCTGATCTCTCAGAACTGTAAAGGTCGTGATGGGGTATGATTCTGGATTTGTTTGTTGGTCCAGTGGAAAATGCTATGAATGTCCAAAACTTTTTTATTTTCCTGACATCTTTTGTGAGTTAATCTGAAAGACTGAGTTTGGTAACCCCCTTAACCTGCATTGGCATGAGATGCTGGAATAAACCAATCACTTTAAAGCAAAATAATGTGTGAGCTAAACAATGCACAACATATTGGCTATGTGCGGTTGGAATCATAGACATTTGGGTTTGTATTGCACGCAAATGCTGCCACTTTCCTGATTGGTAAAACCCTTCAAGGCAAAATTGGGCACACTAGCCATGAACATGGTATCCCAGGCTCATGAGTTACAATTTGTCCATAATATCTAATACGTTATGAAACTTCGCACTACTGCACTTCACTGTCGTCGGCGTGAATATTGCTCTGCTTTTTCGGCGTGCTTGCAATTTTTGGATGATTTTCCCGCCATCAAGTCTATTTTTTCAGATTTTCGTATTTTTTACTCCATATTGCAAGTTAGAAGTGCGTTTGTGATGTGGCATGCAGTAGTCATATGGTGCCACTGATTATATACCATTATTTTTGTCTACAGCCCAAAAGATGCAGAAGTCATGCAGACTGTGTTAATCCTCTCATGTCAAATGCTGTAGGATATATGATTTATGCATCTCGGTTGCAACACTTCTGTCATTCGGAGTGAGTGATTATGTCGTGATATCTGGAACATTTTGACCTTAACCCCCGTGCACCTCGAGCTTTGGAGCTGTTTGCTGAACAGCTGCTGCATCGAGCTGGTGACGTCACAATGTCACGTGGGTCGCGTACGCTCAGTCCTGCTCACTTGTGAGTATCGGGTCCTACGGAGTTCGACCGCGGGCTACGGGGTTCGAACAAGGCGGGCGACTGTTTACCCCAGTAAAGACACTGCATCGTGATATGGTTACTTCTGCACTGCACTGTGCATGAGTTCATGTCATTCCACTGATTCAGCTCTGTCATTGCCTTAGTAGCACGCATTTCATGGCTTTGGTAGCACTGTTTTTGAGATGTGACGTGGCAGCTAGGATACCCCAGCACAGCACTGGGATTGCATTGCATATCAATTCCTAATAAGCGGTGTGTCTACTTGCTGTCTTGTACTGAAAGGGCCACATTTGAGCTTGTTTGTCCTGTTTCACAACTGTTTGTGCCGCACCGTTCTTCAGCTCGGGGTAGTCGCATTCCGCTGCCACAAAATCATTTTGGTCACTGTTCTGGTGATGCCCTTGTGGCAATACAGGACTATTTTATTCTGCTTGCATTTTGCTAAGCATTTATGACTGTTTTACAGCGGTTGGTGCAATCTGTCAACGTTTGGCGTCATGGTGTATCAAATATGTGCGCATGTATCCCATGTCTTGGTATAATTGCTAGGCGTTTTCCAGGGATTGTTTAAGATGTACGAGTGCGGCAACCATGTGCTGCTCCCTGCACAGATGCTATCTCGCCTCGTTTTTGTCAGCATTGGCCTGTCGAGCAGGTCCGCAAAGCTGCATTCGCCTCGCGTCCATATTCTTGTCAGCCGTACCATCGGAAACGGGGAGCCCATCTGTAATCATGACATTTGGCATGCTTGTGGCGTCGCGGGGAACAAAAAGACGGAGAGGAACCTCCGCCATCAGTCTTCGGTGCCGCCATTGCCCTTCTTCAGTAAGATTTGTTGCTGTCTCGGAATGTGCATTCCCTTTGGACGGAGCGAGGCTCGATCGAACTGCGCGATAGGATGCGGTTTTTATGTCCGAGACATGTGGGATATTTTCAACCTGGTGGGGAATTACCGATGGCCACTACCGCTGAGTATATAAAGCATGGCAGCACCATGAGCACGACATGGTCCAGCTGAAGGGGCCAACAATCAGTAATCATACACGTCATCGGGTATGTGGACGTGGTGATGTCGGCTTCCGGCAGGAAACAATGCATTCTGTCGGAGCAGCGCTTCGACTTTCTGAAGGACCTGGTGGCGAACGTGCCGGACGCCGTGGAGTCGGAGGAGGGGCCCAGCGCAACAGCAGTCTCCTCGCAGCCGGCACCGGCCGCCGCCGCCCGGCCGGTGCCGGCTACCCCCGCCCGGCCGGTGCCGGCCACCCCCGCCCGGCCGGTGCCGGTGCCCGCGGCCGGACCTGCCGACACCCGCAGGTACCGGCCACACCCGGCTCCGTGTGCACGCTTGAACTGAGGACGGCGCCGTAAGCATCACCAGTGCGTGGTCTCGGGCTTGTTTCGGCTTTTTTGCGCCAGACAGTGCACTGCACCTCTTTAATGTTGTATTGTGCATTACTGTATTCTTCATGTCACCATAGCATTGTTCTGCTGCTCAATTTTGGGGTGAATTATTGGGTTAGTGGGTATAAATGCCTAGCCAGTAAAGCCTTGTCGGTGTCGTGAGGATTGTTCCGATCTTTTGACGCGTTGTAACGTCAACGTTTCGTCTCGGCACTTTCTGTAAGCTGCCCATAGAACTTCAGCCATGTATCTCACCCGTTAATATTTTGTTCGCCACGGCATTGATAAAGGGCGCCCTAACGTCCACCAAGTTTTGATGCCCTCGTTCATGCGGAGCACGTCACTCGGTTCGCTGGTCCGGTGTTAGCGCTCTCCGCCTCGGTTTCTTAACCGCTAGCATACAGCTGGTTCGGCTGCCGCGCCGCTGGCGTGTGCAGCAGCAGCCTGGCTTCAGACCAGACCCAAGCGTTACCTTTGACATGGGTCACAGGCACCGGCCGACGGGGTTTTCTGACGTACTAGATGCTACCAAGGGCTCAGTGCTACCGGCTTTCACCCGAGGCTCAAAGATTCAGAGGTGGCCATCACTCTCACCTCCTAGGCCAGCTTTTCCTTCACCATCCCGGGAGATGGAGTCCCTTGGTGCGTCACGGAGCAAGTTAGGTGACACCAAGCTTTCACAAGCGGCGTGAGGTGCAATGTGTCCTGCAATGCTTGCGATGTGAATATACCAAGGTTTTCTATATCGGTTGTTGTTCGCTTGATTCTCACACTGCCGCGTTGGTAACCATTTGCAAATTCCTGCCACATCCTCTTGGCTTCAAGTTGTTTTCGCTTTGTTTGGGCTGTCACCGAAACAAAGTCATGTTGAGAATTGGGATCAGTTATGCACTATCAGCGCATCTTGTTTTTCTCATCGCGTATTGACGTGCACCCCATTTGCACCATGTCCAGATCGGTCGGTCGACCGCCCAAGTACCTGAAGGTGGACATGCCGAGCTCAGCCTCGGCCAGTACCAATGGCCAGCCCCACAGGTAAACGGGGCCAGGGTAACAGACCGGCGTCCCGCCACGGTGGGCGTTAACACGCTGTTCTGATCCAGCGAACGCCTCACAGTATTTGTGGAGCCTTCAAAAGTTTTATGAACGACGATTTGCCACTGTGTTTTGTGTTGACGCAAAGAGGCTTGTGTCGTACATTTATTGGCTAGATTTATGACGCTAAAATTCTTCACGCAATATTTCATGACCACTATGATTTTTCTGCGGCTGATTTACCACGTCTGACATTCCCGTAGTTCTCTGCCCCTCTCCTGCTGCTGATCGTATCGTCCCGCTCTGACGCCCGTCCCGCCGCAGCGCGCCGCCGGGCCGGCCGCCCGTGCCTGACCTCATCCACACATCGATGCTGGGCCTGACGGGCGGCGCGGTGACGGCCGGCATGTTGGGCGACCGCTTCAGCTTCGCCGCTGGCGCGCCGTTCGGCCTCGCGGCCGGCCTGTACGGCGCGCCGGCGTCGGCTCCGCTGCCAGTGCCACCGCCGGCGCACCACGGCGCGGCGCGGCCGCCGCTGGCCGTGCGCTACGGGAGTCTGCCGGAGGGCGAGCGGCCGGACGGCGTGTGACCGCGCCGCCAGCGTCTCCGTCCGAGCTAGTCCGCCGCCGCTGGCCGTGCGCTACGGGAGTCTGCCGGAGGGCGAGCGGCCGGACGGCGTGTGACCGCGCCGCCAGCGTCTCCGTCCGAGCTAGTCCGCCGCCGCCGCAGCGGCGCGCCCCTCTCGCCAGCCGGCTGCCGGCGGGACGGATAGACTGACGGGCTGCCGTGCACGCCCGCCGAAATTCGCCCGCTGTTTCGATTTGTACAATATTTTTGAAACATTGTCCGTGAGGAATACACCGTTTCTTTGTATGTGGCGTTTGGACATCGTCGCGTTTGCAGATGTGGAGCCGATTGTTTTGTGGTGGGAGTCGTGGGCGTGCATCTGGTCCACGGAGTGCAGTCGCCGCGTTGTGTTTCAACGAAGAGATATGTGATTGAGAACTGGCAGTTGCATCGCAATGTTGCATGCTGAGTGTCTGGAACGAAAAATGTTTGACTGCGATCTTGCTGTTGTATCGCAGTGAGATGAACATTTTCCACGGCCCGAATACGAAAGCCTGATAATTGCCCGTGTGCAAGGAAGCCCTAAATTTTGTTAATACGATTTGCGTCGGGTGGGGGGGGGGGGGGGGGCGCACTGCGCCGACAATGTGGTCTCATTCTCAACAAGCTGGAATTGTATGCGTCTTTACGCTGTTCTGGGCGATCGCGGCGCTTTAGGATCGTCACGAATTTGTGTGCTGTGTGGCAACCAAGACGGGAAGTGCCAACGACGAGAACTCTCACTGTTCAGTTTGATGTGCGTGCGAAATGACAGAGCCGTGAGCGGCATGAATGATACTGCAGTACCGAAAGTGACAGTAACAACAGCGGTGAGACTTTTGAAAGGTCTCAAGGATCATGCGATTGCGCCGACCTGCCCATTTAGGTGTGCTTCAAACATAACCAGAGGACAAAATGCGAAGACCCGTCATATCTGCTCGTTTTTCAAGTTTGTGTCAGAAAAAAACGTAAAGTGATGCATGCGAGACCAGCTAGGCAACAGGAGGAGGTAGTCACGAGATGAGTCGGGTGGGGGGGGGGGGGGGGGGGGGGTGATGGCTGAAGTAAGAAATGACTCAACCTACTAACGAAATATGCCACCAGACAGGGTTCTTCTCAGACCTGACCTTCTTTTCCTCAACGTTAGGGGGCTGGAGCGCAAATTGGGAGGCTGGAAATCTCGCTGCCTCCTAACTGAGCAGCAAACTACACCCCTGGTAGAAGATCGTCCTAAACAGCGAACAAAGGCTAACAGAATGGCTGTGGGGACAGCGCATGGTGAATGGTGGTCGTGCATACGCTTGCTGCTTGTCTCCAACTGACCGGTACCGGAGGATATGAAGACGGGCCTTATCAGTGACTCAGGCCCGGGGAAAGTTAAATCACAGGTTGCGACACCGGCCAGTGCGGTGCCGAAAAACTCGAGCCATTTCTGAGAGAGCTACTGCAAAAAGTGGAGAGCTTCGGGATTTTCCCCCGGCATGGCAGCGCCGTAGGATAAAGCCGGGCGCCGTCACAGACCAGCATCGTCTCTCCCGACAGGCCAGGGGCCATCTGACAGATGAAAAATGATATCTCTTACATCGCAGAAGTGGGAGGGGGTGGGGATTATTTACAATGAACCCCTTTCACACACCAGCAATACTTATTCCAAAAAATATGTTTGTCAGGCAACGGGTTTGCACCACGCAGCGGTATGTTGTGCCCCTCGCATCACACAAAAGACCCAAACCTGCACTTTCTCCTCCGGTTTTTTGCCTTTCCGATTCTCCTGGTTTCAGCCCGGGTCTGGGCCTCTTTGCGCTGGGTAAGAACCCAGACCTGCACTTTCCCTCCCGGTTTTTTGTCTTTCCGATTCTCCTCATTTCAGCCCGTGTCTGGGCCTCTTCGCGCTGGGTAAGGAGAAGCTTGGACTCGACCCGGGAGGGTCGTTATTCGAGCTGAGAGACCCCCAAGCCCGCTGGTCCTTCCTCCCAACGTCCCCCCCCCCCCCCTCTCCCGTCCCGGTCTTGGCTACGCCACGCGTTTCGCAAGGTGTAGAGTAATTGGAGGACTGCCTTTCGGAAAAAAAACATGTGGAAGGCACCATGAATTGTCCTCAATTGCCTTCATTGATGACGTAGCTGAAGTATATTTGGCAGCACTATGCAGCCGGCTCTTTACGGAGTTTACTATAGCAATCTCAGCAAGCTCTCATTATTAGGTAGTGCACCTAGCGGCAACATTATCTATTGAATGCAATTGTATTATTTAGCATAAATAATGGTCGTAACAACAATTTTGGTAATCTAATTACTTTTTTGACTTTTTTAGCAATGAAAAATGTCTTTATAAAGGCTTAAATTTTATATGATGTGAAAATACCCGCATTGCTTGCTCTTTCAAGGATGCATAGCCTTCAAGTCAAGCCGCCGTGCAAGGGACACGCACGCTTGTCACCGAGAGCTGCGATAGGCCGGGAGGTTGCGCTGCGGCAGGTATATTTGACAGGGTATTTCAGTGATTGAGGCTTAAAGCAAGACAGATACAGTTGATCTGTGGGAAGATAAGAGAGTCACTTACAGGAATCCGTGAAACATCGCTCCATAGGTGCAGTGAGCCATGCTGCGGTAAGTGCGTCTTCATGTCCCGAGATTAGACGGGATATATTTGATCCAAGTGTCCTATGCAGCCCACTAAAATATGTTTGCTAGCGGGGTCATGGTTGGTGGAAAGCCTATGGAAGAAATTCTTAAGGATGATTACATACAATGTTACCGTCTGTGCTCTCCTGCTGCCGCATACCATGCCCTATTTCTCCAAATTGTTGCATAATGATATCAGCAAAACATCATTAGCTAGATGTCATGCATCCAATAACAGGGTGTCTTTGTGGCCAAACCATGTACAATGGATTATGGACCATGACTAGGATTTTAAAATGTTTTCTGCTGATTACCATGATTATACCACTGTGCAAATAAAGCCAAAAAATTGCCATGATCCCATCTAACCTAGCCTGGCTTAACCCTATCCCCACTCCTACCCATATCCCTACCTTTACCTCTACCTTGCCCATGTGTTGGCTTCCACAATGGGGCAGCTTCACCATGTACTAAATTGACTTGTTGAAAGCACAACTGACTTGCCTGCAGATCATCAGCCAGTATCTTTGTTTGGTGATGTGGTATACTGTGAATGCTGTGTCACTGGTATTAGATTGTTAGTAGTTTATCTTGAAGGGTAAGATGGTGCATTGTCCTCTGTTTGATGCCAGTAGATATGTTATGATCTAAAGGAGTCATATAGTTATCTTAAAATGATTGCTTTATTCTGAAAGGTAGTACAAGTCTCAATTGATATTGATGGCAATTCCAGGATGACCTGGTTTAAGCATAACAAGTTGTTATTCCAGAAAGGTTTGGTGAGCTAGGCAGATTATGGCTCATTTTCTTTCCTGTATTGGAAAGTAGCATCATGTATGATTGAATTTAAAGTACCTGGAAGAGCTCAATGTATTCTTGTTTATTTGGCTAAGTAACATTTTCTGATGCCCAACAATTCTTAGCTGTATCATCATGTACCATGCAGGTAGCTGTTAATACCAATTTTAGGTCAAAGATTCCAGGACAGTTGCCAATTACTTCACAAACTACCTTAAAATCAAATATTTTTAGTGAGTTTTATAGCTTGGTTCATTATTGTAGTTAAATTTATTAAGTATTGCCATCTTTGAACAATGCATTTATGTGTTGGATGTAGTCATAATTCTAACTAGAATATTAAGATGAATTGTTTTGTTCACTTGATGCAAATACATCAAAATACATTGTCCCTTGGAAACATAGGATAGTGTTGTCATCATGCATGAGGGAATAGCTTGGAGATCCACCTATATTATGCATCTTGTATCCTCAAGATCTGCCTCCCTTGAACATTTTAAAACATTCACTTCTACATGGTTATTTGGCCAATGGCTAATGTATGTAATAGGCTGCACTATATGGTGGATATTAGATGTGTTAAATAGAAGTTATCTTGAAAGCTATCAATATATGCCTTATGTATATTAGATTATACACATTGTTTTGGTAGCATCCATGCCCTCATGGTTTGTTGCTGTAAAGTTGTTTGTGTTTAAAATCCTTAAATGTCATATACTCACTATGACTTTGTATATACTGCTTCATCTTTTTCAATTTCATTAATTTTTATGTCCTGTTTCCCAAACACCTTCAAATACAGATATGATTATGGCAGCAACACTCAGCATATGTGTGTGTGTGCATGTGTGTGTGCGTGCATGCATGCGCGCGCGCACGCGTGCGTGCGTGCATGCATGCATGCATGCATGCAATGCATGTAATATTGCCAGTGGTGTATTGCTCTTCATTTTTCCAGGTGGATAGCCTATGTGGCACTGCTGGGATGTCTCTCAGGAGCTGTTGACAGGGGTAACTTCAAAACATGTGACCAGAGCAGTTTCTGCAAGTAAGTGATGATCCCTATATTTCAGATTGTAATGTAAGCTGCTTTTTTGTGTGTCTTTTTCTGTTAAACCAGATATTTTTATGTTTAACTATTACCATGCATTGAACCTGTGTAGTCCTTGTAGTAATTTTTATGCACATGGGTTTGCCTGCTATTCTGCTGTTTTTGGTCCTGTAATATATGGACTTCTCCATCCACACACTTCCTGGCACCCCTCCCCCCCCCAAGCTATCACATAAGGTGATAGCTGAGCTGACCTTCCAAAATCCTGTATGCCTCTTAGGTGTGCAAACATCACACATGCAATGACTGCTTTAGCACATGTTTGACACTTCATGCTGTGGCTGTATCAGGTGCTGTTGAGGGAAAAAGTGAAGGATCCTGGGTGGGGGACAGGCTGGAAATGCTCTGCAAATTACCTAAAAACCAACTCTTTGAATGGCAAATATATTGCTCGCTTTGAAAGCAATGGCCTCAGCCATACAAATGCATGTGTGGGCGCCGCTGTTGCTCAGCTACCCCAGCGGTCGTCGGCGCTGCTGTTGCTCAGCTACACCAGCGGCCGTCGGCGCCTCTATTACTCAGCTACACCAGCGGCCGTCGGCGCCGCTGTTGCTCAGCTACATCAGCGCCCGTCGGCGCCGCTGTTGCTCAGCTACACCAGCGGCCGTCGTCACCGCTGTTGCTCAGCTACACCAGCGCCCGTCGGCGCCGCTGCTGCTCAGCTACACCAGCGGTCGTCGGCGCCGCTGTTGCTCGGCTACATCAGCGCCCGTCGGCGCCGCTGCTGCTCAGCTACACCAGCGGTCGTCGGCGCCGCTGTTGCTCGGCTACACCAGCGCCCGTCGGCGCCACTGCTGCTCAGTTACACCAGCGGCCGTCGGCGCCGCTGTTGCTCGGCTACACCAGCGCCCATCGGCGCCGCTGCCGCTCAGTTACACCAGCGGCCGTCGGCGCCGCTGTTGCTCAGCTACACCAGCGCCCGTCGGCGCCGCTGCTGCTCAGCTGCACCACTGGTCGCCGGCTCCGCTGCCGATCACGGTCCGTCTCTCCCTGCGCAGGCGTAACCGGGCGCTGACCAGCGGCAGCTCGCCGTACCTTGTGGCGGCCGACTCGGTGCGCGTGTCGGGTGCCGAGGCGACGGCACGCCTGCAAGACGGGCACGCGCCGGCGGCCGTGCCGCTCCGGCTCCAGCTGACCGCGCTTCAGGACAGTTCGCTCCGGCTGAGGGTCGTCGAGGAGGCGCCGCTGCGGCCGCGCTACTCGCCTCAGTACGCGCTGCAGGGCGAGCCAAACACTCAGAGGTGAGGAGGGCCACTGGCATATGGGGGTTGGAGCATGGGTGGAACCACTGGAAGGTGAACGTGTCTTCTGGCATTTTGCCAACAGTATCATCATGTTTTGCACTCTTCGCAAAGCAGATGTCTTCTCGCGATTATTCATTCAAAAAACACTTTTTCCGTAGTCGGATTGTTCCCTCCAGCCTCTCCCCTCCATGCATTGCACTACATCTCCCCATGTCCGACTTTTCCGTCACACGGGTCTCGTTTACGCTAATGTAACGAGACCCGGACGCCCCCTGGTGTATTTCCTCCCCCATCGCAGTCTGGCGTACAGACGTTTGGGTTGTGTGTGTCATCGTCCCTGGCATGCCTGCTCCTCTGTCAATCTGACGGACACACATCTGGCTGGTGTCTGCCATCCTTGACATGTATTCTCCTCCCTGTCAGCCTGACGGGCGGATATTTAGCTAGTGTCTGTCATCCTCTGCCGTGGCTCCTCCCCCCCCCCCCCCCCCCTCTCAATCTGGAGGCGGACGTCTGGCTGGTGTGTGCCGTTCCCTGACATGTCTCCTCCCTCTCAGTCTGGAGGTGGACGTCAGACTGGTGTCTACCAGTCCCCTGATGTGTCTCCTCCCTCTCAGTCTGACGGACGGACGTCTGGCTGGTGTGTGCCATTCCCTGACATGTCTCCTCCCTCTCAGTCTGGAGGCGGACGTCTGGCTGGTGTGTGCCAGTCCCCTGACATGTCTCCTCCTCCCTCTCAGTCTGACGGACGAACGTCTGGCTGGTGTGTGCCGGTCCCCTGACATGTCTCCTCCCTCTCAGTCTGACGGACGGACGTCTGGCTGGTGTGTGCCGGTCCCCTGACATGTCTCCTCCCTCTCAGTCTGACGGACGGACGTCTGGCTGGTGTGTGCCGGTCCCCTGACATGTCTCCTTCCTCTCAGTCTGACGGACGGACGTCTGGCTGGTGTGTGCCGGTCCCCTGACTTGTCTCCTCCCTCTCAGTCTGACGGACGGACGTCTGGCTGGTGTGTGCCGGTCCCCTGACATGTCTCCTCCTCCCTATCAGTCTGGAGGCGGACGTCTGGCTGGTGTGTGCCAGTCCCCTGACATGCCTCCTCCCTCTCAGTCTGGAGGCGGACGTCTGGCTGGTGTGTGCCGGTCCCCTGACATGTCTCCTCCCTCTCAGTCTGACGGACGGACGTCTGGCTGGTGTGTGCCGGTCCCCTGACATGTCTCCTCCTCCCTCTCAGTCTGGAGGCGGACGTCTGGCTGGTGTGTGCCAGTCCCCTGACATGTCTCCTCCTCCCTCTCAGTCTGGAGGCGGACGTCTGGCTGGTGTGTGCCGGTCCCCTGACATGTCTCCTCCTCCCTCTCAGTCTGGAGGCGGACGTCTGGCTGGTGTGTGCCGGTCCCCTGACATGTCTCCTCCCCCTGTCAGTCTGACGCGCTCCCTCCTCTCTTCTTCAGTCTGACGGTGGTGGAGCAGCTAGATGACCGTCTACACCTCAAGTTTGGCGCTGACTCCGAGCTGGTCATGCTGTACAAGCCGTTTCAGCTGCAGGTGGCGCAGGCCGGCAAGACTGTGATCACCGTCAACTCGGACGGCCTCTTCAACTTCGAACACTACAGAACCAAGCCGGAACCGTGAGCTGCTAACCTGCCAGTCTGAGGGGCTATTTGGGGCCCGCATTTAATCAAATAGTACTGCGTGCATCGGGTATTGCATCCACTTGTGCTAATGTGAATGGTAGGTGACGAAAGATGATATTGATAGTCGCCAGTGTGCCAGCTGCACAGCCAGGCAGGTATTCAGCCCGGACAGACCACTGATGAGGCGTGCCCGGCCATACCGCTGCCCTATCCAACCTGAACTGACCTGAGCTCTCGCCGCCGCAGGAAGGAGGCGCCGGCGCCTGTAGACGTCGAGGCCGAGCCTGCCAATGATGGCGAGCACCAGGAGCAGGAGCACGAGCCGCCGGCCGACGAGCCGGCCGAGGACGAGTCCGGTGAGCGAATCCAGTCGCCGTCGGAACCAAGCGACCGCACGGGCAGGGCCGGCGCTGACAAACCGGCCCCGATCGCCGGTCCGGGTGGGCGATTAGTTTCACCTGACGTTTAACCTCATTCCATATCAGTTGCTACCTCCTAGATCCACCGCGACTTACACCACTGCGGAGCAGAATGTCCGGCGGACTTGTCATCACGCTGCCATCATTCACCAGCCGGCTCCTCGGGTCCCAGCTCCGGTAACGGGTGGACAGCGCAAGCTTTTCCTCTCAGGGCGTAGCGACCCTGCCGGTACGTGAGCTCCTGCTCCTTGTCCCGCCCGCTCCCTCCACATTATCCGCACTCCCACATCCGGCCATATCACCACTCCTCGTCCTCGTTTTATCGGGGTCGCTGTGCCTACCCCCCCCCCCCCCCCCGCCCACGCCCCTGGGTTGATCGGGTCCTGGTGGCTGAGGGGCGCGTCGTGCGGGTCAGTCACGGCGCGTCCCAACACTCCACTTTGGCCAGGATATCCGCGGGCGTGGGGGACCCGTGGAGCCCCACACGTGTCTAGCGGTATGTCGCTCGCGTTGCGGTTGGGTGCTCCTTGCGGGTCTCCGCTTGGGGCGCCTGGCCGCGCGCAGCGGCTTAAGGGGTCAAGGGGCGGCGGCGCTGAACCACAGTCAGGACGGGGAGGGGTCTCCCCGGTTACGCCTGGTTACTGCGGCAAAGACCAAATCCCACACACGACGTACGACCGTGCATGCCCGGCCTACGCGAAAGAAAAAGATTATATCAGTAAATGCCTCTAAAAACATCTCTTTTCATGAAGCTCGTGAACTTTACGATAGTCATCCAAAAACATCGTATGCGTCCGAAGTGAAAAATTTATTGCCACAAAGTAATGCCATCGAGGACATGACGGCAGTCCATTTCGTGGGACTTCTGAGGTCGTTCGGCCTGTCGGTTGTTCCCTCGTTCCGAACGCCCGACTCCCAGCCGGCACTCCAAGCTCCCTCTCCGCCGATCGAGCAGTCGGTAGACGCCGCACCACTGGCCTCCTCGGTGCGCGCCGGATCACCAGCGGGCGACGGTCGGACGACGGCTCAGCGTGGTCGGAGTCCCCGCGCGCCGCCGGCCGTGCCTTCGTCTGCGACTCAATTGGCCTCTTCACAACAGGCACTCCTTGCCAGTGCCTGTGAGCGTGTGACAGAGAGGCTGGAGCGTCAGGAAGCTGATAGTCGTGCCCGCGAGGCCAAGCGAGCGCGCTTGGCCGAACTGGAGCGCGCTAAGGCGGCAAGCCGTCTGTCCGGGGCAGGCAAAGAGCCCGTCCCCCAAAACAGCACTCCATCGCCACGGAGGTCGGTGGAGGCCCCCACTGGTCCCTCGAATCCCGGCAGAGGCCCACTGATGGGCCCTCCCCCGCCTCCACCCCGGACTGGGTACGCTGGCGTAAAGCGTGCCCCTTCTCCATCTGATGGAGGGAGCCCAAGGATTCGTCCTAGGGTGGGGCACGGCCCCCCGGAGTTAAGCCGTAGCTCTCAGTCTGAGGCGTCTGGGCTTACTACTGGCACAGCCGAGTTCTTTAAAGCCGGGACTTGTTTTAGGCTTTCACATCTTACCGCTTTTTTAATGCGTCCTTTTACAGGCGTTTTTACAGTTGAACTGTAGAGGAGCAAGGGCGAATGCCCTCGATCTCGAGGCTGTCGTCAGCAGGATCTCTCCTGCAGCCGTGGCGCTGCAAAAGACCAAGCTAGCCTCTGAACATTTCTTTTCCTTGAAAGGATATGCGATGTTTCGCAACGACGTGTTGACAGAATGCATTACTCACGGTGGCGTCCTCCTGGCAGTTCATTATAGCGTGCCAGCGAGGGGGCTAAGCTTGCGTTCCGCACTCCAGGTTGTGGCCGTGCGGCCTTATTTCAATCATCGTCACATCACTGTTTGTTCACCTTACCTTCCACCAGGCATCGCTTTTCGATTAGTGCACCTTATATGTTTGCTGTCTGAACTGCCTCCACCACTTCTTCTTCTAGACGATTTCAGTGCGCCACAAAGCCCAAATCATCCCCCCCCCTAGACGATTTCAGCGCGCATCACACCGCTTGGGGGTGTGACGTCACCAATGCTCGTGGGAGGCTGTGTGAGAATTTTATCCAAGGTGCTTCACTATGTATTTTAAACACAGGAACTCGCACACATTTTATAATGTCATCCGGTCAGACGTCAGCGCTAGACTTAAGCCTCTCCAGTCCCCAGCTCGTCCAACACCCCGAGTGGAGTGTCGGAGATGACCCAATGGGAATCGACCACTTCCCAGTGTGGATCCGGTTTAAGAGAGGTGGAGCGTTGGGTGTTAGGCCACAACACTGGAATTTTAGAAAGCGAACTGGTGCGAATTTGAGACTCGGCTTGAAGAATCGTTTGCAACTGAGCCTGAGAGGACGGCACCCTCTATTGAGGATTTTACTCACAGACTTTTGGAATGTGCCAGCAGCTGTATCCCACGCACATCTGGCGCTCCCCGACGTACTCCTGTTTCGTGGTGGACGGAGGAGTGTCGGATCGCCATCTGGGTGCGTAAACGTGCCTTTCGGGCTTTTGACGCCAGGAGCGGTGTAGAAAACCTGATAGCCTTTAAGACGGCGAGAGCTTTTGCTCGGCGCACTGTAGGGGAGGCGAAGCGTGCTTCCTGGCATGCTTACGTGAGTACGCTGAACCGGTTCACGCCAGCATCGCAGGTTTGGCCTCGAATTAAGCGCATATCGGGGCAGTTTTTATCCATGGCTCTTCCGGTACTATGTGTGAACGGACAGGCCATGACGCGCCCGTTGGAAGTTGCGAACGAGATTGACCGGGCGCTGGCCTACCGCAGCGAAGGTGGCAACACTAACCCACAGTTTGTGCGGCACCGAACGCAATGTGAGCAATCCGCAGTGGATTTTTCGACGAGTGAGCTATATTCCTATAATGATCCGTTCACCCTGGTCGAGCTGGAATGGGTGATTGCCAAGCTTCGCGGCGTGTCAGAAGGTCCGGACACTGCACAACGACATGCTCAAGGATTTGCCGCCTTGCGTGCTTCGTGTCCTTTTAGCGGTATTTAATGCGCTTTGGGCCAGTGGTGACTTTCCAGCCTCTTGGCGAGAAGCTACTGTCGTTCCTATTTTAAAACCGGGTAAAAGTGGACTAGGTCTTTTACACTATAGACCTATTTCTCTCACTTCATCGCTCTCTAAGTTAATGGAAAAAATGGTTAATGTCCGGTTAACTTGGTTTTTAGAACATCACTGCGTTTTTACAAACACCCAGTGTGGTTTTAGAAAGAATCGCAGCACAGCAGGCAATCTTTTAGTTCTTGACACTGCGATTCGTATGGGATTTAAAGCAAACCGACACATAGGCGCAGTGTTCTTTGACATAGAGGGCGCCTATGACACCACATGGCGTCAAGGCATTCTTCTGAAGCTATACAGGTATGGTGTACGCGGTAATATGGGCACCTTTCTTCAACACTTTCTAGCTGACCGTTGTTTCTGTGTCCGTGCTGGAAACGCGCTCTCTGAGAGGCATCTTCAAGTTAACGGTGTGCCCCAAGGCGGCCTTCTCAGCGTAGCTTTGTTCGCCGTTATGATCAACGACATCGGGATTGGGCTGCCACAGTCTGTAGGTCATGCACTTTTTGTTGATGACTTCACCATTTGGACTAGCGCAGCAAGAGCACCATCGGTGGAGCGCCAACTCCATTTAGCTGTTGACCGTGTTGAGAAGTGGGGTACCATGAACGCGTTCAGGTTTTCACGTAGCAAGACTGTAGCCATGCTTTTTGTCATAGCCGGCAATGCGGAGACCTGTATCCGTCTGCATGGGCAATGCATCCCAACTTAGCCTGTGGCTAGATACCTTGGGGTATACTTTGACCGCCGACCTACATATAAGGCACATCTTAAGACGCTACGTGAACGCTGTTTTAAATCTTTGGACGTATTAAAATGTGTTTCGCACACATCGTATGGCGGAGATCGGGGCACGCTTTTGCTGCTGTATCGGGCAATCATGCGCTCTAAGCTGGACTATGCATGTTTTATTTATGACAGCGCGTGTGAGTCCACCAAATGAATCATTGACACCATCCATCACAAGGCTATACGTGCCATCACAGGGGCGTTCCGTACATTTCCTACCCGAAGCCTCTTGGTAGAATCGCACAAGCCGCCGTTGTCAGCGAGGAGGAAAATGCTCGGCATGTGTTATGCACTTAAGCTGCGACACTTCCCGTGGCATCCCGCATATCACGCAGTCTTTCCTGCTGCCTGGCGAATGCCATGGCGAACAAACGGCCTGCTGTGCCGTTTGTTCGCCATGCACCTCGGGCGCATGCAGTGGCCGGTGGCCCCCGGATACAAGCCTTACCGCGAGAAAACGAAATTCCCATTCGAAAAGTGAAGCGATCAGGTCACCTGTGCACTCCTCCCTGGCATTTGATCTCACCCTTCACAGACACATCTCTGACCGAAATGAAAAAAAAATGTCTCGCTGCCAGATATAATGAGGTCCAGAGCGCTTGAGCATATAGCGTTATGTGAGGGTTGCACACGTACTTACACGGACGGCTCTAAAACTTCTGATGGTGTAGGCTGGGCGTTTGTGAGCGGTGGCGTCACCCGGTCGTTTTCATTGCCCCCAAACGCTTCGGTGTTCACATGAGAGCCCATAGCAATCATTAAGGCACCATGTTTCATTGAAGTTGGTGACGAACCCTTACATGTCACTTTGACGGACTCTCTGAGCAGCGTTCTGAGTGTGAAGTCTTTTTATCCATCGTGTCCCCTTATACAGGACATTTTGATACGTTTGACTCTACTAGATCAGGCCAGAAAGACAATCATGCTATGTTGGGTTCCCAGTCACGGAATCGCGGGCAACGAGTTGGCTGACGCGGCTGCCAGGCGAGCAGCGCTGGCTCCATGTGTTCGCTCTCTTTCTATTCCTGCCAGAGACTTACCCTGCAATAAAAACCTTCCTGCACAAGTGGCAGCGTTGTTGGGATCGGATGGATGGCAATAAGCTTAGAGAGATAAAACCTAAGCTGGGTCAGTGGTCCTCTTGTTTCCGCAAAATGCGGCGAGAAGAAGTGATCCTCTGCAGATTACGCATCGGGCACACGTACACAACCCTCGGCTATATGTTGGAGGGAGCCGATAAACCTATCTCATCGACGTGGTGCTGTCCTTGCCGTTCGCCACATCCTTATATCTTGCCCGCGCCTCGCGGAAGAACGCCAACGTTACTTTGGATGGCATGACCTGCCCCTTACCCTCTGTAATATGCTAGGAGATAACTCACCATTTCTGGAATCCCAACAGATCTTCTTGTTTCTCAAACACATCAACTTGGGGACCATTTATGCGGCTCATTAGATAGGTAAAACAAAACTCGTTATGGGCGCCAAATGACCACCGCAGTCGGCGCGCCCGTAAACTCCAATCACCAACCAACAATCAGCAGCCGGCTGCCGTGCGCGTACGGCATCAGTACGGCATCTCTCTCAGCCGCTAGTGCGAGCGGCCGTTCGCAGGTGCACCGGTGACCCCTTCCGCTCGGCAGGCATGTGGGAGGAGCACTTCAAAACGCACCGGGACAGCAAGCCGAACGGCCCGTCGTCGGTGGGCGTGGACGTGACGTTCCCGGGCTCGGCGCACGTCTACGGTATCCCCGAGCACGCCGATTCGTTCGCTCTCAAGGATACCAGGTCCGTCGGCTGATGGTGGGAGGGTGTGACGAGTGCCGATGAACAGGTGGGGAGATTAATGTGAGAACAGCTGCTTTGTTAGCACTCGTTTAATTTTGCCCATAGATGGTAAATTTTCGGGCTGCCTCGAACATGGTGTTATTCGGAAAGATACAGGAAGTTGCAAAGCTCCCGCCCCCGCTCTATTTGTGCACGTAAGTGTCGTTCCAGTGACCAAGTTTGTTCCATGTACCGTGAATCTGATTGCTGTTTTTCATCCTTGTTTGCTCGGTTTCATTATTGATGCTCTGTATTATGTCACATGTTTGCCGAAGAAGTCCGTATTGGACCAGTGCGCTTGGTTCCAGCTCGGGCGATCCGTATCGTCTGTACAATTTGGACGTATTCGAGTACGAGATCGGGAATCCAATGGCGCTGTACGGCTCTGTGCCCTTCGTCATCTCACAGAGGTGAGTGTGTGGGCGCACGGATGCTGCCACAATATTTAAGGTGGTAGGGACTTGAGGTGTAATGGTCACGTCCTGAAACGATCCGTATCGCGTCAGCTCAGCTCTGCAGCTAGCCAGTTCTGTTGGCGAACTATATTGACGTAATATTGGCGATCATCATCCCCGGTGATGGGCACCACCCGTCTCCAGCTCACCACCACGTGCAGACTGTCTCTTGCACCCAGCCTCTCCCTGCTGCTGTTTTCTCGACTCCCCGCCTCACCCCGCCTTAATCTGTCCCAGCTCGCTTCACCCTGCTCCACCCCCGCCCCAGCCCGACTCACCCTGCTCCACCCCCGCCCCAGCCCGACTCACCCTCCTCCACCCCCGCCCCAGCCCGACTCACCCTGCTCCACCCCCGCCCCAGCCCGACTCACCCTGCTCCACCTCTGCCCCAGGCCGTCTCACCCCGCTCCACCTCCGCCCCAGCCCGCCTCACTCTGCTCCACCCCCCGCCCTACCCCGCCTCACTCTGCTCCACCCCCGCCCTACCCCGCCTCACTCTGCTCCACCCCCCGCCCTACCCCGCCTCACACTCTCCCAGCCCGCCTCATCCCACTTCACCCCGCCTCAGCCCACCCCTGCCCTTCTTAGCCCGCTTTAGCATATCCCCGCCTGACCCCGCCGCCCCGCCGGCAGCGGCTCGCACGGCGCTGCTGGCGCCTTCTGGCACAACGCGGCCGAGACGTGGGTGGACGTACGCTCGGAGCCGGACGCGGGCCTCGTCTCTACCGTCACCAGCTACCTGGGCGGCGGCCAGGCCGAGACACGCAAGCACCTGCACTGGATGTCGGAGTCGGGCGTGCTCGACCTCTTCCTACTGCTGGGACCGACCAGCCGCGACGTCATGCGACAGTACAAGCAGCTTACGGGCGCCACGCAGCTCCCGCCGGTCAGTGGCCGTTGCCCACACTTGGCGTTTTTGGCGCTGGCAGTTGCCCACACTTGCCCACGCTCGGTAGTTTTGACTTTTGGGTGTTGGCTGCGCTCTGGTCCGTTAGACTGCACTATATCAGGTTTGCTAATTCCCAGTGTCATATTTTTTTCTCCCCCGATACGGCTGGCTAATGCGGAGTGGTGTCCTGTGCGGGTGACCTACCGATGGATTAATAACAATGCCCGTTGTGCGCCGGCCTCTGCGATGGAAAGGAGCGGGCTCTGATCGCTTGTTGTGTGCCTCGGGTCCGGTTAGGTGCGGCTGTACATCCTGTATCCTGACCTGGCGTGAGCCCATCAATGCCCTCCTGCAAGCTGCCTGCCGGCATCTCTTGGGCCATTGCGTGCGCACAGCGGGTGTGCACCATGCGACATGCCATCGGAGCGATACGCTGTGTCCCGGCCTTGCTTCGAGTGGCTCGCCACAATCGATGCGCCAGACCGCCACGCTGCGACAACGGCCGTCAGACGCGGCGTGCCGCGGACTGACCGTCCGGCCCGTTCCAGCTGTTCTCGCTGGGTTACCACCAGTGTCGCTGGAACTACAACGATCAGCGCGACGTGGCTAACGTTCACGACAGCCTGGACCACCACGACCTGCCGTTCGACACCATCTGGCTCGACATCGAGCACACGGACGGCAAGCGGTGAGCGCCGCCGCCCGGCGAGGAGCGCCCGGTGGGGAACTCTACCTGTCTAGGCTGTCGAACCGCCTGTCGAGCCTGTTGAGCATGTCGACTCGGTGGGGAACGCCGCCGGGAACAGCAGCTGACAGCTTTCGGCGACGTTTGGGAAGGTCCTATATCGTGTTCATGGCATGGCATGCTGTCGCCGGTCCGCGTTCTCCCGGCACGCTACTTCAGGTGTGGAGCGTTAATACACCATTTAGCGAGACATCGTTAGGCATTTCTAGGTTCTCGGAAGTTGAACCGGCACTTTGTCTTTAAGGTATGTAATAAAGAAGCTGGCACGACCGGGGGTGGCTGTTGTGTTTCACTGCCTCACTCTCGGCTCTTCACCTCGTGCCCTCGTTTGGCAGGTACTTCACCTGGGACAGCCACAAGTTCTCGCACCCTGACGACATGATCCGTAACATGTCCTCGCGCGGCCGCAAAATGATCACCATCATCGACCCGCACATCAAGAAAGACAGTAACTACTTCGTGCACGCTGACGCCACTAGCAACGGCTACTACGTCAAGGACAGGGACGGCAACGATTTTGACGGTCAGTGGCGATCGGGTGGAACCCGATCACGGTGGTAGAGTTTGTCGTGGTCGTAGCTTAGAGCTGTCCAGGTGTGAACCATAGGCGGTGGCGTATCTTTGAAAGTATCGTAATGATGCGGTGGAGGGTGTCACGCGCTGACGTAAACCGGCGTCGGCCGTGGAGTTCTTCGACAATGTTCTTCCGCCGCCTCCTCCGTCGATGGCGCATCTTGGCCGCGCGAGCGAAGCGTCCCTGTTGCAGGGGTTGCGCTGACTGCTTGCTGGGTAACAGAGCCGCGTTGGCCTGACCGATCTGCACTGTGTTGATGCTGCCTGGGTCACACCCTGTCCGCTGCCCGCCTTATGACGGGCTGTGGTGACCTTCACTTGCCCGTGGTGACCCAAGCTGGCCTGCACTGGCCAGCACTGCACTGGCCTGCACTGCACTGGCCTGCACTGCACTGGCCTGCACTGTACTGGCCTGCACTGCACTGGCCTGCACTGGCCAGCACTGCACTGGCCTGCACTGCACTGGCCTGCACTGGCTCTCTTCTGACCTCGTAGAATCCGCTTTGACGCGTGCCGGCGGTCGGTGACTGGTGGACTGTGGTGATGGAACCAGCATGGCGCTGGTCCGCGGTGACCCTTCACTAACCCAAAATGACCCTGCGGTGAGTCGTGACCTCTGGCCGGCAGGCTGGTGCTGGCCCGGCTCGTCGGGCTACCTGGATTTCTTCCAGCCAGCCGTGCAGGAGTACTGGGCGTCCCGTTTTCAGCTGGCGAACTACAAGGGCTCTACGCTTGACCTTTACACCTGGAACGACATGAACGAGCCCAGCGTCTTCAACGGACCCGAGGTGAGACGCCCACCTGCTCCATGGCGAGCCCAGCGTCTTCAACGGACCCGAGGTGAGGCGCCCACCTGCTGGCTCCATATGGAACACCGCCATGCGCCGTTCCGCTAGTGAATAGCTCAGTCAGCGGGATGCCGGGATGGCTCGCAACACTGGAACATTTTGCAGGTTTGCATGGGAATTCAACAAGTGTTAAGCTTTCATAGAATTACTTCTGTTTTCATCAAGTGACATACAATACCACGTTATGATATTCGCCTATAATTTTCCAATGATATCATCAAGACGCTTGAATCATAGCATTGGCGTGAACAAATAGCCCAGAAACGTTAATAAGTAACGTCCTGACCCTGACAATACTACTGACATCAACAACGTGTCATGCCACCCTCGCCGGTTCCGTGAACACCCGCCCCTGTCCGGCCGGGTGACGATGGCCACCCTCGCCGGTTCCGTGAACACCCGCCCCTGTCCGGCCGGGTGACGATGGCCACCCTCGCCGGTTCCGTGAACACCCGCCCCTGTCCGGCCGGGTGACGATGGCCACCCTCGCCGGTTCCGTGAACACCCGCCCCTGTCCGGCCGGGTGATGATGGCCACCCTCGCCGGTTCCGTGAACAATCGCCCCTGTCCGGCCGGGTGATGATGGCCACCCTCGCCGATCCCGTGAACACCCGCCCCTGTCCGGCCGGGTGATGATGGCCACCCTCGCCGGTTCCGTGAACACCCGCCCCTGTCCGGCCGGGTGACGATGGCCACCCTCGCCGGTTCCGTGAACACCCGCCCCTGCCCGGCCGGGTGATGATGGCCACCCTCGCCGGTTCCGTGAACACCCGCCCCTGTCCGGCCGGGTGACGATGGCCACCCTCGCCGGTTCCGTGAACACCCGCCCCTGTCCGGCCGGGTGACGATGGCCACCCTCGCCGGTTCCGTGAACACCCGCCCCTGTCCGGCCGGGTGACGATGGCCACCCTCGCCGGTTCCGTGAACACCCGCCCCTGTCCGGCCGGGTGATGATGGCCACCCTCGCCGGTTCCGTGAACACCCGCCCCTGTCCGGCCGGGTGATGATGGCCACCCTCGCCGGTTCCGTGAACACCCGCCCCTGTCCGGCCGGGTGATGATGGCCACCCTCGCCGGTTCCGTGAACACCCGCCCCTGTCCGGCCGGGTGATGATGGCCACCCTCGCCGGTTCCGTGAACACCCGCCCCTGTCCGCCAGGTGACGATGCACAAGGACGCGCGCCACCACGGCGGCTGGGAGCACCGCGATGTGCACAACGAGTACGGCATGCTGGTGCCAATGGTATCTGCGCGCGGCCAGATGGAGCGCTCGGGCGGCACACTGCGACCGTTCGTGCTGACGCGCGCCGCCTTCGCCGGCTCCCAGGTGCGTGGCCGGACGCCGAGGGAGAGACGCAGGCGGCCTGTGTAACCGGGCGGTAGCCGAGCATGTGTGCTGGTGGGTCGTATTTGCAGATGGGAGTGATATATCGGGGTGAGGTGACGTCACAGTGCCAAATACTCGGGATGGCAGTTTGAGTTCTGCAAAAAAGCTTGCAGCGTCTGGTTTTTCGGCATAATGAGTTCAAACGCCCGCTCCTTAATTACCGACTTTCTACATACCAGGAGGTACTGGTTAAACGACGTTATAGGAAAAACATTGGTTATATTCACAGTACTCAGCTGTATCATGTCTTCCTAGTACCATGTCAGGTTACATTATTTGTATGATGACTGACACACCTAAGTGTCTCATCCCACCATGAACGTCTGCAAAACACCTCCTCATCCGCTGTCTGCTGCGCTGGAAAAACCGCCAGGCAGTGGTGGTGCGATATCTGCCAAAGCCAGTCACGATGTCGGGGCGGCTGACGTAGCAATTGGCGCCATTCCGACAGCGTTTTGGCGCCAAGTGGACGGGTGACAACACTGCGCAGTGGTCACACCTGCAGTACACCATCCCGATGCTGTTGTCCAGCTCGGTGGCCGGCATCTCCTTCATCGGTGCCGACATCGGCGGATTCTTCGGTCAGTTGCGGCGCCCGGCTGGCGTTGGTCATGGCGCCTGGTGCTCGCTGCGTCCCCATCTCCTCGGGCATTGGCAGCCTGGCAGCCCCCTCTTCCCTCTGCCCTGGCAGGCAGCCTCCGGCCGTGTCAGTCGCGCCAGATGAAGCGGAACTTTAACCATGGCGCCGTGCCACACTTTACTGTTGTGACTGCAGTGTGCGCTAAGATTTTTGCGACGCGAGAACGGAAATGTGCAAGACTCCTGCCCCGGCACGCACCAAGAGCGCTGGTGTACCCAGCCTTCCTCTGGAAGGTCTTCAGCCCGGGTGACATCCTGCGACCTTCGTGCCATGACTCCAAGTGTCGTCTACAGGAGCCGCTGGCCGCTGCGTCTGTGGCTCCGGCGACCCGAAGGCGTGTGTCCCTGACCCGGAGGTGTTGTCCTGACCCCGCGTCGTTCCCCAGGCGACCCGGACACCGAGCTGCTGACGCGGTGGTACCAGGTGGCCGCCTTCCAGCCGTTCATGCGGGCGCATGCGCACATCGACACACGCCGCCGCGAGCCCTACCTCTTCGGAGAGGAGACGACCCGGATGATCCGGTGGGTGCTGAGCGACGCTCCTTCGCGGCGCGGCGGCTGTCTCGAGATCGGGACCGAGTGGCCCCAGACTTATGCCGTGATGCTGGATCGCCGCCATGGGCTCGAATCAGTCACTGGTGCGTCTTGTTCAGCAACTGAATTGGCGCCATGGCGTGATGTGCGTGAGAGGGCGTGGGTCGTGGAGCCCCGCGCTCGCTGCTGGAGCTGTCTGACTGGATGCAAGCGACCGTCCCTTGTAGCAGGGTCGTCACGCCACGCGGCTAGCCGGACAATCTGGCCCAGCGCCGTGTCCGGACTCGGGTCTAAACGAACTCTTTCTCTTCCCGGCTGCTTTCCTTTCTTCCTCTCTCCACTCTGCCCACTGTACCTCACGAGCTCTGCTCTTTTCTACTCCACCCCTCCTTCTCTACCCACTGTACCTCACGGGCATTGAGGCCCGGCCCGCTGTGACGGCCACCCTTCGCCCGTCCCCAGTGCGGCCCTGAAGCAGCGCTACCGTTTCCTGCCGCTCTGGTACACGCTCTTCTACGAGAACGAGCAGACGGGCATGCCGCCGATGCGGCCGCTCTTCATGGCCTTTCCGGATGATGTCAGCACGTACTCCATGGAAGACCAGTACATGGTCGGTGAGTGAGCGGCCGCCGTGCGCACGGGGTGCGCGCGCTGCGGTGAAGGCTGCGACCAGACCGCGAGTGGCCTCTGCACGGGTCAGCACAGCTGGCCCGCGCCTGCTGCGCTGAGTGCAGGGCAAACGGACACGCTTGCCGCCATCGCCGTTTAGCCGCCGGTTGGTCCCGTGTGAGCATTCTGTTTTGTTTTGTGGCGCCGGCTGCTCCAAATTTGATGCTGGGTTGTGCTTAACGGGCTGTTTCATACGGAAATGTGATGTTAGCTGAGACAAAACAGTTCATAGCGATCGTCACAGCATCTTCAATTCGCTGCCACTTCCTCCACATTGTATGAATTTTGACCCGCTGTCCGGAACTTCAGTGTCTTCACCCGTAACGCCCGTGCGGTGGTAAGCGGCTGCGCGTGATCTGGCGGTGCAGCGTGTCCCCTGTGCGTGCGGCGCGGTGCGTAATGCTAACGGCGGCGGCACCTGTGCCGCAGGGGAGGCGCTGCTGATCCACCCGCAGACGGCGCAGGGCGGCTCGTCCGTCTCCGTCTACTTCCCCGGCGCTGACACGGTGTGGTACGACATCGTGACCGCCGAGCGGTTCACGCACGGCCGTTCCACCGTCGCCACGCCCCTGGACAAGGTGAGGCCGGCAGCCGACTGCGCGTCGGCCTGTACGGACGGATGGCAACCGACGTATGCGAGCCGAAGCTGGGGGCTGGAGCCGTGTCGGTATCACGGCACGAGGTGCGTGACACGCGGGGTGCAAGCTCAGTATTCGATTGTGACTGGTGCGCCTCCGCCCCCGCAGCTGCCGGCGTACCAGCGCAGCGGCACTGTGGTGGCCACCAAGGAGCGGCCCCGACGCGCCAGTGCGCACATGGCGGCCGATCCGTTCACGCTGACTGTGGCGCTGGACGCGCGCCAGACGGCCACCGGCGCGCTGTACATCGACGACCACAGCTCGTTCCAGTACCGCGACGGCAAGCACATCTACCGGCGGCTGGCGTTCGAGAACAGCGCTCTCAAGTCTAGGTAGGTGGGCGAGCGCTCGCCTGCCCGCCCGCTGGTCGTGCCCCGTTCGTGGTGGTGGTGAGGCGGTTAGACTCGGTCTGGAGGCGTGTGGCCTGCTGTGCAAGCTGCTGTTTGCGGCGTGTCAGCTGGTGTGGCGTGCCACACACTCGGTGCGGCGAAATGATGGGTTCGCCTGATGTTGGAGCCAAATTCTGGCAGCTGTGCGAGGTCCGAGTTGATTTTTTTCTGTGGCTGTGGGGCCATAAAAGTATTCGTAATCTAGCCATCGTGCCGGTTGGACATTGTCATGTCATAACTGCCAGTATTAATGTCAGTCGCTCGATGATGTTGCAATCTGTTGCTTTTCCCAATTCCTTGTCATCCTAATAGTTGTTAGATTTTACAGCACGCTGTGATGCCGCGGGCTGTCTGGCCCCTGACGCCACGCGGGGAAGCTGTCTTCGCTGCCGTTCTGGTGCCGGCTGTTCACGGCCGCCTGCCTCGGTTTGCAGTCACATCTCTGGCGCGGGTCTGGATACGGCCAGCTGGGTGGAGCGGGTGGTGGTGCTCGGCCTGCGCACCGCGCCCACGGCCGTCCACGTCACCAGCCAAGGTGGGTTAGCCCGTCCCCGCCCTCGCCCCACCCCCGGCCCCGAGGCTGAGCGGGTCGCGGTGTCGGCTGGCCAGACTTGGTGGGGGGGGGGGGGGGAAGTGGGGGTGGGAAGAGGGCACCCACGCGCAGTCGGCTCTCTTAGTCAGTACCCCGGAGAGAAACGGCCGCGGTTGGAATGTAAATTGTGCCTCCACGCTGTGTTGAACATGAAAAATTTGTAATGTCAGTTGAGTAGCGATCGCAGGCTGTCGCCACTGCTCCTGATCTCGGGTGCTCGAAAGAGAGCGATTCACTGGGGCCAGTTCTCTTCTTGCAGATGCATCGGGAATTACTTCAATTTCGCTAACGAGGGGTTACGTTTCTCTGTTCGTGCTCGCCAACATTACGATATAAGTGAGGATTGATTAATGGCGAAAACACGTGGGCTAGCGCTCTCGGTGCGCGCGTTTTCGCACAAGTTCTCTAAGCTCTACTTTTGATTGTTTTTGCCTGTCACCGTGTCTGTTCCGTCAGGTACCTTTTCCTTACAAACTGTTTGGCCTACATCTCTTAGCGGTTTGCCTTGGATTCCAGGTCGGGACGAGGCACTGGACTTCAAATATGACAAAGATCTGCAGAAGCTGGTCATTAGGAAGCCGGCGGTGAACGCGGGTGCTGATTGGTCAATCGTCATTTCGTAATGGCGCTGATTGGTTCATCGTCATATCGCAACAAGGGCGATGGCTGATTGGTCGCCTCGCAGTGGCGTTGACTGGTCGACCGCTATCGCGAACGGCGCTGATAAGTTGATCGTCGTCCCGTGATGTGGCCGACTGGTGGTCCGTCATTGCGCGGCGGCCGCCGGCGGTAGACACGATCTGGGGGCCGGGGTTTGCGTGCGTGTGTCGGTGTGCGCGCGGCGGGTTGGTCGGCCGCCGGCCAGTGATACTCCTGTGGTTGTTATGTGCAGGGCTGGCGGGGTGGGGTCGGCGCGCGGTTCATTCCACGGTGGTGGCGCGCCGGATCGCAGGGACGGCGGGGCGCAGTCGGGTGACGGGCCGGGCCGGGCTGGTCGGCGTGGGCACGCTTTGGGAAACCTCGGGTCTGCCGGGGCGAGATGAAACCGACGTCAGCGGCCACACGACGACAGTTGCCTAAAAGACATGTGTTCTTGAAGCATCTGGACGGTTACCTCTGGAAATCTCGCTCAGTGGATAGGGCGGGTTTGAGCTTTCTCTGGTACGAACGATGCCCGGGGCCCGTCTGCTTCTGATTGTGTCGTCACGAAACTTGGGAACGTCGTTGGCGGTGCGGCCGTGGTTCGTGCTGTCTCCTTGCCCGGGTCGGCATCGCGTGGTCGCGTCAATGTTTTGCTCACTTTGGGAACGTCGAGCATGTGATCCGTCAGATTTCTGACCGTCGGTGGGCAGGCGCCACGTCAATTATCCTTCTGTCTGGTGTTTTGCGATTGATGCTCAGTGAAATGCCTCTGCCCCATTAACCTGCAAACTTGATTCATTGTTCCGTTGGGATGGAGCTGCACTTCTGCAGCTTGCCATCAGATATGCCAAGGCACTGTGCAAGTAAAATGGACCATTTATTTCCGCTGCTGTGCTCAGGCCTGTAAGTTTCGCGTTGTAACGTGCCGCTCATTCTGTGTTATTGGTGTTTCTTTCCCTGAAGCATGCATTTATGTGTGTGGTGTGCTACAAGGAGCCAAATGTTTGTCTTCGATGCTCTCTGCTTTGGTCTGGGCCCCATCTCCTCGCTCTGTTCATTTGTGTTGTCTGTGAAGCTTCGCCAGTGTGTGAACTGTGTGTTTGTTGTGTGTTGTCATCACATGTGTTCGGATTCGGGAAGCCCTTTTCGGCAGTGGTCCGCCGACCAGTTACCCCACTCGTAGCTTTCTGCACGAGCTGCCACGTCTCGCTCAGCGAGGGGCTCACTCCACTCCCGGGGGGGTAGGGAGGGGAAGCGGGCAGTGCAGCACACGGGCTCATCGGCTATTCGCGTCGCCCGCGATGCACTTGATTGGATACGCTGAGCGCCAGTCACCTCCCATCCCCCTCCAAGCAGAGTCCCCCTACTGTTCTGACCTCTCTCCGCATCACGCTGTCGGCTTCCTCGGACAGCGCGCGATGCCCTCGTCGCGACGGCGCGCGTGACGACACTGGTGGGGGTGGCCTCTAAGCTGTGTGGTTGTCTGACTGATACCCCACCCCATGCGGTGAGGCGGGGGTTCATGAGGCAGACTGTCTACGGCCGAGTTGCCCCCCCCCCCCCATTAGAAGGCCGCGTCAAATGCTCATTTTGTTTCCAATTTTTAAAGCACGGAACGATTTTGCGCTTGGTTCCTATGCACATTGTGGTAACGTGTCGAGGTTCGCCTCCGCGGTTCCTGCACACGCACCCCGAGACGCCGCAGAAACATGATCATATATTCTTCGGCACCAGCGGCTTTTGTACGGCGGCGCCGCCGGTGGGCATCGAAATGCCGCGGTGGTGTCAGATCAACATCAACTATTCTACATCCGCTCCGCCCTCCGCTGAATTCCTTGATGATCGATGATCGCATGATGACGTCACGGGTCACGGCCGACGCTTCGCCCGTCGGCCGTGGCCCACGTCGGCGTTCAGTGGCGCCCACGTCCGCGTTACAGTGGCGGCCCCGCCGCGTCACAGTGGCTGCCACGTCCGCGGCCGGGGTGAGGCCCTGTCGCCGGAGAGTGGCTTCACACCGGCTACGGCGGCTGCCACCCGTGGCCGCGGCCATCCCCCCCTCCCCTCCCCTCCGCCTGGAAGTCTGCGCAGCGCAGATGATCAGCCGCATCCGCTCAGCGTTGCGGAGCCGGTCGATTCCCCGCGTCAGTTGCGCCCCGACGCCAATGGCCGGCGGCCTCCTGCGGAACGGTGGGGACGGAGCAGGGCTGGATCCGTCGCAGAGAGTCAGAGGGTGGGCCAGTCCTCGCAGACCCGGGCGGATGTAGCCGAGGGGGCGAAGGGGTGGATCCGTGGGAGAGAGTCGGAGGGCGGGCCAGTCCTCGCAGCCTGGGCGGATGTGCCGTCTGCGCGGGTCAACCTCAGAGGAACCAGGTCGGACTTTTGCTCGACTTAGCCGCACAGTAGTCACAATAAGTGTTGACTGGTGGACGTGCGTGGCCTCGTTCAGCCACTATCTGAGTGATTATAGGCGATAAGTATTGATAATAAATGGGTGTGTGACGCACAGTTAGTGTTATTCACTTACGCAATATCCGACTGATAAGGGCGAGGTTGCCAGTCATCTTTTGCTCCCTGCTTGGGACAACGAAAGTCAATGTGCCGCTACCAAAAGTTCCGATCGGTTCAGCACATAAAACGGTTTCTGCCGGCCCATAAACCTGTGAACAAAACAACACCGCAACGTTCCCAAGCTGCAGTGAAGGACGGTTTAATCCGGCGGTCATCAGCCCGAACGCCTCCAGTCATATGCACTTTGGCCGCACACCCGAAAACGCTGCCGAGGCTGTCCAGTGGAGCCACGTGCTGGCCCGGCGGGTCGCCGGAACCGGGCAGGACTGGCACCAGCGACTGCAAGGTCGTGGCTATCGGGGTTTTGTACCGTCGGCAATTAGGTTCCTGGGTGCAACGATGTACGAGATCCGACGCCCGTCCCCAGTCGTGTTTAGTGGTGCGTCCTACAGCAGGGGAACACACTGCGGGATTGATGACACTGCCGGTGTCGCTTGGAGACCACATGTGACTATATGTAATGACGCCAGTTCCAGTCAACCTCAAGCATTCTTTGATGTGATTGATATTACAGCTTATGAACGCCTCAAGATGGAATCGAGGTCGAACACCTCAACGTTGAGCGTATAACCATAAGACTGTATTAAAAGTCATAACGCTCGCACAGCAACAGTGACCAAAATGTTGCGACATCGGCAGCTAAAGGTTAGCTTTCTCTCGGCGTCTATCAGCAGCCGTCACATTACTGAACGGCAGCAGTCGCCGCCCGATCCCCACCACACCACCGGAGCATTGCAGACTCACTGGGCCCCAACGACGGGTAGCGGCCACCAACTTTTGTCGAAAAACGCTCCCTCAATACGTCAGCCCAGCACGCGATACACAACATAAACGCTGCCAGGGCATCGCAGACGCCTACAGTCCTCTACCCAAAGCACCAGAGATATATCACGGGACAACACACACATACATCGCTGTAGTCGTTTGGTCTTTACGATGTCCTAAGGTGCTGACGCTACATGATGTCTCTCCCTACTCGGCGTGGCAGGATGAGTTTCCTCTGAACACAATCGACCGCCCTACTTATCGCCGAGCATATGCAACATTTGTTGAATTCGGCTCGCGAACGAGACGTTACTACGGTGGGACTGAAGCTTGCCACTTAATACTGGCAGAGGGCCGCTGATTGCAAACCAGCCTCACGCACGTCAAAGACATCACGCACAACTCAATACTGTCGAAATCAGCGCATTACGTCAAAGCCCATACCGACCCCCTCCATTTTCCACATGGCAATACGATACCGCACGGCGCCGACAGGAAAAGGCACAGCCTCAGCAGGGGGTTGCGCTGGGCGGGACATCAGTGTGGGACCGAGCGCGCCTGAACGGGACGCTCAGCCCCCCCCCCCCCCCTGTCATGGCAGCGGGGCCCGCTTCCGCCCATCGTCCGTTGCCCGCGACGCCGAGCCGTTAGCCCCAGATGATGCGGCGCATCTCATCCACGGAAACGACCTTCTCGCGGGGCTTGCCGACACGGCGGCCGCGCTCCTCCTCGGCCTGGTCCAGCCGGAGCCAGTCGGGGAAGCCGACCGGTCTCGCGCCTAGGGGAGGGGGGGAGGGAGGCGGGTCAGGGTGACCAGGCCCACGGGGAGGACGGAGTGGCCACAGCAGAGTTAAGAGAACGATACTGACAAACGGTGACAAATCTGACAACCAGGCGTCGGAGAGTATGGGGGGGACAACTACATATTAGATGGACAGATGGCCACGAACATTCAGACACACGGTGAGCAATCATTGTCTCAAAGTGGCTTGCATCAGTTCTCACACCTTCATCTGATGACCCGCAATTGATTCTCACCACTCTTCATGGTTTGCGCTAACTCTAACCCCTTTCCGGTGTGGCCTGCGGCGGCACCCGCATCCTTCTCCCAATTTGTCTGCACCACCTCTACCTTTATCCGAGATGGTCAGCATCAGCACTCTCCTTGCTCTCGCATGACATTCACCTTGTCTAACCTCTCTCATATGGCCTGTCCCAGGCCTAAATCTGTCCCAGGGTTCGCACCAACTCCCGCCGCACTATCACTCAGCTAGGCCACCTCTCGTCCATCTCCCGCATGACCTGTGACACTCCTTACCCTTTCTCCGGACGACCTGTACCGCTCCTCACTTCTCTCCCGGACGACCTGTACCGTTCCCCACTTCTCTCCCGGGCGACGTGTACCGCTCCTCACTTCTCTCCCGGGCGACCTGTACCGCTCCTCACTTCTCTCCCGTGGCGATCTGTACCGCTCCCTCACTTCTCTCCCGGGCGACCTGTACCGCTCCTCACTTCTCTCCCGGCGATCTGTACCGTCCTCACTCTCTCCCGGGCGACCTGTACCGCTCCTCACTTCTCTCCCGGGCGACCTGTACCGCTCCTCACTTCTCTCCCGGGCGACCTGTACCGCTCCTCACTTCTCTCCCGGGCGACCTGTACCGCTCCTCACTTCCCTCCCCCGGATGACCTGTACCGCTCCTCACCTCTCTCCTGGATAACCTGTGCCGCTTCTCACCTCTCTCCCGGATGATCTGCACCACTTCTCACCTCTCTCCCGAATGACCCGCACCACTTCTCACCTCTCTCCCGAATGATCTGCACTAGTTCGTCGGGATGCATGACCCGGTCGCACTGCTTGCCGGCCGCGAGGTCGTCGGCCACAAGCTTGCCGACGGCGAAGCTGGACGACATGGTGTTGAGGATAACGCCAACGGGGCCTGTGCCGATCCAGCCCGTCACGTACAAACCTGAGACAAACGGTGCTAGTGATGACGGTGATTATGATGGCGGTGACGTTTCCATGTAGTGATCAGGACAAGCTTTCAATGGACACTCTAGGAAAGTTGCACTGGAGCGACGCTTCTTGATATATGGCTCCATGTCATGCTTAACTACTGTTGTGACCAGTGAACCCCAACTGCTAACAATGGCTCGCCATCTACCGGTGAATGCATTGACGGCCGTGGCGTCGTGGCGGCCGCAAAGTCGCACATCGAGATATGGACGTGAGTCAAGTCGTGTGAGTGCAGCCGCGAGACCCGTCTACTGGCCCCCACCAACGGTCCCGCCCCCGCCCCCCCCCCCCCCCCACATTTACATCGGTAGCCTTCAGGTGGCATAACGCCGACAAAAAACAATCGTCCGTTAGCTAGCACGAAAGACCATTTTGTTTGACGTTCGAGCACCGTCCTGGATGTGCGCCTGGGATGTGTGTACTGACTACGATAGCGATTACCCATTCAGCCCCTGTGCATCTTTGTCTTATGATCAAGTTAAAGGTGTTTCAGGAGGTCAGAGACCGGCATCAAGCCAAAGGCGTTCCGGCACACTCCAGCTTTTCGCGAAAGCCGCTTGATATTCCGACGATCACCAACCCATCAATTAGTTCGGTGCACCACATCTTGAACATCTACCAACGTTCACACAGACACATACGTGCGGTACACGGTGAACACGTGCGGGCCGCCGTGCGGACGTACCGGGCGCGCCATGCACACGGCCGTCCGTGTTTGGGATGACGCCTCGGGCGGCGTCGAACGGCAGCGCCGGGTCGATCTGGCGGCCCTTGTACCTGAACACACCGGCAAGACGCATCGGCTAGGGAAAACCCAAACGGTGCGGTAAAGGGGGCTCCAGACGGCGACAGTTAACAGCCGGGTCCCTCAAGTTCCACTACATTTTGGGGATCTTCATTCCGTAACATAAACACTGAGACGTTTGGAAGGATGGAAAATCGGTGATATCTACATGTTATATACCAGACCCCTCACATGAGGACCACACCGTCCAACAGCTTTCACTGGTCTGCACAGAAAAACTGCACGCGCGACAAAACACGCAAAGGTATGTGTGGGTCTGCGCTGACGTTGACATACAAAACCCGCTTATCAGCAAAAGCCTCACCCGCGCAGTCTTTAAGCACACCCAAATGCACGCAAAACCGGCTGATAACACAACTGCACAGGCTGCTGAGACAACAATCTTCGTCCAGCGCGCTGTACCAACCCTATGCTCCGCAGCAGCATCTGGCACGGAATCAGCTCAGTCTGGTTCGTGCCGACCACGTGATCGCCATCCATCGCGTTCACGCCCACCCGCAGCTGATCGACTGCGTCCGTGCCCAGCGCCTCAAGCGGGCTCCGCAAGAACTTGAGGGTCCAAGTCCGCCGCTCGGCGGCGCGCGGACTGCGCGCGCTTTTGACCATGAGTTCTGTGAGCCGACGGCGAGGACGCGGCAGGTCTGAAATCAGGCGGCGACGGCACGCTTCACCCCACAGACCACGAACAGCGCACTATCAAATAGCGCGAGTTCCAATATGTTTCATTCTTCTGCACAACTAGGTAACTGGCCGACTTTACGGCTGGGCATTACGCGACCCAGAAAACAATGTCAGCCATATAACGTTAAGGTCTGGCAGCGTTGAGGAAAATGTCGAAACCTGAGTTTCATGCAATGTCTGACATAGTCGTGGTGTCAATAGATTACATACAAAACACTCAATAAGTTTTATTATCTTCAAAAGGAGCACAATGAGCCCTCGCAGCTACCAGTCCTCCAAAAAAGCTCCGCATGGGCAACGGTGGTGATCTTAGGGTGGCCATGCACACAGGCTCACGGAAGGCGAACGCGAATCGTCACAACCGACCTTTCAGCCGAAAACTTGGCCCTTTTGTCCATCACATGTAAACACATCGCAAGCCATATCACAACCATCCCAGTGTGTACTAACAGGACTAATGGCGGCAACCGCTATTTAGCGGCCCAGTGAGAATGCCAGAGGGTGCCCCCCCCCCCCCCCTCCCCTCACCGGGCAGCAGGGGCTCCAGCTGGTGGAAGGGGTAGCCGTCCCAGATGGCTGAGGTGCCGACCAGGTGGATCTGTTCACGCAACTCCTTGATGGTGAAAGCGGCCTGCAGCGGGCCGCGGCGGCCCACCACGGTCACGTGACGCACACGTGACTCAGCCAGGGCAGCGAGAGCCGACTCGGTGATGTCTGTACCCTGCGGCCAAGTGACACACACGTGACTCAGTCAGGGGAGCAAGAGCCGACTCGTGCCCCGTTCGATCCGTCGTCAGCACGATTGTCAGCTGGAATGCGTAACGTTATGCTTGCTGACGGAGCGTTCGATGTGGGCTGTCAGGAAAGTGTTTTTTATTTACTTTCCTTTTTCCTCCACCTTTTTAACCGTTTCAGACCACACACTAACTCTGGCTCACCGCCGGTCATGACACGCTACCTATGAAGTGACGTTTGGAAGGGAGACTGCTGCTCCTGTATTGTCATCATCTATTCCAACCGTAAGTTGAGTGATTCTTTACGTTCCGAATTCATTTCAACTTCTTCCCTTATCCCTTTAAGTGTTCACTTATAACGCTACCAATTTATTGGGAAACGCAACCACAAACCACGCCAATCACCGTCGCTCACCGTTCCGTGGCTACTCCTGGCAGTTCAATTCACTACTGATCTATCCCTCGTCGCATTTCTCCAAAATTAGACATTAGTGCCCTCAGCCAACCAAACGCACTCGCCTACGCAAGAGCTACCTAATGAAACTCCCGCTTCTTGTCAGTGATTGTTTAAAATTTGGTAGCTCCTTCTTTGCACGCTGACGGGCAGACAAAAAAAAAAAAATCTGGCATCATCGTTCGACAACGCGTGACGTTATAGAGCACGTGACCTTGCGACCACGTGACGTGACGTAGGGAAACCCTGCAGCGCTCACGCCCGGGTCAGATCGGCGCACAACGGCCAGCTGTGAGACGGCCAGCCCACGGCGAAATCGACGCGTGACGACAGCAGTGGATCGTGTCCTGGCACGCACAACCCAATGAGCGGCCCAGAAGCGGGGTGGGCTTGATCTTCTCTGCACCTACAGCCGGATACATATCGCCCAGGTCGTAACTCCTCCCCCCGCGCGGACGCTCACCGCCAGTGCGTCGACGCTGGCGGTCAGCAGCCGTAGCACGTCGAGCGCCACGTTGCCCATGCCGACGATGACGACATGCTCCGCGGCCAGGTCCACCGGCGACCGGCAGCCGGGCAGGCCGTTGTACCAGCCGACCAGGTGTCGCGCCGACGCCACGTTGGTCAGCTGCTCTCCGGGGATGCCCAGCGGCCGGTCATCGTCAGCGCCGTACGCCTGAAGCAGGGGACCGCGACTGAGGCGGCCGGCGCGGCGGACGCGCGGGAACGGCGCTCAGACATGGTACCACAGACGGTGTCCGCGACAAAGGCCTTGGACTCCTCGGCTTTCAGCGTTGTCAACTGGGAGTTCTCATTCTGACAATAATTCAGCTTCAGTATACCAGTATGTGCTGGTTGAACGACGTTATGAAAGAGGCAATGGCTTTAACAACAGATCTCAACGCTTCAAGCTGCATTCGTGGTCATGAGTAAACATGAGCCGAAAATTGGGACACTGTCAAACCTGAACACCGTCTCACTAATGACTGAGTCACGTCACTACTTCAGGCTGCGCGCGGCAGCCCCACCAGCCGTGACGCTTACGCATGCGCTAACTTGAACTCGGGTCACCGTAGCTGAAGTGCAGTGCCATGCCATCTGTGATGCTAAGTGCCACTGTGAGGTGATAGGGCCAGGTCGAGCTCGAGAACAGGGACTTTATCTGAGTTTGACGTCTAAAGGGGACCAACCAATTATCTGTGGGCTTGCTGGCGCCGTTTGAGGCGGGAGAGAGGGAAGTGGTACCAATCACTTTGCAGAGGCTAACCGTGGCTGCGGTAGGGTCGTCGCTACTAGTGCGGGATGCGGGCTCCCCTGACCCCCAGACCTTCAGATTCAGATTGATGCAGATAAGTATTCATCAAGGATCTTTCACTATAGCGGCACTTCACCTGATCCGTCAATACAAATCAAACGTTGAGGATAAACATCTGAACATCACTTTAAGGCAGCACGCAGAGCGCACGTCGTGCATATATTATTTTCAGCGGCGCCTGGATAGGATTGCACGTTTTTAATCTCCACTGTGCGATAGTACATGCGGATCAGCATTGGTACGGTTGCGAATAATGGCCCCTCTGATACACAGCTGGAGTCTGCCCGTTTCAGTTCGGACCCGACGCTGTGTTACGCGGTCTGCATTCCAGATGCCGCAGTCGTGTAGTTCGCGAGCCTCTGGACAGACGATTCGCTGGCGTACTTGATAGCCACCAGTCCTGATAGCCCGTCCAACCGTGCAGACATCAAGATTATCAAGATTCTCGGCTAACTCAGCCACCCGCTGTCAGCCTGTTCGATAACATTTGGGATACGATCGCAGCGTCTGTGACCACTGACCGATGCGTACACGCTCATGCACTGATGAGTGGTCGATAGAACAGGAGCCTACACGCTGACTGTCCGTGTGTCCGCAGGTAGCACGTGACCGGCGCGGCTGAGAGTGATCAGAATACCTGTACCTCTGGGAGGCATGGCGTCAGAATGAGACTGACAGTTCAGATGGCGGCCTAGGGAAATTCTCGGGTTTTCACCATCCTTGCATCACTTGCTACGGACCCACAGGTGATCGTGACTTGTGGCTTGAAGGGAGGCTTCTCAACACTGCTGGCGTGCCCAAGGCCAGCATTTGAGTTTTGGTAGTGCTGACTTGCATGCCACTTTGACACACTCATCGCAAGAGGGAATCGAGAGCGGTCTCCGTGAGATCGAATGAAAGTTGTCAAACCTTGGCCTTTATCCGTGCTCAGAGCTTTCGTGGTATCTGTTAGCTGAACTATGCTGACACCGTTGAGGTAGCACAGACTCAGGCCATTCGCGAACAGTATATGTAAGACGTAACTAAGGCTTCGCTGGACACCCTGATTCTTGATTTTGTCTTCCCTCGGTCAAGACGTTATGTTTGAGTCGTCAAAACTTCTCTCTCTCTCTCTCCCTCTCTCTCTCCCTCTCCCTCTCCCTCTCCCTCTCCCTCTCCCTCTCCCTCTCCCTCTCCCTCTCCTCTCCCTCTCCCTCTCCCTCTCCCTCTCCCTCTCCCTCTCCCTCTCCCTCTCCCTCTCCCTCTCCCTCCCCTCTCCCTCTCCCTCTCCTCTCCTCCTCTCCCTCTCTCTCTCTCTCTCTCTCGTCTCTCCTCTCTCTCTCTCTCTCTCTCTCTCTCTCTCTCTCTCTCTCCAGTCGGTGTTCACAGTCAGTGTTCACACCGTACAAGATTAGCTTTTCCATAAGTTTCTGGTGTGGCACGTCGAAGTATTTGAAAGGATCGAGAGGGACCGGAATTTGATGAGGTCATTGACGACGCTGAGAGCTATCTTGGTTGAACGTCAGTGTGCCGATAGTGTAGTGGTTGACGTGTCTGCGTTAACCAGTGCACGTTTGGGAAACCAGAGATACGGAATTTGATTCCCCGCGATGTCCGTCTTTCTTGCCAGGGTGAGAAGCAGGCGACGCCATATAGCCTTAGCAGCTGAGTGCGTCGTAAGGTCCCAATGACGAGGACGTTGGTTGAGTGCTGTGTTCGGTACCCGTGTTATGCTGCAGTCAGTAAGCAAAATGACGCGTATCCGCTGGACTGCTGGTTGCATTCAATTTCGACTGCCGTGTGCTTCCACTCCGCTTGAACGAGTATGTTCGTAAGGCTTGTGTTCATAATGTTGAGGAAACCGTGATCGAAACCAGGAAATAAATGTCCGCAGCATAGCGATGCTTGCGCCAGCAACTCCGATGGTAGGTGTCATCCTCACACTCGGTAACGTCGTGCACAGTGGGACAAATATCGTCTACTCCAGTTGGAGCTATTGAATTCATGCTCGGTAACGTCGTGCACAGTGGGGCAAATATCGTCTACTCCGGTTGGAGCTATTGACTTCATACTCGGGAACGTCGTGTACAGTAGGGCAATGTCGGTATGTTGTATCTTAAAAGTGTTTGTGGTGACACGCCGTAACCTGACTGGTACAGACGTGGCTGCTGGCCTTACCACCGCTGGGGTACCTGTAGCAGGACAGTGGACAGGCTGCTGGCCTTACCACCGCTGGGGTACCTGTAGCAGGACAGTGGACAAAGGGTCTGAAACTGAAACATGATACTGGGACTGTAACAGAATTCTTCAAGCGCAAAAGATCCTGGAAATTTATTAGGAAGGTAGGGTGGGGATAGGGGCGGGGGACTGACAGGTACAACTCGTGCATGGATGAGTCAGCGACGTGCAAATAAAACTGAATAAGACGATTGACTGACGTAGATATGAGCAAGAAAGGCCCTCAACTCCTGGACTTTCAGAATTATGAGTTCCAAGTTTTATGCTGAGTTATCGACCTTTCATATGCCAGAAGGTACTGGTTAAGTGAAGTTATTGAGAAAACACTGGGTGTATCGTCAGTACCTGACGTTTCAAGACGTGCTGATGAAGACGGGAGATAATATGCACTGGCTGAGGAGTCAAATACTGTTCGTCATTGTTTCAAGAGTCAAGTGTTGTAAAATAGCAAATGTTTGCTTTTAAAACGTAGTTTGCTCAGCATTCCCTGCCCTATGGGAGGTTGATAAACACAAGCATAAGGCCTCTGAACTCATAAGATTGGCAAAGGGACACAAAGTTGGGGAAAGGTAACAGCATTAAGTTGCCTTACGTCTGCTGGCCGGGCCGCGATGGCCGCAATGCCACGTGTTGGTGGAAATGACAAAGTCTCGATCATGAAAAAAGCACATGCGAATTCTATGTTACGATTAAATATAATTTAATATTCCTGCTACTGCAAAATTTAGCAAAGGGCAACGAGTCGTTTGATTTTGATGAAGGTAAGGCAAAGCTAAACATGCATGCTTGTTTAAAACCGCACCGATCACGTATGAAAGACAACATCCCCGGGGCGACTCCTACAAGGTGACGTAACGTCTGTCAGTGACGTCGGCGGCTGACCAGCACGACGGCGTCGTAGGCCCGCCGCAGCTCCGACACGGTCACGTGACGTCCGACCGTGACGTCAGCCAGGAGGCGGACGGCGGGAGAGCTGGCCGTCTGGCAGAAGGTGGTAGTTACGTTCTTGACCTCCGGGTGGTCGGGCGCCACGCCGAAGCGGACCAGACCGAACGGCACCGGCAGCTGCTCGAACAGGTCCACCCGGCAGCCGGGCGCCTTCTGCCGGAGCAGGCGGGCGTGAGGCGGACCGGCGAACGCTCCCAAATGGCAGGATGGCACGGGGCGGCGCGAGGATGAGCTTCTATGACGTCTGGGGCATTGCGAACCTTAGAGAGACTACGTACAGCGCACGATCTGTGATCCGTTATGGAACGTACACCTAATGACCGAATTCGACGCGAAACACCAGAACAAATGAATACGGTCATGAAATATGCTGTGAATCTCCGTCAATGATGATTCGAAATTCGCCAATCTACGGGAGAGAAGTGAAAATCATTTGTGTCATCTCTTACCGTGAACTCGGAAAGGACCAAGATTCCTAGATCTGCAGACAGCTGCAACCTTCACCTTCATGTTTAGTGATAATAATTTGGAGAGCATGCCTTAGTTTCCTGATAATGGCTTCTGAACGAATTCTTTCAAATGAGACAACTTGCCCCGCCCTGGGGCACATGTATCACATAGCGGGGAAATTATGTCCATGTTTTTAGAGAAGTTGCATTGCAAGCAAGCTAAATGCGTTACATGTAGACAAAATGTGCTCGTCTGTACTATTTCGTAATTCGTCGTAATCGCGCCATGGCAATATTTTGCATTTGTAATCAATCAGTTTTTGTTTTGCGACTACTGCCACCTTGGTTTTGGATTGCTCCAGTGTAATTATGGATCTACATAGCAAATTTATATGCTGACTTGTCTGGATGTCAATTAGCCATGGCGATTCAGTCAGTTAATTGTTAACAGCGTGTCAGTCAACAACCTATTGTCAGTACATTGTATAAACAATGTGACATTCCCCTTGCACAGCTGATGCAGCATGTATGATCCAACATCTTGGAAGCAAGTCTGCACTGTGCTGAAATCCTTGGTTAGCAGATGCCAAATGCTTTGCAGTATGTGCAACACATGCATTTCCCCACCATTCAGTACATCATTTGGATTAGCCTTGTCATACTATAAGCCATTAAAAACACATTTCCATGGATCACTAGTCTTCAACGATGTGCAAGAGATTCGCTAAGCTCAACCCAAGTGCAAGCAGCTGGAAGCACACTCAGTGAGCTGCTGTGTGTTAGGTGAGTGACTCAAAACTGCCAAACATCACGTATGTTTCAAATAAACCATCCTGATAACACTTGGACATAGTATAACCCACCTTACTCTGCCCTTCTTGTTTACCACTACAACAATCACCATCCACATCATGTTCTTGCAAACCTGCTCACAGCTCTTAGCTTCAGAACTTCTCCCAAGACATTCTACACACAAACCTTGATGATCTGCTGGGTGGCGTAGAAGCCAGCAGGTCCAGATCCTACCACAGCTACATATGGCTGATCAGTGGTCATGGCCAGCTGGCGCCGCCTCTCAGGCCATGGAGATGAGCGGACCATAATCCGCTGCAGCAGGTCATCACACCGTGGCCAACAACGGAAGCAGGCTGACCGCATGGTGATCTTTCACTGACTGCAAACTACCAACAGAAGAATGGGATGGGATCACAAGGGCAGTTGTGACAAGATAGCTGCAAGGACATAATACATATATGACAAAAGTAGACACATCAACAGGAGAGCAATTTAATATTGCAAGCATTTATTGGCAACCTCAAATCATAAATCATTGTAAAAGTACTCTACACACAACAAATCCTTGCACCAGCTTCCACAGTGAAAGGGTTTGATGAAATAATAGCGCCTGTGGCATGCCACATCTTCGTCTTGCAGTGCATTTATCCAGGATGCCCCCCAATGTACCTGACCTGAATTACACCCAATACAAGCCAGACTGCCCCAAGGTCTGTGCATATTGGCCATTGACTTCAGTGCATGAAGTGTTTCAAGGAATTAGAATGCTGCTAAGTTAATTTCTGACAATATCATCAAATATACTTGTGTTTTCAAGAAAAATTAAGAAAAATGTCTTGAATTGTGTTTGGTACCCATATGCACCAGATTCAGTGCATCAAAATTTTTATATCCGGCACGGAGGATGGATATTTTGCAGACTGGGCCATTGTCATGGAAAACCACTGTGCATTCCCACACTTCAGCAAAAATGCAGCTTGTCCATTTCCCATTTGCCGAACTGGAAAACGTATACCCATGGCTAATACGGCTTTCCCGATCACCAACCTCTACAATGACCATATCCACCGCGTTCACCTGTGCTGCAGCGCTATGCCGTGCAGGAAACGAAAAAAAGCGGCAGTTTGTAGCGGCTGCGCAGGTACTGCAAGACAAATTGGATTACCCAACAGCTGATAATAGTAATTCAAAGTCTTCAGAAGATGTCAGTTAAATCAGTGTTTTTTCCATAAAAATAATTCTCAATATTTTAATTAGTCGTAAAAGTGTTATTTCAATGCATTTTTAAAACTTATTTTACAAGATCAAGAGATGCGTGAATATTTTGAATTCTGCACTGTCCACAACTATGCAATTTTCGCAGATTCTCGTGGATCCTCGCATGTTTACGTTAATTTGTGTGGTGGTGGAAGGGAGGTAATGCCTCGAGAGAACCTGGTCTAAGTGCCCTGTCTGTGATATTTGATATAAAGTTGTAGTTTTGGGCGTATTTATGTATGCCAAGTACCTGCCGCTAGAGAGGAATGAAGAGGTAAGTATAATCAGCCATTTTGTGTCCCATGGGTTGTGAGGGCGCCACAGTTGTCTCCGTTTCGTGCTTGCCACCGACATGTCTCGTTGGCTCGTGTTTTTCAAGTTACCCCTGGACATTCGCAAGCGTGTCGTATAGTTAGATGGTGTCCACAGGTTGTAATTGTTGTAAATACGTCCACAAATTATTGTTTAATTTAGGAATTAGCCACTGATAGAGGGTGGAGACATCTAATTTGGGTGGTTGGCAGGAATAGTTTTTAATTGAATTTCACTTTGCACTGCCGTGGTTAGTGATGCCGCAATTTGAAATAGGGTGGCAACTGATTCCTGCTATCAGTCCATACTTCATTTTGTATAGTACATGCACAAAGTATGCTGATATTGTAGTGGTTCCCAGGTTTTCATCTAGTTTGGCTACAAGGATTTAAGTTGTAATTTACACTGCTTAGTGTATCTTACCTTTACACTGAGGTGTCATCTCAGGCTATGAGTTACCACTATCTAGACCCTGGGCCATTCATGCATCTTGACAGTGACCTGCTAATCTTCATGGAATTTGTATTGCCTGGAGCAAAGCCACATTGTCAATGGTGTCTGCTCAATGCCGATTGATTGGTTGTTTGGGGGGGGGGAGTGGGGAGGTGTGGGTACCAATATGTGATTGAAGCCTAAGAAAGCTAAAACTTCTCATTTATTTGAAGATTATTGTATAGTTCCTACTCAGGGTATGCACATTCTATGCCCTTGCTATCGGTTTGTGCTTGGCTTTAACAGGGATTTTCCTTAACAGTTGATGAAGTATTACAGTCTTCTATATTCTGCATACTATGGTAGTAGACAAGGTATGAACAACCTCAATGATGACTGGTTGTCTATCACATAAGCTGTCAAAGGAACATTACCAAGATGCTCAGTCAGTATCAATGCTTTTTACGTGCAAACTTAATGCCTAATATAATGGCTAATGCAAGTTGCACTGCTAGCTAAATAACATATGTTTATGATAGCTTTCATGTTTGCTGAGAGATTATTGCAACTTTGAGAGATGATGTACAGCAGTATTTAGAATCATAAACATTTGTAAATATAGGTTATATTTAGTCAGCATACAAATAGGCAGATAGGCATATGGTAGGTGCAGAGAGGGTTTAAAGTTTACATTTAATTAGCATAACAACAGAGGTATTAGGTGGGGTTACAGACAATCTGTTCCTCATGCCTTTCTAGCCTCTTCAAAGCTCCTCCAAACTAACCTGATTGCTTCTTTGGATGCACCAACCCCATCCAAACTCAACAAAGCTTGGCCAGATCCTCCTCAGACCTGCTCCAAATTGAAAGGCAGTATTTCAGAGAGGTTTCAGGAAGGCTGTAATGGACATTAGTTGCTCAGTGTGTTTATATCTGTATTTGCTATCATATAACAGAAGCGAGGATGGTTGTGTAAATTAGTGTAGGTAGATGGCATTTTAAGATATAATTTTTAGTATTGTGTTCATATAAATTTCAGGCATTTAGGATGTTGAGTTTATATTTTTGAACACTGTTTTCAGAAGCATTCCCAATCAGTGTGCCCTACCTGTTTTGATGAACTGCATGCAGACACCTGACATCTCCTCCAAACTTGTTTCTCTGACAGCTGAGTTGGTACACATTCAGCACTCCTGCAACTTTCAAATACTAAACTCATCTCTTTTTTTCTCACCATTATAGTAAATCAAAATTTTGCCAGGATGTTTTGCTTTTAACTTCAAATTTCATTATTAGATGGTGGTATTCAGGGCTTATGCAGCACTGTACTGTTGCTGCTTAGCATAGACTTAGATTGCAGAAGCTCCCATGTTCAAATGGTGTTGAATAAATCTTAAAAGTAATAGGAGTGTGAAACTTAACACTGAAACATATCCTCTACCTGATAGCTTAGAACATGCTATTGGATTCAGCTCTCAGTGATGCAGCTTTATTTATGGTCAGTTAATGAAACTTAGATGTTTGAGCATAGCTTGCTTTGAGACCTGTGGGTTAAAGGCAACAATTTGAAATGATATATGCATGATGATGCTGTGTTAGTGTATGCCATCTTGGAGCACTTATGGTGTATGGTAGCTGCCAGCCATATGAAATGCATTGAATAGCAGTGCTGGTGAATGTAAAGTATTGTCTTTACCAGCCATTGATTCAGTATGGATATTAACATTAATCTTATTAATGCATGTGTTCTTCAGCCATACTCCTTTGAAAAGCAACACAATAAGAACCAATAGGCATATAGAAACAAGTTCATTCTATGTTAAAGAACCATGTCTGTTATGCTGGTGTGAATAGTGCACCTAGAGCAGCCTCTATGTCTTATGGTTGCTTTCATGCAGTATGCCTTCTATGGTTATGTGCAAACCATTTAAGCAATGAGACGCAATATGTTACAAGATATAGCTACTGCCCAACATACTTAGAACCTACACTGGAAATTTCAGGCACACAATAAAATGCTACAGAATTTTACCATGCTATGCAGACTAGGTAGTAAATTAGTGGTGATGCCCATCTATTGATGCTTAGACAAGCTGTAATCCAAGAAAGTAAGATGAAGGAAGAGCAGCATTACACTGAATGAATGCATGAAAAAGGAAGGAAACCATGCAGTTTTGTTTTTCTTTTTATTTTATTTAAATCTGTATTGTGATGTTGACAGTGTATACAGGTCTAGGTCTTCTCCTGGGTATTGTGATGTTGACTAGGTGTATGCAGGTCTAGGTCTTCTCCTGGGTATTATGATGTTGACTAGGTGTATGCAGGTCTAGGTCTTCTCCTGGGTATTGTGATGTTGACTAGGTGTATGCAGGCCTAGGTCTTCTCCTGTGTATTGCCTTCCTCAAGCAGTATTCCACAGAGGTGTGCCCCAGTCAAGTGTGAGGCATACCAGTGCATGTGAAGGTTCATGGGGGCAATTTTACTGGGTTCATTAAATTGATAAACTAATGCAGACTGTCTTAAATTACAAATAGTGCATGCTTAGCAAATCTGGTATTTTCTAATCTATGCATTATTTGTTAGTATTATTTTAAGGGTTGAGAATACTCTGGGATAAATTATTCCAACTATTTCAGGTTTGCACTTTTGCCACACATTTAATTCTAGTTACTTTGAGTTCTGGTGCAAATAGTGGATTTGAAGTTGTTCAGCCTGACATGCCCAGCCATCAGCTTGTGGACTAGGATGATTCATTATCTCTCTCTTTCTCCTGCACTATGCTGACCACATCTGTAATATTCACACAACATGATTACTTAGTATCTCGCTCTGTCCCCTGCACCATGCTGATGGCAACCACAATATTTGGGAATCATGTGCTTGTGATATAGAATATATTAGACAAAGACAGGACAATATTAAGCACTGACTATGCAGAGTGAGTCCAGCTGCTGTTGACCATGCTATTAACAAGCATCCACTCTATTGAGGTTATCCTAACTCCTGTATGTGTGTGAATTATACATACTGTGTTGGCCATGCCTTCATGTGAGAACACAATTTTTCATTTTTTCCCTCTCAAAGGTCTGAGTTTAGATTTTCTTGGTGCCATGCCCACCAGCCAATGTTAGTTCAGCCAGTTTGACTTGAGTATCTTCAAGGCTGCATCATGAGATCATTTTGTGTAGTTTTCTTGTTCTGGGGATTGAACACCTCATGATAAATACTACCATGCAAAATCCTTTTTTCAAGTGTTACACTGTAAACTTTCGACATCTGTTCTAAGATGCCTGCAATATCTTCATGGATTTCCACTCACATGAATGCACCTGTTTGGAGAGACACATCAGAGAGCCCACCCACATAATTTGAGGCTGACTACTCTGTGTGCCAGGTTCTGCTAGGACTGCCTGCCTGTGCGTGAGCTCCGCACGCTGCTGTGGAATGCCAGATTGCTAGAACGCCGCGCCACTCAGCCGCCGCCATGGCTTCCACGTCAGCGTTCGTGGACAAGATCGATCCTTTCGCCAAGAAGTCGCTCAAGAAGAAGCAGCGGAAGTCGCAGGGTTCGTCTCGCTACCAGGCCCACAGCAATGTGGAGATCGTGCCGCTGCCGCTCCTCAAAGGTTAGTCAATTGTGCGACCTGCACACCACGACTGCTGCTAATATATGATTTATTACTAGTTGGAGTATTTTTAAGCTTTGCACACTGTTAGGGGTGGTTTTGCCACCTATGTTAGCATCGTGGCCGCGCGCGATGAATCCGCAAGGGATAAAAATCTGGAATAGTCACCTTCCACTGAAATGGTGCTGTAGGCCTTGAAAGAAGTGCTTGAGTGGGTGTTCTGCCTGACGTAATGTTTGACGTCTAAATGGGGCTCATTGTCCGTGGCTGACGGGTGCTACCATTGGTTTGCACACATCAGCATTTTATGCTTCAACTACTTATGGATATAAAATGTCCAGAGCTCTAGAAATTCGGCTCGTTTTTATTTTTTGTATTGGTGCTTTCCCTGACCTTTCGTGCTGTAGCCTGCTTAACATATTACTGTCCTTGAAATGCGGTGTGATTGTGCTATACTGGGCATTGGAGATCTGCAACATTACAATTTCTGGAACTCTTGCTTCAGTATCTATGTGGCAGCGCCATTTACTGGGTTGCAATGCTTTCTTATCTTGGAAGTGTCGTGATTAAGTCACTTTTATGAGTGAAGGAATTAATGTGTTGACATTTCACACTTCCGTTGTTTGGCACTACAGCAATGATGTCATGTTTGCTTGCAAGATCATGACTCGTGTCTATCTTTTAATAGGTGCAGTACCATTTCTTAACACTACAAATAAAGTCAATAACATTGAATTCTCGGAAGGTGGGCTCTCTCGATGCGGATGTTGGTGGACCGTGTGGTACCGTTCATTGAACGTGCCCGCATGTCTGATGCAACGAGTGAACTGTAAATAAACAACTTTGCTAGCGCCGAAAGATCCGTCTAACAACTTGCGCCATTTTACCACACCAGCTTATGAGGGTACTACTGTGCGATTTTTGAAACTGCGCAGGTTCCAAAAGATGGAGCGCTGCAATTTTTAAACAGGAAGTTGTATTAGTGACGTACAAATAATTCCCACCAGATGTGAGTGCACTCACAGTAGCCTTATGTTCATGACGCCTGGTAGGGCATTTTCATCGATGACGCTTAGAGTCCTGCCAGTGTGCATATTGGCTTTGGTGGTTGGAGACAAGACAGGAAGTTAATGTGGAGGGTGACATTATTATCATTATTACTTTTTTGGTGCCTTGCAGTGGCATGCATGACAGATGCGACCGCCATAGGACGAGGCATTCCGGTTATTAATATTAGGTTTGTGTTTTTGTCAGAAATTTGCGTGATTTTCTCTTGCTTAATGTATGTCTTTGCGAGCGGTACGCTGTCTGTGTGTACGCTGAGCGCCACTCACAAAGTTTTGAGCCTTCCGTGGGCCTTATGGGAGGCCTGGACGTTGTAGTGGTATTTTCGCCTCGGCATTTCCTCTCGGTGAATGCATTTCTTCGCAAACCGTTGGCTGTTAACAATGTGGTACTTGCAAAGTTTAGAGCTTGCCGTGGGCGCTATGGGAGGCCCGGTCATTAAAGCGGTACTGTCGTGGCAGTGCTCGGAGATTGAGCCGCACGACGCCCTGATCCGAGGCAGAAGTGCAAAGTGACTATATCTCTGGCCCTTGACATGTGTGCGGGCTGAAATGCTGGTTTAGTATTCACGTTTTGTCCTAAAACGAGATCCAGTTCTTTAGACACAACTGCTGCTGCATTAGACATAACTGCAACTGTGTTAGGCACAACTGCAATTTTTAAGTAGGTAATGTCTCTGGTAAATGCCTCCGTCAAATCCTGTCCTGCTCAGCTGGCGTCAGTTAATAGAAGCTCAAGTCGAAGTATCTGTCGCATACGCATATCGTCGTTTACCTTGCGAGGTGGACAGTTTGTGCAGATGCTAAGAACTGATGTGGGCCGGTCGCCTCTTTTAAGTCAGTGCATCAATTCGGTTTTTTTATTTTGGTGAGAACCTTTCCTGACGGACTTTGTCCCTTCTTAGTACCGCAGTAAATCATGTATATTGCACCCCACGTATGTATAAGGTATCTTGTGCCTCGGCATGTATATTGTTTTAGTGGTATACGGCGATCATTGCTGGCAATTTTGGAAGATCGACGTATTTGATGTTCTTTTCACTCTAGCTGGTAGTTTTCGGACGGCTTTGAAACGCTTTACAGGCATGTGCAATGAAAGAGGTTCGCTGTGCACTGAGACAATTGCGGGATTGCCCTAAGATGGCTGCCAGAGTCTCGTAATGTATCATTTCGATCCCTTTAGTCAGGAGGCACTGGGCAAGTAGTTATATTCACATCTCCACTTACTGGTCCTTTAATGTTTTTTTTCGTGCCTTTTGTCCAAAAGCGACAGTTGCCTTTTGGCGCAGTGGTCCCGTGCTTCGTCCTCCCCAGCGTCCTCCTGTCCAGGCGGCGCCGGCGTGCTCATACAGCGCCGCCTGTCAGCCAGCATATTGGCGCTGCCAGCTCAGCTGTCTGGCTGACGGCGCCCGCGGCCGCCGGGAATCGCGTCGGTGGCTGCCGTGGCTGTGACGCGACGGTCGACTGCACCGGCCGCGCCTATCGGTCGCGGATGAGGCGGCGGCTGACCGCAGCCCTGATTAGATAGGTATTGCGGCTTAATTGGCGCCCCGGAAGAAGGATTCCCGCCCGCTCTAGCTGTGAGATGTGCTGCAGTCCGGGCTGACACGTTGGTGGCGTATTTTGGCTTGTTGCGCGTGGAATTCGAAGAGATTTCACAGCTGCAGATCTTGTGAACATTGTAGTGCAGCGTTAGGTGTGGTTGGTGTGGTGTTGACCAGGTCATCATGTGTGACGCCCCAAATGTACCGCTAAGTGCTGCGTGCGGGGATCGGGAGGTTTGGTCAGGAGGGAGGCGGTTCCACTGCTAGTTAACGTCATGGTACGCCCTGGCGCGCGTCATCTAGTAGCTGTAGTCCTGGGAATCTCAATGTATCTTGCCGTCCCTTGCGCTGGTGGACTGGAAAGGGTAGTGCGCGAGATTACATGCCGGGTTAGCTGTCCTTGATGATTGACTGGAATAAGTAGTGCGTGAGATTATATGCCGGGTTAGCTGTCCCTTGACAACAATATGGTGAGCCGAGGTCATAGGAATGAAAACCGTCATTGATGATTTGTTTTCCTTGGATTCGCCGTCGGTGTGTTTGTATCACCTGCGCGACACACTGGGGAAATTATGTCTTAACAGTAGTTATCTTATGTCTGTTCTGCTGGTGGCCTGTTACAACGAAATACAAGTCAAGGGCGTAAAATTTCATCTGCGGCAATATTATGGGCTGATGATTATAGCCTCAGATCAATCTTCAAAGATCGTGGCCACAATCACGCCAGGTCCAAACGAGCCAGCGGCGTGCGGTGCCCGTTGGGGCGCGGCGGTCCGGCCGTCAGCTGGGGTCCTCCGCCGTCGGGGGTTGACCGGCACGCGCCGCCAGGGGCCGGCCGGTAGCCTGTGCGGCGTGACGGCGCGCCCGGCGCCGGCTGGCCGACAGAAGCCCGGCAAGTGGTGGTGCCGCCACCCCGAGACAGCAGTCCAGAGCCGACCGGCCACCCGGGGCCGACAGATTGGTGGGGCGACTGTGAGGATGGCCTGGGGCCGACACAGTGGCCGGGTGAGACAGGTCCAGGCCGGGCGACGGTGAAGACCTGGGGCCACGCAGTTGCCGGAGGGACACGGAGGACTTGGGGCCGACACAGCGGCCGGGTGAGACAGGAAACCAGGGTGCAGGCTGGGCGACGGGGAAGACCTGGGGCCGCACAGTGGCCGGAGCGAGACTGGGGACCTGGGGTCGGACACATCGGCCGGGCGGTGTCGGGGCCCTGTGGCCGTCAGATTGGTCGGGGCGCAACGGCGCTGCTGTAGCCAACGGAGCGACCCGAGACCAGGGGCCGACAGCACCGTCACTGTGCTGCAGTTATCGGGCTGTCGCGTCTTCCTATGTCAGGGACGGCCACGTGAGTTTTGAGGCAAACTGTAATCGTTGTATGAATGGGCTCCGAGCTATGTTGGCCAGGCCTTCCAGTCCTGATGGGCTTGTCATGTGTTGCCGTCTGTGTGGCCACGGGGGCTGAGCGTCAGGGTCCGGCCTATTCATCATGCCACTGGCAGCTGGGCACCCTGGGCGTGGGAGCCGCCAGGGCGGTGTGAAACTGGACGGTGTTTAATATGTTTTTAATGGGTTGTTCAGGATTACACTGCCGCGTATTGTTTCTCCACAAGTTGATAGACCCATTCCCGCCCTCGTCCTGTTCCTACCGACATGTGCAAGTGTTCTTTTGCCCGCAAGCGGCTTTTTCATTCCTTCTTTTTTAGACCAAGCGTGCTTACCACTGCCGCTAACGTACTGAGCAGTTCCCAAGGGTGTGCTATCCCCATGGCGGACAGTATTGATTCGGTGGTTCGTGATAAGATTAATTTCCAGAGAGGGAATCTATTTCGGCCGGAATTGCAGTTGTGCAGTCGCTGGGATGTGCGCCGATGGGCAGCGCTCAAAAGCAGGGTGTCTGGTGTGATCCAGATGGCATGGGCGAAGATCCGTGTCTAGTGCCCCGAAACACTACAAATCACAGCATTTTGTGGCTTACATTGAGGCTTTGTCTCGCGTCGTGTATTCCACAGCGCCGCGGAAGGTGACTCTGGCTGTGTATCCCCGGCTTTGGACGATATCCGTGGCTGATGCTGGCGTCTGGTAGTCAGTGTGCGGCGGACGGCTGCTCGGAGACAGCGCCTTGCGCTCTTCTCCGCCGGCGCCTGGCCCTGCGGGCGGCCGCTCGTGTCCTCATCTGACCTGCGTTCCATTCAGTATTTCGTAATCGGTTCACGTTCGATTCGGAATCAATACTGGACGGCTCTGTTCTGGTGCACATTAACATGTAGCGTTTTGAGAATCAATCTATGGTTTTTGACATTCCTGTTCACCAGGCCTGTTCCTTATCATTACGCAGCGTCTGAGTCGATTATCATTAACTCATGCCGCATTGATGTTTATGCCTTTTTTATTTATTCCTTTTGTTCCTATTCCATTTTATTTCTGTACGATGCGTTTGCAGTCAATGTTTCATAAGTTGGACCGAAAATTTTTAGTAACTGTTGTTCAAAAAAGTGTTCAAGAAGATTATAAGTGTGTGCCTTTGGATTGGCACAAACTATGCCAATTAATACGCAGGGTTCCCAATTTTGGCACAATACCTACCGGCTTAAATTTTGAAGTTCACGTATGGGTGAGGCAGGCGTGCATTGCTTGGGTCATGATTCACTGAATCATACCTAAGATAAGTGTACTATCCCTGTCTTGAATAAATCAACACTCAAACTCTACCCGATTAATTACCTCAGATTTTGTTTCTTTCAAGGAATGATCATTGGTGAGCAATCCTATTTCAGCCCATAACAACAACAAAATAATATTTTTGACCATTCTGACTCCCTCACCATAATCCAGTCATCTGGCAAATAGCGAGTAGCTCCGCACCTGGACAAGTGACGCCGGCATCGCCCCTCCCCCTCCCCCCTCTTCAGGCCTTGGATTTCGACGACGGTGGCTCACCATGATGTAACCAAAAATAATTATCCCCTGAGAGTCACATTTGTACTGAACTGCTCTAATCAGTTGATGTTGAAGGCATCGGTCATCAAGTTCAAAATGTCTTCTGCCTTGACTGAAGCAGGACTAAACCAACAAGGCTGAAGGTGCCACAGCATCATATATCTCACCGCTGCTTTAAGGCCTTGCTCACCGAAGCCCAAACGTGTGAAACGGGGTACGAGGAGCTGAAGATAACGGGAACGAAGAATCTAACAATTGTTACGATGACATACAAAGCCATAAACATAAAAGCTCTACCACATAATTCTTATTTATGAAATGGTTTGAATTTATAAATATAACACAATTACATGACATTTCGCTTGCTATTTGCACAAGCAAGAAATTAAGAGAAAAAATGTTTTTTTAACGTTTTTGACAGGCCATAGATGACAGTGTGAACGAAACATGGCACCTAGGAAACTCGTCTTACGACTTCTGCGTGACTAGGAATGGGGATGCGTAGGTTTAACATCTTCAAAGTGAGAACGCCATTTTTTTATCTTTCACTTGTTAGATCAGATGCGTACGATTTTATCAGTATTCCCAGATTTCTCGAAATCCTTATGAAAAGCTCAGAATCTCAAACTGAGGTAGCCTCTCCTGCGGGAAAAACTTCATTGGACTCCCTGCTCACCAGCACGGAAACGCATTTAATGTGCCTTGCTTCTCCACGTGTACATTTTGTAACGTTTGCAACGTACCAGCTTGTTAAAATGTTTGCATAATGAATGTTATAAAGGCTTGAAACATTGTTTAGACAAAATGATATGCGACCATGAAGCTATTTTTATCCGCGAATTCAACGAAACCTTGTACCATGGCTTTGATTTCTTCCCTATGGCCTTTGCGACAGTGCCTCTTTTCGAGGCACGCGTTGGCTCTGGGAATGGGAGTATCACAAAGTGACACACTGGTTCAAGCTTCAACGAATGGGCTTCTGGGTAGCAGGTCCTTGCCGCCCGCTGGGTCAATCACGAACCTTCTTAGCACCAATAGAGGTGCCGCGACGGTTGTCATGATGATCGCGGTGGTGACCTCATGGAAGAAGCGTAGTGCTGTTACAAAGCGTGGGCAGCGTAATGTGGACTAAAAAATAATACAATTAGACGTGATTGGTCCTGGTGTGTCACTAGAGCGTGTTTTGAAATCTGCCCCATGAGTGGGACACACCCTTTACATGATTTTTTCCAGACATGGATAAGCAGTACTTTTTTTCGCCGTAGAATTTTCAACCCTTCCAGGCATTATTGGATGTGACCTTGGTTATTGGTTGTGGCCATGGGGTGATGGGAGGAGGCTGCAATGCATGCGAGGCTGGCTTGGTCGGTAAAGGTAGCGGTGCTCAGGTGAGATCTCGGGTGGGCCTCAGCGTACCGTCTCGGCGCGGCAGACTGTGTGTCTGGTGTGCCGACCCTGGCAGTCGGACGCCTCAGGCGGGCCTCAGCGTACCGTCTCGGCGCGGCAGACTGTGTGTCTGGTGTGCCGACCCTGGCAGTCGGACGCCTCAGGTGGGCCTCAGCGTACCGTCTCGGCGCGGCAGACTGTGTGTCTGGTGTGCTGACCCTGGCAGTCGGACGCCTCAGGTGGGCCTCAGCGTACCGTCTCGGCGCGGCAGACTGTGTGTCTGGTGTGCCGACCCTGGCAGTCGGACGCCTCAGGTGGGCCTCAGCGTACCGTCTCGGCGCGGCAGACTGTGTGTCTGGTATGGCGGCCCTGGCAGTCGGACGCCTCAGGTGGGCCTCAGCGTACCGTCTCGGCGCGGCAGACTGTGTGTCTGGTATGGCGGCCCTGGCAGTCGGACGCCTCAGGTGGGCCTCAGCGTACCGTCTCGGCGCGGCAGACTGTGTGTCTGGTATGGCGGCCCTGGCAGTCGGACGCCTCAGGTGGGCCTCAGCGTACCGTCTCGGCGCGGCAGACTGTGTGTCTGGTATGGCGGCCCTGGCAGTCGGACGCCTCAGGCGGGCCTCAGCGTACCGTCTCGGCGCGGCAGACTGTGTGTCTGGTGTGCCGGCCTTGGCAGCCGGACGCTTCAGGTGGGCCTCAGCGTACCGTCTCGGCGCGACAGACTGTGTGTCTGGTATGGCGGCCCTGACAGTCAGAGGCCTATCATGAACACTGAATCGGCTCAATGGAACAGGTTATCTCCGCCCCGCAGATTTAAACTTTTGTTCACGGTTTTGAAACAAAACTCACAGGGATTCATTTTACCTTCTCGCTGACTTATCGATTCAGATCGATATTTTTTTTCGGACAGCCAACGATTCAAGTCACGAAACAATAAGATAATGATAAGAATTAAATCCTGTACGCTTCATCCAAAAATGACGCGATTTACAAATCCTCGACAGATCCATCGTGATTGACCGGAGGCTCTCATGAATGCGCGTTTGGAAATCAGACTGTCTGAAGCTTAGTGTGTGTTGCGCAGTTGGACACAGGCATTGCCATCGCCATCATCATTGTCCGGCACAAGCATTGTCCTGCCTCTAACCCCGTTGGCAAATGCATGCCGAGTGGACCTCAAGTTTTCATCAGTTTGGTAGTGCGTAAGTGATGGCTCGCGCTGTGACAGAGCCTGAAGTGGAGGGTGAGGGCGGCACCAGGCGTGGTTCGCGGCCTCGGACGGGCGCCGCTGCTCTCAGCGATCCGCGGCTGACTGGGGACTTGCAGTGGTCCGGCACTATTTGTCTGCCCACTGTCTCGGACGTGTGTGCGATGATGGACCCCTGGATATGCGCGAGTTTGGCCGCGCGGAAGTAAGCACGCAGGCTGGGCATAGCTCTACAGTCGTGAGGGGTTCTGGGAAGTCGTGCCGCGAGATGTGCTTCTTCAGTCTGAGGCCTGCGCTGGACTCGCACGGCAACTTCTGGGTCGTCATGCTACACACACACTCATCGTGTTCTCTCCAACCGTTGCCGACCGCCCCAGAAGAACTGCTTATTTTCGCAAAACGAGCTGGAGCGCTCCAGGGTCAGATCCGCCATCGTTGTGCCTGCGTCATTTGCTCTTGTCGGCGTCATGTTCTTGCCTTGCGAACGTCGTGTGGCACTGTTGTACCACCTTGTCAGGGCACTCCAAATGAAACGCGTAGTTTGTTTGCAGTTGCGGTATTTCTGGCAGCGATATTGCGGATCGTCAGTCAATTGTTATTTTTATTCGTGACTATGGCAGACCCAGACGTACTGCGGGCATTGGGCGATTGGATGCGTCAGACATCACATGCGTGGCGTTCGCTGTTCGAAAAGTCGCGAACTTCTGCTGGTCAGTTCATAACTATCATGGGAAGCGCGTTTTCGGCTTGTCCCCAGGTTAATTTTCGGTATCCGGAGTGTAGCCATCTGTTCACCTTCGCATTCCGCGTACTGTAGCTAAAAACATCTGTGTGTGGGAGCGCCGGAGACGAAGGCTAACAGGAGATCAATGCCTCCACGGTCAGCGCACATTCCTGGGCCCCCTCTCTTGAACAAGCGGTGTATTTACGGCACGCAATGTAAAGACGTTATACGTGTGTGTAGGCCATCTGCCTATAGAACCCACCGCCTTGGGCTGTGGCGCTGCCTCGTGACGTGTTTTGTTGCGTTTCATTCAACACCGGAGAAGAACGCCAGGGGGCCAGTCCCGTCCGCCTGGGGGTCACGCAGCTAACTAGCGCTTACGTTTTTACCGGCAGATGTGCCGCCGGCCGAGCAGGAGGACCTGTTCATCCGCAAGCTGCGCCAGTGCTGCATCTCTTTCGACTTCATGGATCCGGTGGCCGATCTGAAGGGCAAAGAGATGAAGCGCGCCACCCTTAACGAGCTGGTGGACCACATCACTTCGGGCCGCGGCGTGCTCACCGAGGCCGTCTACCCGGAGATAATCCGCTGCGTACGTCCGTCCGCCCGGCGTCCGGTGTCCGGCTCGCCGCCGGTCCGCGCTCCGTGTCCGGCCCGCCGCCGCGCTCCTTGTCCGGTCTGTCGCCGGTCCCGTGTCCGGCCCGCCGGTGGTCCGCGTTCCGTGTCCGGCCTGCCGTCGGTCCTCGCTCCGTGTCCGGTCCTCCGCCCCGTGTCCGGCCTGTCGCCGGTCCCGCGTCTGGCCCGCCTTCGGTCCGCGCCCTGTGTCCGACCTGCCGCCGGTCCGCACTTCGTGTCCGGTCCTCCGCCCCATGTCTGGCCGGGCTTCGGTCCGCGCCCCGTGTCCGACCTGCCGCCGGTCCGCACTTCGTGTCCGGTCCTCCGTCCCATGTCTGGCCCGGTATCGGTCCGCGTCCTGTCTCCGGTCCGCCGTCGGTTCATGCTCCGTGTTCGATCCGTCGTCGGCTCATGCTCCGTGTTCGATCCGCCGTCGGTTCATGCTCCGTGTTCGATCCGCCGTCGGTTCATGCTCCGTGTCCGGCCACCCGCCAGTCTGCGCCCCGTGTCCGGGCTGATGGGACGAAGTGTGGCCTGTCAGTCGGCTGTATAAAAGCGCGCGTGACTGGCCGTGCTCCGTTAGCAAGTCGTGTGTTGCGAGTTTACTGTTGGCGTGTTGTCCCCGTCGCTAGCCGTGACCGGTGGGCTGATCCACACGGGACCTCGTGGCACGCGTCATCGAAGCCGCTCTCCGCCGCCGGCCGTGCGCCGCGCCGTCGCTTGCGGTCTGTGCCGCGGCGTGTGGCCTGCTCTGCGGGCTGCCCCGTCCTGTCCGCCCTGTCGCCGCCGCTGACGGCTGCGCGCCGCCCTGCAGATCGGCTGTAACCTGTTTCGGACGCTGCCGCCAAGCGAGAACCAGGAGTTCGACCCGGAGGAGGACGACCCCACGTTGGAGGCGTCCTGGCCGCATCTGCAGGTCAGTGCGTCACGCTGTGCCTGAGCGAGCTCCGGACGAAGCGTCGTCGCCGTGCGTCTGTCGCTGCTGCCGCCATGCGGTCTGCACATGTTGAGTAACGGGCACACCAGATATGTACCAGTGTCTGTCACAGCAGACCGTACTGCCCCTGCTCGGTACACGCTCTTGATGAGATGCCCAGTGTCCTCATCCCAGTGTGCCGAGTGTCCTCATCTCAGCCTCCCGAGCAAGGTCTTACGGCCAGAGCTGCCTAGTCGGGCGGTCTCCAAATGATGAGCAAGCAGTATGTAGTCCAGACCAAAGTTCAGTGACAACGAGCCGTTTCTGTGTGCTTGCACGTTGCCATTTGTTCTCAGCATGAACCCGTAATGAATTGAGATCGGAGAAGAGGGCTTTCAACGGTTTCAATCATACTACCTCATGAAACACAACCGATTTTATCGGGACGTTTGTCGACTCCTCAGAATTCCGAAACCCATGGGTCTTCTTTGCGTCTTACTCTGATCAAGAACCAAAGCCCAGTGGTGCTTCCCGCGACTGACACTGCATCCCTTGCCTGTCCGGGAGGTGCCTAGCCGCATTGTGTAACACCGAGTGTGTCTGCTTTCAGCTTGTCTACGAGTTCTTCTTGCGCTTTCTGGAGTCGCCGGATTTCCAGCCTAACATAGGAAAGAAAGTCATAGACCAGAAGTTTGTTTTGCAAGTGAGTTTGTCAGGTGCAGCTGTGTCGCCGTGACCCCTGGCCAGCTGCGGGCTGGCTTTAGACAATGGCCCGCATTCTTTCGCACTTTGGTTCCAATTACAGGGATTTTGTGGTTGCAGAACCAAGGTGACTTAAAACGTATACACACGCATGCACGCGCGCACAGTATATATGTATGTATGTATGTATGTATGTACGTATGCAGGTATGTGTGTATGCATGTATGTATGTATGTATGTATGTATGCATGTATGTTTGTATGTTTGTATGTATGCATGTATGTACGTATGTATGTATGTATGTATGTATGTATGTATGTACGTATGTATGTATGTATGTATGCATGTCGCGTCATTGGGCAACAGTGGGACATTACGCAACGAAATGAAAATCCCTTTTGTCCCTGCAGGGCGTTTGTTGCCGCGTATTCAATCGTATTGAAGTGGCGTCGTCTCCAGCCAAGTCGGACTGATCGCTGGAAGACGTGGTTGTTATCATGTCAACTGCCCTTGCGCCCATGACGTTTTAGGCCATTTATCGCTGGAGCATGGCCGCGTATTGGGCGCGGCTTTGGCTTCTCCAGCGGCACCGGTCGCCCGGCGTCTGACCGTGGGCGGCGCGCGCGCCCGGCAGTTGTTACAGCTGTTCGACAGCGAGGACCCGCGCGAGCGCGACTTCCTCAAGACGGTGCTGCACCGAATCTACGGCAAGTTCCTCGGCTGGCGGGCCTTCATCCGAAAACAGATCAACAACTTCTTCCTGCGCTTCATCTATGAGACGGAGCATTTTAACGGCGTGGGCGAGCTGCTGGAGATCCTGGGCAGGTGGGTCGGCGGGTATCACCCAGGTGGGGTGAGCTAGATGGACAACGGGTCTGGCACGGACCACCAGGATGACGTCCCGTGGCGTGCGATGACTGTTGGGCTCTGCTTTCACCGGGATGGATGCAGTTATGCGCCTTAGTGGGTGGTCTCGATTGATTTGGGAGATGGTTAAGCTTCGGTGGCGCCGGTTTCTTTTTGTCTTTTTTTTTAGTTGTGAGGAGTGGGTTGAAGGCTGATTATGTCTTCCATCTGTTTTCCACGTAGCTTTTAGTTCGTCGCACGGGTTCGTTGCAGTCGATGAGCAGCAGCAACATTTGGGTGCAGTATTAGTGTCTTCATGTTCACCGTCGTTTCCTTGCCATAAACTGATGAGATGATGGGAGCGCGGTATGGTCCCGGCTGGTCGTCGACCGACACCGGTCCGCGGCGGCGAAGGCCCGGTTACCCACCGCCACGGCCGACACCGGTCCGCGGCGGCGAAGGCCCGGCTACCCACCGCCACGCCGCTCCGAGTTCCCTGACCATCGTCATGCGCCGCTGCCGCCAGCATCATTAACGGCTTCGCGCTGCCGCTGAAGCACGAGCACAAGCAGTTTCTGAACAAGGTGCTGATCCCGCTGCACAAGGTGCGTTGCCTCTCGCAGTACCACGCCCAGCTAGCCTACTGTGTGGTTCAGTTCCTCGAGAAGGACCCCACGCTCACCGAGAAGGTCATCCTCGGTCTGCTCAAGTACTGGCCCAAGACCTGCAGTCAAAAAGAGGTGAGTCGCGGCCGCGGCGCCGCGCGCTGACGTAGCGAGACGCGTGGAGTGGCCGCCCGCGGTCGCCGCACCGCCACCACCGAGGGCTCCTGGGGATGCTGCTGGCGGCTGTGGAGAGTGAGGAGAGGCGGGCAGAGCGCAGACGGTGGACGTGCCGTCGATGAGCGGGGGTGCTGCGTGGCAGAGACGGGGATATTCTCGAAATGGTTGTTACGTCTTCTTTCCGGCTAAGGGTGGCGTCAAGTAACGGTCAGTTTATGGCGCCGACGCCTCATGCCCATCATTCACCGTAACGTGACTTAAAAGGCCTGATGACGTTAGCGATGAGAGCGTGTTTGCGGACAGATTCTGAGGTGGTTGGATGTGTTCCGCGGATATGAGCTGTGGCGCTCATCGTTGTGAGTTCTTTTAGTGAAAAGAGCGGACCATGTTGTATCAGGAGGTGCTGGTTAAGCGAGCGTGGGAGTGTTATTGTGATATGATCGGAAAATACTGGAGCAGGCAGAGCACCGCCTGGCAATGTTTTTGATTACTGATTACTGCTTTGAACCTTTAAGTGTTCTCATGAAATGTCCCAATAATCGTGTGATATTTTCGTTCAACCAGGACCTCGTGGCATAATGGGGGTCTGGTATTGTCAACATAAAAACTTGCCGAAAATCTGGAGCCTGTATCAGAACGTTATTCATGGCTTTCGTGCAACTGGTGGATTCAGCAATCCGTTCATTTTGGTGTATTTCAGCTGATAACATTTCTTTTCAGTTGACGTTGCTTACTATGACATGGGCTATTTCCGCCAGGCCTGATCAGCCCTGGAGCCAGTGCTTAGGCTGGTCCATGCTGATCCGGCAGGCTGGCCGCGCCCTGAGGCTGCGGGGCTATTTCCGCCACGCCTGATCAGCCCTGGAGCCAGTGCTTAGGCTGGTCCATGCTGATCCGGCAGGCTGGCCGCGCCCTGAGGCTGCGGGGATATTTCCGCCACGCCTGATCAGCCCTGGAGCCAGTGCTTAGGCTGGTCCATGCTGATCCGGCAGGCTGGCCGCGCCCTGAGGCTGCCTGGCTTTCCGCCTGGCGATGGCATTCAGTCAGCCGTTTGATTTGGCCGGTCTGTTTGTGTTATCTGTTGAAGTGGCTCTAATGGCCTCAATGGACCCTACCTCACCGAATGGACCCTACCTCAAAGCTAGCGCACCACGCTGATCACCTGTGACTGCGTCACTGTAGCGGTGTTCTCGTCCGCCACCCGACCGCCAGCGTGTGCGTGTGTATGTGTGTGTGTGTAACTGGAGCCGAGCCGGCGCGGCGCACGTGCCCTGCTGACCGTGGCGGCGCCGGGCGGCAGGTGATGTTTCTCGGCGAGATCGAGGAGATACTGGACGTGATCGAGCCGAACCAGTTTGTTCGGATCCAGGAGCCTCTGTTCCGCCAGATCGCAAAGTGCGTCTCCAGTCCACACTTTCAGGTGAGTGTGGCGGCGGCGCCCGCCGTCTGTGGCGCTGCTCTGGGCAGGGTGCCGCAGTTATAAGCCCGATGGAGCGGAACACGCACGTGCCAGAACGGGACGCTTCCGAATTATCCATTTCCAGCTGGTGATCGGAATAGTGAGCCGTCCCTGTTTGCGACGCTTTAACGTGGAAACCCATTGGCACGTACAGCTAGTGTCTCAAGACTGGTGTATTCTAACTGTGCATTGTCTAAATAATGCATGTATGTGAACGGATTTAAGTCATTTCAAGATGTTCGGAGTGCTGGCGTAAGATACATTTGTGGCGAAAGTGATAAGAACCACGTTTGCACACAAAAATAAGCCGGCCTTCAATATGCCACAAATGTGTTTTAAAGGAAGATGTTATAGCAACATTTGGCAATTATTTCTTGGTATCATAATGTAACCGTCATATCAGGTGCTTCCTGAGATGATGGTCATTTATGCTCGGGACATACTCACCATGCCAAATGGCCAGGATCTTACCTCGTGTCTTCTTTCATGAAGCCGTGTTTCCACCTCCGTGACTTGTCTCCGTTCTGCTCTCACTTGTACCTCGGCCGGGGCGTGGGAAGAGCTCCGCTCCGCAGCGTCCTGTCTGCAGTCACGGGACGTCCGGGGGTGGAGCCCGTGGTGCTAACGCCCGTTCCCGCCGACAGGTGGCAGAGCGAGCGCTCTATTTTTGGAACAATGAGTACATCATGTCGCTGATCGAGGACAACAGTAGTGTCACGCTGCCCATCATGTTCCCGGCTTTGTACAGGTAAGGGTGCGAGCCGGAACTCCCAGCACGCTCTCGGTCACGGCAGTGGTGGGGTATTCGGGGCTTATGAGAATGCCAGCAGCCGTAAAGTCGGGATCCAGTTGAAGCTTACAGCGGTTTCGAAGGGAGCAGGAGCGATACCGAACAGTTTCAGATGTGTTGTTCCACTGTGAGTTGTTCAGTCGCGCCCAGCCGTTCTGCCGCTGACCCCGTCACCGCTGCGCAGCCGCTGGCCCGCCGGGCTGCACGTTGCGGTGTGGGGAGCGCGGGTGCTGCCGCTGACCCCGTCACCGCTGCGCGGCCGCTGGTCTGCCGGGCTGCATGTTGCGGTGTGGGGAGCGCAGGTGCTGCCGCTGACCCCGTCACCGCTGCGCAGCCGCTGGCCCGCCGGGCTGCATGTTGCGGTGTGGGGAGCGCAGGTGCTGCCGCTGTCGGCGCGGGGCGCCTCTCTGGTACCGAGGCTGAGGCCACGGCCTGTGGACCGTCCAGCCGCCGGTCTGAAGACGACGACGAATCGTTCATGCATTGTGGTCAGCTTTCCAAGTATTCGATTTCCTCTCCGCCGCCAGCTATTTGCGACTTTGAAGTCACATAGATGGGCGCGAAATGATCATGATAGTTAACGCACTATAAAACACTTATAACTGACAACAGTCCTTTGGAGCTCATTGTAAGCGGGGCGATATTGTTGGCACCGGTCTAGTGCTAGCGATGCGGCACGCTGGCCTGTGGGTGATGGCGTGCCCTCGACCTTCAGGATTAGCAAGGAGCACTGGAACCAGACTATCGTGGCGCTGGTCTACAATGTGCTCAAGACGTTCATGGAGATGAACGGCAAGCTGTTCGACGAGCTCACCGCCTCCTACAAGTCGGAACGGCAAAAGTACGTGCTTCCAATGAGAAAGATCTCCAGCGATGTGTTCTCCGGGCGTCAGGCACGGATGAATGTCTTGGATGGATGACTGATGAGCCATGGCTGGGATGGACGGCGTAGGGGGATGTTGGGTGCTAGGATACTGGACAGAGCAGGATAGGTGCAGCGGACTGTGACTGTTCTAATGGAGTCTCCTGAATTGCCGTGTGAAACTGCACGCATATTATGTTAGGGATGGCCACGACGTCGAGCTCGTGGCCGTGTCTGTGCGTTGTTTGTCCTGGCCCACCTGGCGCCGTTGCCCCGTTCTTCGGGTCGCCCCCTACTCATCACCGGTCCTAGTCTGACTTCCGCCCGCTCCGCTGCAGAGAGAAGAAGCGGGAGAAGGAGCGGGAGGAGCTGTGGAAGCGGTTAGATTCGTTGGAACTGCAGTCCAAGAAGGAGGCTACCGACGCCAAGTAAACAGCCGCGCGCTCTCTCTCCCTCTCTCTCCCCTCTCAACGGACAGAGCTGGCGGCCGGCGGGCGGGCGCCCGCCCCCCACGTGCGCGAGTGCGTGCGTATGCGCGCGGCTGTGCGAAAGTGCGTGCGCCTCAGGCGCGGACCGTGGGACGCTAGTCAGTGCGTGTGCGTGCGCGCGTGGCTCGCCGTGCTGAACCGGAACGGGCGGCGCGTCCCGTCGGAACACTCATGTGATTCATATTACGGGACGGAGCGTCGATTGAATAACAGTGGCTGTTTTCCGTTCGTAATAGTTCAATCCCTTGCGCGTTGGCACACTGTCCGATCCTCTTCAACACATGGGCCCACCCGGCGGAGGTAGTGATAGCTAATGCTCTTGGCCTTGTTTTGTTGTTGCCAAATAAGTGTATGCACGCTGAGTACCGCCCTGACGGCCGCTTCTCTGACTGACGGCCGCTCTGCCGCTCCCGGGCTGCCGGCCGCCGGCGCCGCTCCGGCCGGGTCGTGCCTTCGCTCTGGCGCGCGCGCCGGCGGCGGCCCGTCTTTCTGCGCGCGCGCGCTGTCCGGACCGGCGCCGCCCGCCGCCCCCGGGCCGTCCGGCCGGCGCCGTGTGTTGTGTCCACTGTTGCCGTGTGATGGTCCCTGCACGCGCGGCTGCGGCGCCCCCCGGCCGGCCCGTCCCTCATCCCGGGCCCGGCCGGCGCCGGCGCGCCCCGTCCCGCCCTCTCATCTGTGTGCCATCGGCACGCGCGCGCGCGCGCGCCTCGAGCGCCGCTCTCAGGACCGGACAGTTGCGCCAGTGTGTCTCCTCTCCCCGTGCTGCTCCTGTCCTCTCCTGCTGTCCTCCGTCTCCGCCTCCGCAGGCGCCTGCCCACAAACCGGTCAGCGGCTTCACCCCCGGTTTTGTTACCCGTCGGCTGGCGCGCTGTACAACTGGAGGTCACCGTTTGGCGTGGGACGCGGGCGGGCTGCCAGCCTATCCCGGGGAACCGCGAACCACTTTTACAGTCTTTTGCTGGACCCTGAATAATTGTACATACTCGTGAGCATATATTGGAACATGTGGCTTTATGTACTACATTGCAGACGCGGTTCGTTGGGGTTTGGCGTCCCGGTGATAATCGGTCTGAGTTTGGCGTCCTCCTTCGTAGAGTTCCATGCGATCAGTTGTGTAACGTTTTGTGATGTGTAATTTTTGTCCTATCAGCCACTTCTAACTCGGTAGAACGTCTCTGTGAATAAACTGTATATATATATACATACATAGATATGGCGCTGTTGCCTTGGTGGTGAGATCGCCGAGTACATCGCCGGGTGCACGACACCAACACCGATCACGACAGGAGCGGTACACGGCCGTGGTCTCGTGCCGGCACACCTGGCGCTGAGATTCCCAGAGCTCTTCGCGTGACCAGCATGAAGAGCTGTTGCCTCATGTGGTCGGTGCACCGCTCCTTGATGGGGAGCAAAGTATGCTTCCGCGTGTTCGCACTCATCAGGAGGCGGCGCTGACACTACACCTGGTTTAAAAGACATTCTCCACAACTGAATACATTTAAGGAAGCTCCAGATGTGATGAAATAAGCTCACTTGTAACTTTTGCTTAACTTTAAGTTGAAAAGGCCGCTCAAGATAACACAATTTCTGCCTCTAGTAAATATGACGCTCCTCGGTTCGTCATCGTTTGGTTACCTCATCGTACCTAGCACAACAGTAAGACCCAGTTGACCGCCGTTTTGTCTGGAAGTCGTGCTCGCGAACGCTAGATATACGCGACTCGATGGTTCTATTTTTATTGACTTTGATCACCGCATGGCGGACGGTATGGCAGGTTTCGAACGATGGCGCTGTGGATGCCCGGATGGCCTTACAATCTCCCCGAAATAGTCTGTTTATCTTGGCGGGCGTGTAGCTCAGAAACTAGACGGGTTTAGGCCTTTCGAAGGGCAAAGTTGCGAACTGCACCGAATGATCTTTAAGATGGCCATTTTAGTCGGAAGCTTCACACAAATGTGGAACACTCCCTATTTTAGTCGGAAGCTTCACACAAATGTGGAGCTCTTTCTTTAATATAGCCTGTCTGACCATCCAGGCCCGGTGCGTCGCGTTGGGGCATGGTGCGCGTTAGTCCAGGCGCGGCGTTTGAAGTTCACGTCCTGCTCCATTGCGCAGGTGCACTGGGTTCGCGGCGCCATAGTCATGCGATATATGAGATGGGGACTAGGCGACAGTAGGGATGTTAATTAGGGAAATATAGCGGTGGGGACTGGGGAACTATAGTGATGGAAGCTGGGGAACTAGACAACTATAGGGATGGTAACTGGAGAACTATAGCGATGGGAACTTGGTGAACTACAACGATTGAAACTAGGGAACTAGGAAACTAGCGATGAGAACCAGGGAACCATAGCTATGGGAGCTAGGGAACTATAGCGATGGGAATTAAGGAAATATAGCAATCGGAACTAGGAATCATGGCGATGGAAACTAGGGAAATAAAGCGATGGGAAAAAGGGGAGCATAAGCGATGGAAACAAGGGAACTGACGCGGTGTTGGTGGTTTGGCGTTTAAGCACGCGTCAGTATTGGGGGGCCATTTTGCACCCGCTCGGAGACGATCATGTGTCCGTAATGGGACGCTATAAATGGGTGTCAGCTAGTGTTGAGCAGTTTCACCTGTACCTTTACACGGATGAAAATAACACCTAAGTCCATGTGTGCTAAAAAAACGATTATATCACCGATTTCACAGCATGGGTTTCGACCAATCAGCCGGTGGAGAAGCGCTGGTAGAAATACCGTCGCCTATCCGCTCCATAGCGCAGGCACGAGACGAGGACATATTCCATAGGCGATAGGTCCCCGCACCTGTCACACTGTGGCACATCCTGGTGCGTCAAGCGAAACGAGTGCGTCGCATGCGTATGGCCCAACCTAAGCCTGAAAAGCACCACTTCCTGGGAGCTGCTTTTCCGGGCGAGCTGACTCCCAATTACGAAGTACTTGGAAATCATCTCACCTTCCGGCCTGACTTTCCTGAAAGCGTGGTGATACTGGTCAAACATGTTCTCCCATGTATCGCCGACGCACTGGGATATGTCACACTTCAGATCTCTAGCGGGTACATGGCGGTTTCCCCTCACATGCAGCAGCTTTCGTTTCTGCGTCCACTTTCTCCGTTACCAATATGCCTACCTGCCTGGGGATCCACAGAAATGTGATAGGGCTGGCGGTGTTGCCCAGCCGTCCCGGCTCCTCCCAGATTGATCGCGCCATAGAGGAGTGGGCGCGCGTCATCGACGTTGGCTCTAATGATAAAAGTGCACTTCGTGAGTCGGTCAACATGACTACATCCCCTTCTGGGCGACAAGTAACGTGCTGAAGAGTTGCTGAGATAAGAAGCTGTTCAGTGGAAAAACTGATGTGACACGGGAGGCAGAGGTTGCGATCACCGCAAACAAATGTGCGATCATTGCCTGTCAAGTCATTGTAACCGTCAGACAAATATTGTAATGGTTTTCGTATTGTGGAGTCCGCTCCAACTAATGACTGAGCAACTCTCGCGGGATAGTGCCACTTTTATGATGCTGGCAAAGCTCCAACTCATAATTTGGGGTCGGGCGTCGCCAAGAAGCTGGGTTCCAAAGAGTGTGCCGAGCATTACCATCTAGCATAATATCCGCCTCATCCAGCCAGTCCCGGGCGCGCAGAAACATCGTCCGCGCTCACGTAGGCCGCCTCCTCAAGAAAGAGCGGATCAATGTGTGGGAGAAAATGGAATCGAGGGCTGAGTGATCCGGAATTTGTGAAACCTTTGTTGAGTAATTCGAAGCAAATCGTCTTCTAAGATGCAGGGGCGGTTCATCGGCCTCCAACAGTAAGTTCCTTGTTCGGATCGTACGAAAAGCTCTAGTGGCTTTATGAACACATGCAGGGGAGAATTCAGGATTTCGCCAATTGGGAGCGGGAACGCAACATTGTGAGGCCCACTTAAGTTTAGCCCCCCCCCCCAAAAAAAAAATTGCTTTTCGACCAGGCGCGCAGTCAGAGCTTTGGCAAGGGTGAGGCACAGGGTTGACGAAGGTCACCTGCTAAAAAGGCCCCCAAATGAGCTGAATATGGCCCAATTGTTAATGAAAGCATGCTTTTCTTTGATATTTTGCATTTGACCCATAACTGGAATAGAACCCAGAAACTACCGCGAGATCAAATCTCTCCTGTATTTTATTGTCATTCGACTGAATAAATCATGCGTTAAAGGACTGCATGAAATTAACCACCGCCGAATAATGCAGATCAAAAAGGGTCAACATTTTGTAATACAGCCCAGTTCCCACCAATTTTTTCGATCCTGAAAACGAGAACCATCGCCAGGAATACCGGTCCGGAATGCCTCTGGCGATGAGAATTGGGGGAGGGGGGGGGGGGCTTGTTATGTTCTCGCGTCGTTGGCCAGCGCGCCGCGCCAGCCGTTAGCGCGAAATATCGCATTGTACCAAATGACCACGGTTGAGATCGATGCATACTTGCTCCGCCTGCCACATGGTACGGGTGTGCGGACCCGGAGGCGTTCGTTTAGCATTCATCGCAGAGCAACCCCGGCACCGCGCTCAAGGAATGGAAAGGTTAGCTCACTGCACTTGTTCATTACACACGTTACTTGTGCAGACATTACTCGAATTGATCCGGTTACTTTTTACGCCAAACACTGACGCTCGCCTTGGAATTTGCTATAATCAACAGATAATTACGAACGCACACTTATGTGAACCCATACACAGAGTGCAGATATTTAGACACGTGAAGGTCCCCTCCCCCCCCCCCCCCCCCCCTCCTCCCCTGTAAAGGTCGCTGAGTCCCACCCTTTTTAGCCCGTCCTCAAGAACCTGGTCCAGGGAGGCCACGGTGCGGAGCGTCTCGGGAGACGGTCCATCACGTCCCACATCGTGTTCGCTTTGAGATGGGGCGTTCGCTTTCTCGCGCATGCGCAGAATTCGGTCGTGACACCTAGGATGCCTGATATTGCTGCATCCGCCACCTAGCGGCCGGCCGCGTCCCCAGTGGTGGCGTAGCCGACAGCCGGATGGCGGCCGCCTGGCGACAGATTTCCGAACCAACCACCCCGAGGTGTCGGGTGCAACCGGGCCCGTGCGCTTCCTCGAGATAGCGCTCGCACTCCTCGCTGGAACACACAATGCCGACCGCGAGCGGCAAGAAGTCCGCGATTAGTGAAATACTTTACAGGCCGACCGCCACCGGCCGGCCGGCGGGCGCCCTTCCACTGGTCAGCGGGGGTCCGACCGGGCCGGCCGCGGAAGTTGCTCTCATTTTATCTATTGGCCGGACCGGGCGCTGGCGAAAGGCCGGAGTCAGCCGGGCATTCATTTTGGAGTGCGTGCTCCGCTGGAAAGTGAGGCCAAGCGTGAAGGCGGTAATAAAAATATCCAGGCATTTGTGAGACAGGTATGCAATAAAATGTCCAGACTTACAGATGATTTAAGCAACCGTTGTTT